GTATAATTTTTTTCCTTTTATTATTGCACTACATTTTAATAACATTTTTTTTGAGCATTTTTTTGGAGGGGGGAATTTTGCTTTTATTACTTAATTTAATTGGCATTATTTCAAACAACCGAGAACAAAATTTTTCTACATTTGTGTAATAAATCTTATAAATAAGTTTTTTTTCAGTACATTTCAAATCAACATAATTGTATACGTAATAACAAAAAACACACATACAAAAATCACAATTGACTAAAAGGAAATACTATTCGAATATATATGTAGGTATGTATTGTGTTTATATGTATATGAGTGTGTAATATTGCACATATTTTTTAAGGAAGATTTTTTTTCTTTTGTTTTAGTACTTCTCAAATTATAGTACCTTAACCTATTACTCATAATAATATTAATAATAATGTAATATAGTACAACTGTGTGCAATAAAATAGCATATTATTTTAATTTATATATAAGTATTACAACCTCACACCTAATTAAAAGGTCAAAAGTCGTTGCTAATTGTTTGCTATCGTTTTTATTTTATTAACTTAATATAATTACTATTTTATTGCACATCTGTGTAATTCGGAATTTAAAAATGGTAATTTTTTGTCAATGTTTACAATTTATGGTAATGAGTTCACGTGGAACCCAATTTCACTGTATTTTTTATTATAATTCCCATCTGACGATGGCGAATATATTAATTTATAATAATATTTTGAAATAAACTGTAAATACCATACAATTAAATTTTAAGGAAAGATAATTACCACGATCAAACAAAATCATGATCAATTTGATAGAAGTTTTCTAGAGGAAATGTTTAAAAAATCGCGTGAAAGTTTCTTATTTAATGGGCATTTCTGAATAAAAATTGATTGAATTCGAAAAATATATATAAATTACGAAATTATTGAGCTTCTAGCTCATCTTTGAAATTTCAGGGACTAAATATTCATGGATATTCAGGAGCGGTTCGATCGTTCATGTTCACTTTGTTTAAAAAGAAACTTCGAGTAATTTCTTAAAATAGTTCATTTGTTCCATATAGTTCCGTCACGTTCTTTCTCGTTTATTTTTTAAAAAACAACAAGTTTCTTTTGATCCGACTCCTAACAATTAAAGAACAACGATATGAACTAGGTTCCTTTATGGGAATAGTTCCAATGAACTAGTTCGTTCCGGAACTACCAATCTCTACTGAGTGGCAAATCTCTCTAAGTATAGCCATGCGCCATCTGACATTTCCATTGAAAAAAAATTTTTTTTTCATTTACTGGTTTAAACGTTCTCAGTATGATTTTACGTACGACCATGTGTTGTTTACAGTGACTAGAAAAATAAAGTGGACATCACATTGATCATGGTATATTTGATCGGGTACAGTTTTTTCTTGCAAAGGAATTGGGGTATTTTCTTTTAATTATTGATAGAGTGTGATAATTAAGACAGTTTTAATAAAATAATATATTTCATATTGTTTTTATTTTGTACAAATCCAAATGATTTGATTGATGATTTTCTCAATATTGTTTGTTGTGTTATATTGTAAAAAAACTACACTTCGTTTTATATTTGTTTTTCAAAATCTAAATTTTTTACTATTTTAATATTTTTTGTTTATGTGATATTTGTATAGTTAGCACTTTTATTTATTTTATCATTTTTTGTTTTATATTTTTGTAAAGATTCCGTTATGGCTTTAATTTCAATATAAATTGTAATAGTTTATTTTTTTATTTTTTATTCTAATTATTGTTGTTGTTGCCATTGTGGTTCTTGTTACTGGTATATGTCAGACTATCGGTTTGTTATAAGGTTTAGTGGGATTGGTTATTTGGTATTTCACCCCGGTAAAATTAAACTGGATATCTTCTCATTAGGCAGTATTTCAAAGTGGTTGTATCAAAAAATAATAACAATCAATGAAATTAAAAAAGATCTAGAAAATAAATTAATACTTTTTTGTGTGGTTTTACTACTTGAAATATATTAAGTAGTCTAATATACATATGTATGTGTGTATAGCTATTATATTTGGTAAACAATTGGCATTTATTTAGTTTGTATAGAGAAGAAAAATATAGACATTTTTTTTGTCGCGATAACATTTTTAAATGTTATCCAATAAAAATATTTTTTTCTATTGTGGCTGATGTAATGGCGTATATATTCTTACCAAATGCAATAAACTAGTATTCGTGTTTAATTAGACATATGTTTGTATGTATATATTAAATTAACTCTTATTGAAATCGTAGGAGTTCTTATTGGAAAAGTGTAACGAACCGAATTTGTGGTTAAATTCCCGTTTCATTTTAGTTAGACTCAAACAATTAATGTATAATTAATTTATTTTTGGATATTTAATTTATTGTTATGACATTTGTTTGTTTTGATTTTTTTTACTGAAATTTTGATTTTTTTTTTCAATGTTTGTAAGGAACAAAGTTGAAGTAAAGATCAATAAATTTAATAAATTTGAATTTTCTGGATGCAAGAATAAAGAATATATTCCAAAGCCATACAAAAACACAAGACTACTGGCAGTGGGTGGATCACAAGTAATTGTTTTCAGTTCACTTTTACGATATTATAAATGTAAATCAAATTTACAATTAAGGAAATCCCAAAATATTTTTTTGGAAAATTACTCAAACCCCTTTCAAAACCACATGACGTAGAAAAATCTTTTAAATTTAAAAATAATGATTTTGTATTCTGCAAAAACGTAACATAAATAAAAACAAAATGTAACACAACACTGTGTAACAAGGAATAAGTCTTACAATTCGAAACCAAATGGATCAAATAAATTGTATTAAGTTTGGTAACATTTATTACCTTTGGTACTCTTGTAGTACTTAACCTAAAGTACCTATATGACATAACCTAATGTACCATTTTACAGATATATGTACAAATTCCCATAATTACCTTACATCACTTTACATATTCTCCAATTTCAGTCCTCTTCGTTTGCACAAATTCTAATTGTACCAAATTTAATACACATTAATGCGAATTTCCCAAACTGTCTACATACCCCAATTCAACACCCCAATAGAGAGCTCAATTATTTCTCCCAATAATTCAAATTGTCTTAAATTTAGAGCCCATAAGTACATATTTCCAAAACTATATCCATACCCCAACCTACACTCCAAAAGAAATGTTAATTCCTAAGTAAAAGGTTCGAGCTCTATCGATTCACCTATATCCGAATTGTATCAAATGTTGTACTATTTAATACACATTAATATAAATTTCCATAACTAACTAACTCAACAATCCAACATAAATCATATTTCCAAATTCTAGGTTTCCAACCCGATCGGTTCACCCAAATCGAAATTGTACCACATTTAGTACGAAATGCCAAAACATCCTATATACTCCAATCGTACACTCCAACAGTAATCATAATTCTAAATTTAGGGATTCCAGTTTTATCGGTTCCACCAAAATGCAATTTGCACCAACATTAGTACCACTTAGTACCCATAGGTACAAATTTCCATAACTACCTTACAATCCAAAAAAATCCTATTGCAAAATTCCAAATTTAGAACAGATTAGTACGAATTTCTAAAACTTCCTACATACACCGACTCAACACCAAAATCCTAATTGTACCTAATTTAGTACATATTAGTACGAATTTCTAAAATGTCCTACATACACAGATTCAACACCCAAAATCGTACCAAATTTATTGTATAATGCCGTAGTAATTTTATTTCGAAATATCAGTGATCCCACTCTATCGGTTCAATCGAAACCAAATATAGTACAATTTAGTGTTTTTCGTATGTATATGTTAAAATTTCCAAAACTACATACATATCCAAATCCTATACTCCGACGGTAATGTTAATTTCAAAATTCGGAATTTTAGTTCCATCCGTTCCTCCAAATTCAAATTGTACCAAATTTAGTACTTTTCGTATACATGATTACATATTTCCAAAACTACCTCCTATATCAATCAACTTCTCAACCTATTGCATTTTTAAAAATGTTAGCTCTATCCGTTCACATGCTAAGAAATGGAACCAAATTTAGTACATTTTCGAATATTTATAGTTTTTTTTTATCAAAGTGGAGTAGGGTACCATAGAGACTGCCCAGTCCGACATAGGTTCTTTCCATACTGGAATTGATTGTTTAATATACGTACTGTTATCTTGTATTCCAAAAAATATTTGTTCAAAACTTGAACGACTAATTAATAAAATGAAATAATGAATTTAGTAGCCATTTAAAAAGTGAATCTAAACTACGACCCTGTATTGAATTTGTTTATTTCAAAAATCTTGATAATGCTAAAAAATTGGTTTCTTAAAACCTTTACACTCTTCCTCCCACGATTTCGTTTAGAGTCCTATTAATATTTTTAATAAAATAAAATAAAAATAATTTCTTGGAGATAACAAAACTATAGATATATGGAGGGAATCTTTAACTTCTTTTGTTTCGAATTCATAAGGTAAGGTTCAATATCTATTTTAATGGGTATTACTAAAATATAATATATGTAGTGTATTTGTTAGTTTGTATTAAGAAATGTATGTATATTATAAATTACAACCAAAAAATCTTTATATATGGGTTACCAAATACCAAATAAAATATTATAAAGAAAGAATGATACGCAATACTTGAACTAATACTTGTAACTAATAAAGCCCAGCTTGCATTCACTACTAAATATATAAATAAAGTTATGTTACGAAACTACAATATGTTTTGGTATTTTATTCTAAGCATTGCAATCGTTAGCAATTTGTAAAGATAGCTGCTACTATGAGTTGGTGTAAATTACATTGTAGCAGTATTAGCTCAATAATATTAGCAAGTTTTAGTCATAGGTGTTTATGTCAATGTGTTGTCAAATATTTTTTTGTTTTGTATATTCCGTAGTATGTCGATAAATAAAACAAATTTACCAATGATTTGGGGTGGAAAGGAAAACTCAGGATAAGGTCAGAGAAAGACACATTTTACGTTTCATTTAATCCATTCAATTCCAAACTTTGATGTTCCAAATTTCGTTTCAAATCGGCAAGGGTACGTTGAATTAAGGTTGCTTTATCTGTGCTGTTGGTGTTGCTGTTTGTTGTTGTTGTTGTGGCCACATTTGTTGTTGAATGAAAATCAGTCTTTAATCCATTGCCTGAGAACGATGATAAATGATTGAAGTCGTGACTAGTCGATTTCATGTTCGTTTGTTGGTGCATGGCAAAATCACCACTGCCGGTGTTGTATGCTTTTAGGCGCTGATGTTTTAATTGATCTGTGTAGAGAGAGAAGGAAATATTGTGTTAGAAAAAGTTAAAAAATACAAATTAGAGTCTGAGCAAAACTGAATAAAATGTATTTCAAGACGCGAACGTCGGCCGTCAGGATTTCCCGTTGCCAATAAATAACAGACAGCAAACGGCCGTCGCTGACTCTGAACTCTCTGGCTGTGTTTTCACTCTTAACATAATATTCTTACCTTGAATAAAATGTCACATTTCTTTACTCTCCTACACTCACGAGAACAATGGAGATCAAAAGACGACGGCGCGGCGACTGTAACAACCGAGCACGACACGATAAACGTAAACAAACAAAACCACAAAATGGCCACACTAACCAAAACAAAGAAGAACTAGTAGAAAGGCAAATAGCCCAATTTTATTTAACACAACATTTTATATTGGCAAATAATTTTCAATGATTTGACAAATTCAATTAAAACACTTGAATCAACCACTTCACTTTGTCAATAACTTTGATTTACAAGGAGGAATTCAAACATTGATAATGGCGTAGGGGGGAAAGAACACAAACACACAAAGAAGAAACGAAAACAGAACATAGATGAGCAGGCAACTTGCAAATAAAATAATAATATCAAATTCACTGAACTGGTTTAAACTAATTATAAAAATTCTGAAATTATTACCGAAATTAAAGAAAACACGACTCGCGAAACTCCCGACAAATTAATCGCGACCGGCGTTAATGAAAACACAAAACAACTGAAGAGAACATAATTGTAGAGTTGCCATCATCAATGTAATTAAATTATAAATGTGATTGATAGTGAACTTCATTCAGTCATTTAATTTAGGCTTTAAATATGTAAATAATAGCAATTTAGACAAATATACATATGTGTCTTTTTTTCGTTTAAGGACAAAAAGTGTGGATTTTTTTCAAAATTTTTTTAGGGACCACAAATAAGCGCAAACTTTTTTTTTAATTTCTTTTTTCAAAAACCACAAATAGATTTTGATTTGTTATTAATATTATTTAAGAACCACAAAAAGGCGTAGACTTCTGTAACATTTTTTAAAGGACAAAACACAGAGGTGAATTTTTTTAAGGTATGGAATGAATGGCTATAGACGCATAAATTATGACCAGAACATCGCCAAATTTTACACAGAAAGCAAGCTGACCAAGGACACCGCAAATCACTTTTCGTGATAATACGTCAATATTTAGCTGGTCCAAGGACCCAGACTTTTGTGTGTATATTTATTATTTAAGGCCATAAACCAGAGAAGATGACAGATGATCTAAGGAGCGTGGTTGGCCTTCAAATTGGCGGAAATGTGGCGGTAATCGCCTTAGCCAACGAAGAAGATGTTTGTTTTCATGATAATCAATCAATATTTAGCGGTTCGAATGAACCAAGACTATTATCGGACAAAATTTGAATCTTATGGCGTAAACGGTAAATCCGGGAAACATGATTCAAAAAAGTTGCCAGTAAGAGAAAGATGATCTGTTGACCTCTATTCAGTCAGGAAGATGCATATATCGCGAAATATTGCCTAGACTTAGAATATAGATCCGCAAACAGAGCGCCGAGGTTCTTATATGGTACGACTCAGCTTCAATCGAAATCAGAACTATCCTCATGGAAATGAAGAAACATCAGTTAGTAACAACGAATTCGTTACGAAAATGTAAATACAAACTTAAACCTTTCAGTGTTTTTGTCGAATATATTCGACATTTAAAAGTACTCTCTTTCTTTGCGATTTTTCGGACATACTATTTACTATTGATACTTTTGTTTTTGCAAATTTTAGATTTTTATTCCGACAACATTTTTGTTTTTTTGCCACTGAAAGGGTTAAAACCAGTGAGCGGAGCAGTATTGTCGGACGGGGCCGACCATATGATACCCTACACAACATTCACGAAAATATAACTTATATTCTCAGCTTGGGCAATATTTCACGATTTTTGCAACTTCTTTTGACCGACGAGCCCTTCTAATTAGATTCGCCCTTCCAGATTCCCTTCACCATGGGTTGTTTTATGATGTTCGGCTTTCAATTATGCGCTATAGATCGATGATCGAAAAAACACAAAAAATTAAGTTTTCGGTTCGGATCCTCCAGGAAAATTTCTATATTTTCGCCCTCTAGTGTGGTAATGGGATACTAAATAATATATGAATACGTAAGCACCTGTAAATATTTAAGTGTAACTCCCACATCCGAGTACATACGACAATATAATTGGTATCCATTGGATACCAATTGGATGTGCTATCAACTTTTTGGGGCTATGTCCTTTAGGAGTTAATAAATACACCAAAGAATACAACTTTTGTCATTTTTCACACAAAAGTAAGGGTCAATCTGAACCGCTAAATATTGACCTCTGGAGCGACCAGAAAATCACACAAAAATAAAGTTTTTGGTCCATTTCATCTCCTAAATATTAACCGATATTTACCAAAAAAATAGGGCTATTCATTGGCCAGAATCAATCTTACATACAACATTTTATGAAGATTGGTCCATAATTGTGGCCTGTAATGGACAGACGGACACACATGTCCAGATCGACTCTAGGACCAATATTTCTCGGCACTACAAACTCTTGGGGCTACACAAAGCTATAATACCCTGTCAACATAGTTGTGTAGGGTATAAATACCGGAAAGGTGGAAGGAAGTACCGTTATTTTATGTCAAAGCCCGAATTAATTCAGAAAACGTTATGTGAAATGATTTTTGACTTAAAAAAATCGAACATTCATATTGCAGTCAATTCGAGCGGAGGGGCTATACCAAAACGCAGGCCCATTACCCGATACCAAAAATCTTAAGAGTATTGTCTCTATCGAAACTTCTCATTACACACTTTCAGGGGTATACTGTGCGTATGATTATTATTACCGTTTCGCAAATGTAAAAAGTATACGCAGTGGATGTCTATATAGCATCTATACGACATACACATTAAATAAATGATTTAAGAATAAAACGATACGAATATATACATATGTTTTTAGAGAACCCTCTTAATTAAATTCTAAATTATCAATTAAAGTAATTTTCAAATTAATTCTCCTTCTATCTAAAGATTCATATATAATTGAAATCACTCACCTTCCCTTTGCGCAGCAGCAGCGGCATATCTCAATTTATTATTTTCGAATGTTGAATGGCTTTTGTAGACCTTTCGCTTTAACGGTTCACTTTGAGGACAATAATTTAAGGTTATCTTTGGACCCATTTCTGTTGCCTGCTGGATAACATTGTGATTGCGTGCATCATTATATTCATTTGTTGCTTCCTGATAGGCGACACCTTGCAAATAGTTTTGATTCAAGTGATCATTGATTTTCATGGCACTATTATCCTGATCGGAATCACTCCATTGCGACGACATTGGTTGTGAAGAGGGGCCAGTGAAGGCTTGAGCCTTGGCCGTAATTCCAGCTGGAGCTGTTAAACGGCGCTGTTGTAATGGCGAAGCTGTGGGACTTAAGTTTCGTCGTTGCACTAATGGGGAGTTGAGTTGCTTTCGCATTCCCGGTTCGGGTGCAATATTTTGATTAATGAAATTTGTCAGATGAGTTTTACGTGGACTGCAAGCACCCAATTTGGGGCTACCCGGTGGGGATTGAGTTTCCAATTTCAGCATTTCAATACGTTTATTGACGGCAGCAGTGAGTTCCTGTTCGGTTAAGTCGGTCGCTTTATTTTTCGATTGTTGGGCTTGCTGTTGTTGTTTTTGTAAATCAATTTCACAATTCTTAATCATTTCGACGCGTTTATTGGCCAAGGGATTGATGCGACGTGGGCTTGGTTGTGGTGTTTCGCGTGGTATGCTGTAGGAAAAATCAAATAATCAGTTGCAGATTAACAACGAATGAACAAAATGTCGACCAACCTCTGAACGCTGTTCCTCATGGATTGCAATATCGATTCGGCTTCCATTATCAATTGTTTGTATTTCACATCAGCCTCAAAGTCCGCCCTCAATAGGGCCTTCTCACTTTCAGCAATGGTCATGAAACGAGTTTCTCGTACATCCGTAAATACCAAGGAACTGGAGCGGTGTGACAATTGGTGGGGTGTTGTTTTGCTGTATCTGTTAAAAAAAAAATATTTGAATTACAATCGCATTATTATTCTTTAGTTATTACTCACCTATGCGCATCATTGCTCTTTATATTCTTCCTCAAACAGACCGGTGTTCCTCCAACACTTCGAGTTTCTCTTGGTCTCCGCATAGGCGAACGACAGTTGTCCTTACCCTCCGAGCTCTTCTTTCGGGTCTTGTGAAAACGTTTACGTCTGCGCTGAGCATTGCCAGCCGCCGCATTCATTAAATTCTGTTCCCCGGACATTTTAATACTTCGATTGCTACGCCTCGAGCGCATCGATGCTTGCCGCTGATGACGCTGCGACATCACTGGACTGCCATAATAACAGGCACCCATGTTGATTTGATCACGTCGATCAAAGATCTCCTGCACGGAGGCTGTGTCAATGAAATCAATATCCAATAGATCATCTGTATCACATTCGTCACCAGCATCCTGACCGGTATCCAGGTCGGTGGGACAGTCTGTGGGATCAGAATCACTGCTGCAAAGGAGGGGAGGAAAAAACAAAATCATCAACAATGTGTCCCCTTCACCTCACCCCAACTCACCTCAGTATGTCAGTCTCCTTTTCATAAATATAACTCTCATCGAATTTACCCATCATTTCGTTAAGTGTATTATCATCATCGCTGACAACAGCCAAAGGAGCCTCGGGGTGTTTCTTGTGTGGGCTGGCAATTGGCAAAGCGGCAACAGGTTCCACAGAATGTTGCTGGCCCAGTTGCTGTTGTTGGGGGTGTTGATAGCCGTGATGCAATTGCAGTGAACGTTTGCGTCTCACCGTGTTCGGTGTGTACGAGCGATGTGCATTTTCCACTTCAGTCAAAGAGGATGAAGACCCCGACGAAACACACGACATGCTGTTTGGTGGTGTGGATAGGTGTGGTGGCGATAAAGAGGATGGTTGACAACGACAGCAAGGGGTGATACGGTTGGTTAAGAAGAGAAGAATGATTTTGATTTAATTACTTTAATTGCTCTCTTGTTACCTCATTTTATGCAACAACATGTCCTCACTTACTTGTTATTATTGTTATTGTGGTGGTTATGGTTGTTGTTGTTATTTCCACTGCTGCTGTTGCTTTTGTTCGTGGCGTGGCTGGTGTGACTGCTAATGTTGCTGCTGCTGCCGGTGCCGGTGCTGTTGTTGTTGTGAATTGTTTTCATGCTCAAAGTGTTTCCCCTGCTACTGCCGCTGGCACTGCCCGAATTGTAATGACGACTCGACGAGCTGACAATGCCACTAGGCAACGATGTGCGATGCTGAAAATCCTGCTCCTGCAGATGTATGGTTGACAAGGCAGACGTTGAGTGTGACGAAGTGGATGAAGACATAGTCATAGAGGAGGAGATCTGTGAGATATTCATAAGATTGCCATCATTGAGCTGCGACACTTGTTGTTGCCCACCATGCATTGTGGAGCTGGAAGAGGATGTCTCCGTGGTTGAATACCATGGATTGGTGCGAATGCGACTTCGTTGCCGGGGTGATGGTGCTATTGAGAAATAAAGCAAAAAAATAAGCGATTAATTTAATCCCTCTTTGCACTCGACCACTCCACTTACATTCGAATCCCTTCAGGGTAGGTATTACGATGGTATTGCGTATCGGCAATGGACTGTGTTGATTCGAACGTGTACCACTATACTGTAGAGGATGTTGCTGTTGGTTTAAAGTTTTCTCATATGGATCCATGTTATTTGGGTGTTTAACGAGCCCACTCTCACTTTCCTCCAAGTGGCGATGGGCAAACGATGTTTTGGGCTATAAAAAATAGGTGCATTGGAAGACAACAACCACAAAAAATAAATATAATGTTCAATTTGGTGAGTTAGTCTACCTACCAATGGGTCAATGGGAGACATTTCCTCGATTTTATTCAACCCAAATTTATAACGTTGAGCCTCTATAGCCAAAGAGTTGACACTTTTGGGAAAATAATGTGTTCCTGTTCTCATGTTGACATAATATTCGGGTGGGGTATAACCGGCACCGGGCGATGTGCCATCCGTAGAATACCCCGTGGAATAAGCACTTTCCGGAGATGATAAACTCACCATGGGTGCATTGCCAGACTGTACCCCAGCACGAAATTTACCTCTCGTTCCCCCGCTACGACCCTGGACATTTTGCACCGTAAAATTCGAAGCATTCCTTGGAATGCATTCCTCACTGCCCGTACGAAAACCAATAACAGTGGGATTGGGTATTTTCGATGGCAACAGACGTCCATAACGGGTGGATGCATCATCTTGTGTCTGTTTTTCATCCGAAAATGCGGGAATCCGTTGGCCGCCATTTACAAATTGTTCCGATTTCGGACGTTCAATGTCATTCAAAATGTCCTGTAGCAGTTTTTCAGGATGTCTTATAAGGGTGCCGATTTCCTCATAGTGTACAGCATTTGGATCATCATCGTCGTATGGCTTCGCCTCATCGGGTGGCGTATATGATGGGTGGCGTTCGATATTGGCATTGGTCACATCTGCCAGGACACTCAACGTGGCCGAATTCAATTGGCCATTATTATTGGAATGCATAGAAGGCTCCTTTGAGCCAGTCGACCATGACAACGAAGAAAACGATGAAGTGGAACAATTCAATTGGTGTTGCTGCTGTTGTTGTTGCTGTTGCTGGGGCTGCAACTGATGCTGGTGGTTATTTGGCACTGGTGGCGGCTGATATTGTTTTTCTTCGCAAGAATTTTCCCTGGTATTTGGGGCTGTGTGATGATTACGCAAATACTGTTGGCTGTGATGTTGAGGAGCATAAAGGAAATTATCCGATTTAGGAGACATAACATGTTCACCATCTGGCGACTGCCAGCCATAACGACTTTGAGTCTATGAGAAAAAGATATGAGGATGACGACATAAAGATAATCGGATAAATAAGTCATTGAAGGATACTTTGTTGCTTTTGCTTTTGGCACACTTACATGATTCTGTATGGGCGATACCTCTCGACGTCGCACAGGACTCGATATAACACTGCTACAGCCGGTGTGATTGGCACTGGATGATGCCTGGGAATTTGAATTACTTTTATATGGCGACGAACAGCTGCCATTGCCCTGATGCGGATGCTGCTGCTGGTGATGATGATGGTATATCGTAAATCCTGTTGCAGCATGCTTATGTTTATGGTCGTTTGCTGCTGATGCTGCTGTTGTTGTTATTTGTTGTTCCGCCGCCGCATTTTTATTTTTATTACCCTTTTTACGAGACCTCACAATGTGATTCTCCATCCATGATCGTAACTTTGAGCCAAACATTTTGTGTGTGTGTGTGTGACCGAAAGTATGTCTGTCGTTTGTTGTGATTTTTATGTTGGTCGTCGTCCTTGTTATTGTAGTTGTAATGAAGTGTTAAATACTTAAAGTTGTGTGCGTGACAGCTCCTCGGTGAGTTTTCATTGAAGTTTATGATATTTTAAATATTGATGATTACCCATTGTCAGAATTGGACGGATATCTTTGGTTATTCCTTTGATGAACTGTATAAGAAGAAGAAGAAGTAGAAAGAACATAAAAGGAAATCAATTGAAAGGTAGATATATTACTAAAAAATATGCTTATACAAACCATAAACTTTCTATAACAATATTATAAAAACAACTTTAGAAGTCTCGAAAAAGTTTATTTTTAGGAGTCTTACTTTTATTACGACGGTATCCAAAAGTCCCGAAAAAAGTTCTGCCCTTTATTTGATATTTGATATGTCTTATAAAAGAGTAAAGTGATTGACTGTGTGACTTAATGATTCATCAACGCCCAGACGAAACGGCTAAAGATAGAATCTTGAAATTTTAGGTGAGGGTCACTCTTGGTCGACAGGTGCCAGATAAGGCTGGGTTTGGCATTTGTATTTGCCAAACCGGTGGAGCTAGAACTTTGAAATTTGCATTGAGGGTTATTGATGGAGTGTAGGATAGATGTACCAAAGATTTTGTGGACATACGAACTATAACTATCCCAAAAGTACTAAAATGTACTAAATTTGTGTACGTGTGCGAAAAGTTCTAAATCGTACTATAATTGGTACAATTTGGATTTGGGTGAACCGATAGAACTGGGATCCTGCAATTTGGAATAAGGATCATTGTTGGGGTGTAGGATTGTGTTATGTAGGAAATTTTGTGTACAAAATGGTACCAAATGTGGATTTGGATGAACCGATAGAGTTGGAACATTGAAATTTGGAAATAAGGTTACCGTTGGATTGTAAGATTGGGGTATTTGGGAAGTTTTGGAAATTCGCACTTATGATTCTTAAAGGAGGTAGTTGTGGAAATACGTACTGTGAGAGAACATATGTACTAAATTGTTGTAAAATATTAATAATGGTTGTTATTGGGTTTTACACACTTCCCACATAGTATCGTCTACTGTATGTATTATGGAACCTTCATAATACATACAACAGACGATATTATATTGGCGATGTATGACAAAAATATTTTCCATTTAAGGGGACCCACCCATTCTCGGTTTCAAAAAGTTTAATTCAAGAATGTCCCTATAAATTTTCAAGTGAAAATCTCAACAATTTTTGAAGATATAGCCGATTTATTGCATTAGCATCAAGTGACAGCAAGAGGACTTCTAAAACTTTAAACGCGTTTTTCTCCAAACAGCGTTTTTGCGAATGGCGGGCACAATAACTCGAAAGCTAATAACCAAATCGATTTCAAATTTTGGGACGTTTCTCAGTGAGTTTGTAGCTATCGTATGAACTAGGATAAAGCCAATCGATGAAGATCTTCCATATTTTTGAACTTAGTTTGTGGTCAAAAATAGGCAAAGTTCCGCCATTTTGTTAATTGTTGTGCGATGTCAATAATTCTAGTTCATACGAGAGCGTATGAACCGCGACGTTCCAGTGAGGATTTATCATGCCCGCCATAAAAAAATAGGACTTTTCTTTGATCACAAAAAACAACAACAAACATTTTGTATAAATTAGTTTTCTTCCTTTTTAAAATTTAAAATATATGTACAAAGTTACAACCCATAACAAGCATTGGTATTCATTTACCAGCCCATTTAAAATCTTAAAAATAAAAAAAATCGAGAATGGGGGGGGTGTTCCCTTAAACAGATGCAACTTATGTATGCATTTATATTGTTTGTTTTTATTGTTTCACGTTATCAATATCAGACAATGCATTTCAACCTTGGGGTTCTATAATTTTTTATCTCATTTTTTATATATCAAGGTTTACATAAGGTCGAACAGTAAATCCAGCTGACTATTAAGTTTGCTGTAACAATTAAATTTAAAAACTGTGATACATTCAAAATTAATATAGGATCAAAACATGAGCCCTGAAGGTCTGATCCCAAAATTAATTATTGGATTTTTCACTTCTATGCGTTTCTGACCATAACCATAACTTAGTTTTCCTTCTTAGCAGTACGACCTTGTTGCACTAAGTCATTCTAATCAAAGAAACAGTTTGCGAAACCTTCACAATTAACCGAGCTTTGCTTAAATTTTGAGGTCTTAGTTCTTCTCGATGTTTCCATTGGAATGACTATCGTAGATATACACCCATGATTCGTCACCAGTTATGGCTTTTTAAATAAAACAGTTTATTTACTTTACTTTTATTGTTCAGTGTTAATTGCACTGAGACATCACGAAACATTTTAACCTTTTTATTCGATATACATATTCAATATATTTCGATCATGTACGTGTTTATGACATTTTTCTGAATGCATAATATATTCCTCACCTTATTACCACAATCCCTAAAATCTCTGCTGACAAAAAAAAAATAAACGCAGTTTCCAGTTTTAAAATGCCCCTATTATTTAAATCAATTTTTTTCTCCAATACAACAATCAAATCAAATACTCTTCTACTTTACCATTACCCACCTAAACCATAATCAAATCACGAATTTCCTATTAACAATAAATCCGATATCTTCTAAACCACGTTTTCTTCATCCTTTTGAGAAAACAAAAACAGTTAAGACTTATCAGTGCAGAACTTTTGATAGTGAAGGCCCAAAACAATGGCAATAAGAAATAAAAAAGAAAATGGGGAAGCATTCTTAAGTTTTAGTTTATTCTCCAAAACTGAAAAGCAAAAATATGTCTCCGGGGATCAGTTTTCACAAACGGTTATGGCCAACACGAAAAGATAACAGGGCCAAATGTACTGACTCAATACAGATTGCCATGGTGCGATAAAAGCGGAAAAAACAAAACAACACAACAACAAATGCCAGGAAACTGTTTTCATGTTTAACCTAAAAACATCAGCCAGAATCCTGCCTAGCTGCATGGCATGGCATTGCAAATAACGAAAGTAGTCTGTCATTTAGTTTGTAAGTTAGTCTATTGTTTTCAGCACGCTGTGGCAACAAAAAAGAGAAGATGGGGGAACGAGCACAATATAAAAACTAACAGATACCTTGGTTATGTTGCGGTATGCAATTTATCTTGGAGAACACACACACACATTTACATAGAGAATACTTTTCTTGATTTTTGTTTTCTTATTGCATGGTTGTGGTGGGGGGAGGGGTTTAGGGAGGGAAAGAGGCAAGCTGAGCTGGGAGACGATTACATTGAATGCTGCTTTGAATAATGTTTTATTACCTTTTTCACAATTTCCTTAGCCTTCTTCATATCCTTTTTTATTGTCCTCATAACAGTTTTCAGCAATAACTTCAATCTTTTTTGTACCAACGAACGAACGTATGAACGCACAACCAAACACTCACACACGAAAGCACTCACAATCACTATCGTACACTCATTTATATTCTGCTCCCCTTTGTGAGATGCATAAGAGATGCTTTTTGTTATTGTTGTTGTTGCTGTTAGTGTCAATGGGATAACGTGGACAACAACGGGTGGTGATGTAGGTTGAAATCGTATTAAATGCTGATGAACACCCCAGTAGTGTGTGCTGAGGGGATGGTGGAGCACAAAAAGAGCATAGATAACGTCTAGTGTCTCGTGGTTTCCTTGTTAGTTTTTACAGTTGTTGGTTGGTCCGGTGCCTTTATGTGTGTGTATGTGTGAGTGTGTCTAATGCGGTAATGATGCCAGTGTTTATATTCTATGCCGCCTTAAGTTATGCTTCTTCTTGTTGTTTCGTTGCTTAGTTTTGTTTACATTTACTCAACGGTCACAGCATGAGAGATAACGGCATGTAATTTAAATTGCTGTGAGTGTGTATGTGCCTGTCGCTGTGAGTACTGCCGCTGTTGTTGTTGTTACGATAAACAAACGAAACGCCGTCAAGTGATGAAGGATGTTGTAAAGTTAACGTTAGATGAAATAATGAGAGCAAGGGCAATTTTCCAAAAATGAAATGAGAGAAACATACAATGAGAGATGTTAACATGAAATGAGATGGGGAAAAAAGAGATGTGTGTTCAGGTTCGACATTTGTTACTTTTTTGTTTGGTGGGTTTTTGGTCTTGGATTTGAACATCGAACAACAACAACACAAAGTAACGTTTAAAAAATTCGTGCTTACCGGAAGTCTGGAGTCTGGCAATTTTAAGGGTGGCTAAATGATGATAGTGATGGTGGTGGTAGTGTTGTAGGTGATGATGTATCGTGATTTATATAAACCAAATGTAAGAAAATTTCTTACTTTTCACATCAAAGACTCTTCGGGCTTTTAAAGGAATTTCTTGCAAATCTTTTCAGACATCACATAAATATTTAATTATAGATTCTTTGTTCACAATGCTTTGGACACGTTTTGCGTATTTTATTACAGCATTTAGTAACAAATAAATTGTTTATTGCACTCACGTTATACATACATGCATACAAATTGATGTGTAAATTGTAACATTGATTGTTGTTATTGTTTTTTTTTTTTTTTTTTTTTTTTTGTTACGCCACCACCAATAATAAATTATTATTTTTTTATTTATTTAATTGTGAATCTTTAACTTATATTAATATTATATATATTTATATTTTTTTTTCTTTCATGATTTGGTATTACACCACAGACTCAATCAATACACTAGGTGTTGGTATTTCCTTTTATATGTCTGATAGGCTTTTTTGTTTCCTTTTTTTCTGGTCTTTCACAAAAAAAAAACTTTCTTCAACAATATCTTCATTTACCGTTATGTTAATGTTATTCAAAACGCAAACCGTGAGCAACTGAATTCTGTGTGAATTTTATTCAAGATAAATTGTCCTCCCTGGAGCAAAATCATGGCACACAAACAGCCACACTAAGGCATTGTTCGGGGTTTTGCTTGAAACGCTCCATTGAAATTCATGGACTCTTTTGTTTTGTTTTTGTTGGCTTTCCTTCTTCTCCCCGAGTAATGCACTTGCGCAATTTTTGCAAAATTCGTATCTGTTTTTCTGGATATTTTTAAATACTCACTGCCATCTCCTTGTTGTTGTTGTGTTTGTTGTTTTTTGCCTCGCACATTGCAAAGCACAACAACATGCCGATCACGGCTGTAGAGTGCTGGCATTTCGAAAAAAATGTTTTTGTTCCAGATGCCTAGCGGACATGCCGCTACTCACTGCTCTTGGGGTGGTATTAAGAGGATATGTGCTGTTATTCAGTTTCTGGTCTGTTCTTCCGTTTGTCATTGCATCTAAATTTTGCGGGAAATCTTCTAAATACGCCAAAACTACGACAAAATAACACATAATGAGCGTGTGGCATTACACAGAACGAACGATGTTATGGCCAACACATGGCACTAGTGTTGAAAAATTTTACAGGGATTTCAATTGCAATACATTTATGTTGATATGATTCCGAATATAGTATATTTTTTACATGTATTTAATACATATTCTATTTTTCTTTATTTATCTTTGATAATTGATTTATTTTATGTGTATGTTAGACAGGATAGAGCACAACTTGTCGATGTGACACATCCCATATTAGGAATATAAAAATAAATATTTTTATTTTAGATTATATCGAGCCATATTCGCCAAAAAAAACGTAACCCTCAAATTTGAAATTTTACAAGAATTTTTTTTTTTAATAAATTCAGATTTAATAAAGCTACTATTTTGCTATATAGAACTATAGTTTAAAACAAAACTAGTTTATAAAAAAAAAACTATAGCTCTACATTTCAGAATAATAGCTTTATTAAATCTGAATTTATTAAAACAAACCTTCTACAGTAAAATTTCAGATTTGAGTTTTTTTTACGCTTTTTCTTTGCGAATATGGCTCGATATATAGATAGTAATAAATAAACTATCATGAAGAACCTAGTGCTGTCAGATATTAAACAAATATAGAAAAAAGTATTTATCAGGTACAGGTCATGTTTAGAACAAAATATGAAAAACTACACTATAGTCGGTATGTTCCCGTACTGCAAGAATCTACTATTTTTTACTCCGATAACACATTTTTCCTTTATGATATCGAAGAAAATAGTAAAATCGAGTAGATTCTTGCAGTACGGGAACATACCATATGAAAAAATTTCAGGACATGTTCACAACCCTGAATTTCAAATTTAACTTAAGTACTGTGTTTATCGAAATTCTAAAAAAATCCATGGTACAATTATAAAAGGTAACAGCAAATCCCAGCTGATTTGATTCCAACGTAATACTAGTGTCAATATGAATTTGACAAATTATGTTTTTAAAAATCACCCAACAGGAAAATTGGGAATGCATACAATTTTTAATTGTTCTTTATTAAATGTGCTCCCGTATTCAACTTACTCAATCTGCCTGCTGGGAAAGTTTGACGAAGCAAATCTTTGTTCAAGGAACAACTCGCTATTCCGAGCATTTTCATATGTGTTACACATATATATGGCAATGGCTCAATTATAGGAAAGATGTGGAAGCTATAGAAATATAAATTTGATAGATTTTCATTCATGTTTTTCAATTTTTATTTTGAGGATTCGAAAATATTTCATTTTCAAAATAAAAATAATTTGATGATAATTTGTTTGTTTACATGTTTCTGTCAAATGAGTTGACACTAGTAGAACTTACAACAACAAATTTCCATGTGGTTGTGTATCGTTTTTAATACAACAACACTTGCTGTTACCTTCTATCTGTATAACATGAAAAAATTCAAAGAATTTCTAAAGTTATGTACAATAATTACAAATATAAATATTTTATATAATTCGATATATATCGAGCCATATTCGCCAAAAAAAAACGTAACTCTCAATTTGAAATTTTACAAATAAGGTTTTGTTTTAATAAATTCATAATTAATAAAGCTATTATTTTGAAATTTACAATTATAGTTTAAAACAAAACCAGTTTGTAACAAAACTATAGTTCTAAATTTCAAAATAATAGCTTTATTAAATCTGAATTTATTAAAACAAAACCTTCTCCTGTAAAATTTCAAATTGAGGGTTACGTTTTTTTGGCGAATATGGCTCGATATTATGCGAAAGCAATAATAATCGCATCGAATGCTTTATGCCATGTTCTCATGTTCTGACGGGCATTCGAACAACGTAATTCGCTCTCAGAATTACGTACATGAATTAACCCGTTCATACAACACTATTCTTAATTCATGTCACCAGAGTTTTTTTATTTCAAACATTTTGTTTCTTGTTTTACCTCAAAATTGTAACATATTTGCGTGAATCACATATAGATCTAAATAGAAAAATTAATTCTCTTTCCCCTGACTATAGTATGAACCCTTATCTATTTACTTTTCATTCATCATTTCCATTTTTTCTGAAAATATTGTTTTTTTTCATACATTTTTATATTTTCTAAATTCAAATGTCACATATAAAAATGTGAAGAATTTTTATTTGGGTTTCCCCACATTTGTCTCTCGTTTTGTACGCTAATTAGAACAAAGGGGAAAGAAATGCATATTGCATCATGTAGAAGAAAATTTACATCCTTCTGCATAATAAAAATTAGAAAATTTTCAACTTTTCATTCATCATTTTCAATTTTACTAAAAAAGTTTGAAAATTTTATAAATCATTTCAAGCTGTCAAAATTAATTTATTTTCGATAAATGCTCTCAATTGTTAGGGATGGGACAAATTTCTTGGTTATTCGGAGTGTGATTCGAATCGAACAACGTACAAAAATCGGTGTTCGCTCAGACATTTCGACAACGTACGTAAGTACTAAATGTTCTTAACGAAAATAACAACGATACGTCATTCAATAACTTCATTCATTTCCTCCCACCTCATTCGTAAACAACACGTTTCCATTTAGTCTCTCTCCCACCTCATTCGTAAACTTTCCCTTATACCACTTTGGGATCTTCTTTATCGGCCATTTTGTCTTCTCTTCCTATTCGTTAGCAGGTGGAACGTTTTTCAATTTGTTTTGCTTTTGGTTTTTTGGCGCATGGTTCTTTGCGGGATTTTACCCGTACGTATTCACATCCAAGGAAATTAACAAACAACAAAGAAAATACGTAACAAAATGAAATGTTATTACGAAGAACTCGGCGTTGAACGCGACGCCAATGATGGTGACATCAAGACGGCCTATAGGAAATTGGCATTAAAATGGCATCCGGATAAAAACCCCGACAATTTGGATGAGGCCAAGGAACGGTTTCAACTTATTCAACAAGCCTATCTGGTACTATCCGATCCCCAGGAAAGGGCATGGTACGACAATCATCGTGAACAAATCTTGAGAGGCAAAAACTCCGACTATGAAGACAACTGTTTGGATGTGTTCCAATACTTTACCGTGTCCTGTTTTAAGGGTTACGGAGACGACAGCAAGGGCTTCTATGCTGTGTACAGAGAAGTATTCGAGAAAATTGCCGCCGAAGATGCTGAATTTATGGACGATGAAATGGAAATGGAGAATATACCTTCATTTGGTGACTCCACCAGTAGCTATGAGGAAGTGGTTGGGCCATTCTATGCTTGGTGGAGTGCATATTGTACCAAGAGAACCTACACATGGCTGTGTCCCTACGATATTAAGGAAATTAAAGATCGTCGAATTTTGAGAGAAATTGAAAAGGATATGAAAAAGGTGGTGCAAAAGGCCAAAAAGGAGAGAAACGAGGAGGTAAGCAATGGACCAAGGCGATATGTCTTCCATTAATAAATGTATTATTTTGTTCGATAGGTTCGCAATTTGGTATCATTTGTACGGAAGCGTGATAAACGTGTCCAGGCCTATAAGAAACAGCTGGAGGAACGTGCAGCCTTCAATAGACAGAAACAGGAACAGAATCGTTTGGAACAAATTCGCAAACGTCAACAAGAATTGGCCGAGATGAGGCAAAACAGCATAGCGGCCCAAGGCGATGATTATGAAGAACAACTTAAGCAATTGGAACAACAATACAGCAGTGATGAAGACGCTTATAGTGATGAAGAAGAGGATGAAGATGATGGTGAATATGATAACGATATTGCGGGAGATGATGTACCAGATGATGACCAAGACGATAGTTATGAGGAGTTGTATGATGATTTGTATTGTGTTGCCTGCAACAGGGCATTTAAAAATGAAAAGGCTTTTGCGAATCACGAAACTAGTAAAAAACATCGAGAAAATGTTGAAAAATTAAAACTGGAAATGCATGAAGAAGAGAATTTATATCAAGGTGAGGAAGACGAGGACGATATACCAGTGGACGCTGAAGATTTACCACTGGCGAAAGAAGAGACGGAGGAACTTGAAATTGAAGATAATGAGGAAGAACAGGAAGTACACAACAAAAAATCTAAATCCCGCAAATCAAAGAATAAAAAGGACTCCAAAAAATCTAAACTGACAGTATTGATTAACTCCGATGAGGAGATTGAGGAAGATGATGAATTAAGCAAACAAGCGGCGAAATTGAATATTAGCAAAGTTGATGATGATGATCATGAAGATGACGACGATTGGGATAGTTCAAACAAAAAATCAGCTAAAAAGTCGAAAAATAAAAACAAAAATATTAAGAATAAGCCAAGTGTAAATGAGACGTCTGTTAAAGAAGAAATATTAAAACAAGAAGACAACTCTAGGAACACATCAAAATCCAAACCGCCAGAAAATCTTGTTGCTGCGAAAAAAAACACAGACAATGAAAAAACGCAACATATTTGTGTCACATGCAAGTCTCAATTTCAATCCAAGAACAAATTATTCTCCCATCTCAAAATTACAAATCATGGTGTGTATATACCCAAACCGAAAGCCAGTGAAGAGTCATCTGGTACTAAAAAGGGCAAAGGAAAGAAAAAATAATCTGGAAGCGTTCATTAACGTTTTAAGAACCAATATTGCCCATATGCAACAATAGTTTGGAAACGTATATTTCATAGCACACCTTGTAAATATGTATTTTGTTGATTATATATGTGAGAGTTAATGATATACTACCCCAATTAAATCAAAAAAAAAATCCAATTACAGCCCAAACTATGTGATTTTCAATAAATAGCGTTTTTGTGTGTACAGTCCAAAATATTTGTTTTTTATAGTCACTCGAAAAAATATAAACAAATAATCGAGCGTAAAAGCGTACAGTAGCTGTGAAAGGACCTTTTTATTCAATAATATTTTGGTTCTGAGTTGAATTCAAATAATAGAACTTTTTCAATTTTTTCAAAATTTTAACTTTTGTTTTTTTTATTTTTATTTATAATCTCCATCGTTGTATTGTAGTTTGAAATAAACGTGTAAATATATATAAGAAACTTAATAAATTAAAGTCGAAAAACTAAACTAGAAATAAAAGATTCTCAATTTCTTTCTCCGCATCTACACAAAGATAAGTACATTAATTGAATTATACAAATGGATATGTTTCAAACAACACATAGATTAAGTACACGTCGGTATGTTGTGTGCATTTGATGTAAATATAAACAATAATATAAACATTTGATATATATAAAGATTTTCAAAAATATATATAAGTAAACAACAAAAAAACACTTTGTGCTCATAGCGATGTTTGGCCGTTAACTTTTGTGACGCACATCTGCTTGCTTATAAACTATGGAATACAAACTAAACGATCTCCGCCTTCTACACGTCGTTTAACTCGAGTACGCATATTGGAAGATTCAGCTTTGAGACTAATGCCAGCACATATAAAACATAAAATAACACCAGCAATAGCACTGTAAAATGAGATACCTGGAGGTAGCATAGAAAGAAACAGGAAAACATTAAAGACAAATAAGCAACAATACAATGGCATGTCGCCGGAGAACAGACCTAGTGAACAGCCAGCGGCATAAAATGGTTCAGCATCTGGACCACAGAGTAGTTGGACCCTAGAAGCGGACCAACCCATGGGATGTAAGAATAAACTTAACATAACGCTTATGCCTGGAAACATTCATAATAATTGGCCAAATAAGGCTTTGTGTACACGAAAGAAATTGAAATAAATTCGAACTCACCTGCGGTAACTTGCGCGCATGCTGTCATATTATGAAGACTTTTTCCAAATATAGATTGCCTACAACAAGATACAAGCGTACATAAAACCGTTAACGTCAACAACACAAAGCCCAATGAAATGAAAAACATTGCTGCCTTCCATGTCGAAGGATATATCTCACTGTCTGTGGCAAAGCCATCCAAATCGAATGCCCCACAATGGAAATGCAAGTGTTTAGCTTCGTTAATGGCTTTACATCGAGTATATATACCAACTGAAGGATATCTGTATGTGGTCGCTGCTGTTGTCGCCAATGTCTGATTATCGATATTCGCTGTGTACTTTGTTGTTAGTGTAATAGGATGAGCTGTGGGTCCAATTAGCCATTTAGGTGTTACTATAGCCGTCACCACAAACATATCAGCTACAAGACTAAGGAGAAACCATACAAGGCTACCTCCAGTTATGATCATATAACACATGTTGAAAAATTTCAATCTATTATCAATTCGCTCTGAGATTCTGTTTTCATTTCATATTCGCTGCCATGAGGACCTGAAATAAAGAAAATATAAGTTAGAAGATAATTATTTTATTGGTATTAAAAAACGCAATAGATCGGTCCACGTCTTGGGTATCAACCATACGAATTTATCAATATGTCTCTTCTATTTGGTAGCATACACAATACAATACAGCTTTTTCACATGTTCAAATATCAAAGGATTAAAACAGATGCGCACTAGCAAATCGCCAATACAGGATTTGTTTGTTGAAATAAAATTCTAACGACAGAAATACCGTTTACGACTTTAAATAAAACATCAAAGAGTACAAGTGCATGGAATTAATTATCTGATACACCTTTCAGCTAAAAAATTAAATTATTTCAATTGAAGACTGCCACACATTAATCAGGATCACGTAAGACAAAACCAAGTTTTTGTAGGAAAAAAGAAAGTAAATATTATAATTTATATATTTAACATGCCACAGAAATATTCAATTCAATGGAAATATTCATATCCATCGATCCAAAAATGTGTAACACATTGAGTTTCGATTTTCTTATAATGTTTCAGTGTGTTATCTGTAATTTTGAAAAGATTTGATCATACTTCCATAACATTTTACCAAATTATAATAATTTGTACCATATTTTCAATATCTTCTTGCAAAATTATTTCCATTCGTATTCAAGTCTTAAAAATGTACGTTATTAAACCGATTTTTAATTTTATCGAAGTAATGCACATTCATTCATTAACAATTTTTTTCACTTTTACCATAAGCAATGCAACAACCAAAAAATTTGTTTTATTTTCCTAGTAAGGTCATTGTGATTTCTTATCTTTGTATCAATTAAATGAAATCATCAGCACTTTTTCTTTATTCTCGGCGATTCATTCAAAAGTGATTTTCAAATAGCCATTGCTTGCAAACGAACGATATCATCGTGTAATATTTGTGTGTGGCAGTGTTTATCTTGTTCTAGTTTAAAGCAATCAAGAAAAGCAAAAAAACACTCTCGTTTTCAATTTCAATCCGGCAGTGAATTGTGGTTTTCATCTGATAAGCACATAAACCAAATAAACCAGAAAAAAACATCACGCACAGAAGAACACATATCCAATTGTTATAAGATTTTTATTATTTCTTTTCTTTTCGATTAATTAACCATCAATTCGTCAGGCAAAACAAAGAAAAAGTGCAGAAGAAGTTCAATAACAAAATGCTGCAATTACATGATGTTGAAATACTTCCAACTCAACCGCACCCCGACGAAACAACTGAGAAGAAAATCGGCAAAACTTTACCAACCAACCAACAACCGCGTCGATGTTGATGATCGAAACAAATGTAATGTTTAGTATTGTCATAGTTGTTGTTGTTATTGTTTGGATGAAAAGCTAAACACAACCCAATAAGGCCGGCGCTGCCTTCCTTCTTACATTCTCCCAAACAGCGGAAGCGGCATGGTGCGCTGCTTGTTTGTAATGCATTCCCGTTCGTATGTATGCATGTATGCCCATGCATAGTTATTCTGCTCTGCTCTGGAAGTTCAAAATATCCCTGTAGTAAATGTGGTGTCATGTATCGCTTTTGTCGCCTATTATGGCGACGTGTCTACACCATTTCAACAATTTGTCTACATATCATGTAATAAGAAGAAGCATTGGTTATGTTAACAGCCATCTGAGCATGGTTATGCTTCTTCTTATTTTTCTTTATTTTCTTTTATTGCAAACAAATTTTGGCGGTAGTAGACAGACATTTTGTTAAAAAGTATTATAAAACGCGAGTGTAAAGTGATTAAAGGTAATTTGTTGATTAATTTATTTAATTGTTAAAGAGAAAAATATGAGCAAAAGAAATTACAAAAGACTTGTAAAAAAACAGTCAAGTGTGTACCAAAATAGGAACAGTGACAATATATGTGGCGAAAATGAAGTCTTTGCTGAGTATGCGGATAATATTGTGGACACGGAACAAACTTTTGAGGAGCAGTATAAAGATTTATCGGCCCCAAAATTGAAGTTGCGGGAAAAATTGAAAAAGTGGTACATAGAAACATCGCCTTCAAGAAAATGTGTGGAACAGCTGCTAGCTATTTTGCATGAAGAAGGGCTGGATGTGCCGCTGTCAGCAACAGCTTTAATGGGAAAAAGGCACGAATGCACAATACGAAAAGTGTTGCCAGGAAGCTATTGTCACATAGGGATAGAAAATCAACTAAGAAAAGTTGAAGAAATTTCACAAAAATTTGACTCATATAAAGGTATGTTCAACAATATTTGTTGAAGCTATAGTATTATTGGAAAAATAAATGAAATATGATTTTTTTTAAAGATTACTTAATTATTGTTAACTTTTCAGATGCTGCTCAAAAACAATATAGCACCATAGTGGATATATTGGCAGAACATAAAGTTTTATTAGATCGCATCAATGCACAAAATACAGTAACATCAAATATGATGCAAATTTTTCCCGTTGAAAACGAAGAAAAACTCAGACAACTTGATGCTATACTATCGACGAAAGCAGATCCATATGTAAGTAAGAAGCACAATGTTTACGTAAATTAAATAAGAAAATTGCAATATTTTTATAGATACGACAAATGAAGACACTACTTGGTGGTAATGCTGAAAGAAACCTACATTTAATATTTGGACAAAACATTATTATGAATTTCAACGTAGACGGCTTATTTGGAAAAAAAAAGATTAAAGGATTACGAACATGTATTTTCGGCCACAATAGGTAAGCAATATGACAACTGAGGTTGATTAATTATTATAATATACTTTTTTTCTTTCTTATTCAGATGTTATATCAACATTTAGCGATGCCTCCGATAAAACTCTAAGGTGTGCTTTCCAGAGGCAAAAGAAGAAGTTTTTCAAACAAACAAGTCGCAATAAAACCCTTGTAGATAAAACCAATTTACAAGCAAGCTATTTGGCTGAAAAGGAAAATTAATCCAATACATATATTGACATTTGTTTTGGTTGGTTTGTTGGTTGGACAGCAATATTTATTTATTTTTTACTTTAAAATTTAAAATTACAACGTGTTCCTTATTAACTTTTATAAAAAGACTGCATGCTACGTATGTACCTTATTACTTTATATGAAATGTTTTGTTTTTGTTTATAAAATAAATATTTAATCAAATGTATATGTACCTGTTTTCATTTAATATTTGGTAAAACATGAACGGGTAAATTTATATTACTGATGTCTACATATATGACAATATGTCCACATATATAAACTACTGATTTACTAGTGACATTGTCTATATATGTGACCATGTGTCTACATCTACAAACTATTGACTTACTACTGACCATGTCATCATATGAGACCTTATGTCTATATATTCACACTATTGACTTACTACTGACCCTGTCTTCATATATGACGCTATGTCTATATATATTAACTATTGACGAACTACTGACCATGTCTTCATATATGACGCTATGTCTATATATATTAACTATTGACGAACTACTGACCATGTCTTCATATATGACGCTATGTCTATATATATTAACTATTGACGAACTACTGACCATGTCCACACATGTGACGTTTTGTCTATATCTACAAACTACTGACTTACTACTGACCATGTCACTAGTTCATTCTCAATGACAAGCACATGTTAAATGTCAATAGTAAAATGCATTGAGTTGGGTATAGTCGGTCAACAGTACTGGTGACAATGTCAATAGTAAGTCAATAGTGATTTACTATAGACATTTCCTACAGGGATATTTACAACCACCATCGCCACCACCACTATTGTACTACATTCAGCAGCAACAACAAGAATAGCGTGAATAATGCAACTTTATTACAATACAATAACACTAATCGAACCAAGTCTTCGCCAGGCGGTTTTAGATTGATATTTAGATGGACAAAATGCTTCAGAATATACTTCTATATCATAAGTATATTTTCATTTTAATTCGCAATGCCAAAGTGCAATAGGGGCACAATTAAATGCATACATTAAGAGTATCATTTATGCCATTATCTTGTAACTACTCGAAATGTCCATCGGTTACGATTTTGATAATTCAAATTTGGTATGGTGGCATCTCCCAATATACCAAAATTCGGTATTTAATTGTAATCTGGGATTTGGATTTTTTATTGTTCTATTTGATTTTTGGAATAGCCCAAGGCCTTGTTATAGCCCACATTGATTAATTAAGACTTTACTTAAAATTCAATATATTACAGGTAAAATTCAAATAAATAAAAATTATTAGCGTTCTGAGCACAACACTTCATAAAAGGTTTCGCAAAAGCATGCCATTGAAGCAATTGTAGGTGGATTGATTATACATCGCTACAAAAACAACAATAATCTGCTTTGAAAAGGACTGTTTTCAGAATGAATACATATGTCGAATCTTGACAAATTCGAATTTATTTCGCAGATGCAACTTCGCATCAATGGCGACATAAATACAAGTTATCAATGTGCCTGATAACATAATGGTGGATGAGTAGGTTCTTCTCCCGGCTTTCGTTTTCATTGCAAAACATAGATCATTCAGCTCGACTCGAAAGAGTATTAAATACCTCTCTTTAAAAAAAAAACTAAATTTATATAAACAAAAATAATAATAAATAATAAAATACATATTTATTAAATACCTTTTGAAGATTTCAAGCCATTTTTTTGGAATAATTTGTTAACCAATACATTGACAATGAATCTTTTTTTTTGGGAAGTTCAGCCAAACATCAAAATAGAATTAGTGATAAACCTCGAGTTTCTCCATTTTTATCCTTGTTATTCTATAAATTGATTTGAAATTTCATCTAAATAAGTCTCATGAATTACGCCAAAAAGAAAAAAAATTAGTTTGCAGGAGAATTTGTACTTTCATATTTAATGCAAACCATCTCAAATGTTGCAGTGAAACTGATGTCCACGAATAGTACCCGTGACTCAAATTTTATATAAGTTAAGTTTATTTAACAGGAATTTCTTGAAAATTATACATTTTACACAGTCTATCGCAACATCAAAATTTCTATAAATATACGCTCTGGTAAATGATAATAAATTAGCCGACACAATTTTGCACACCTTTTGTAATTAGCATTTATAAAATATTATCTACTTCATACGTTTCTTTTTTAATAACTTAAGTAATAGAAAAATAGTGGTTTGGTGTATGTAGACTTTTGCTAACAACTGTTCGTGATACACGCATCAACTTATTTAATAGAAAAACAAAAAATAATAAAAGAGGGAGTAGGACGCAAACGCACACACAAACAAGCAACATCATATCAATTGTAATCATTGAAGTTGTGTTGTTTTTGTTTATAATGAAGTATGACTATGGAAATGAAATATAAAAAATAATGAACGAAGACCATAACAATATTCAAATTTTATTTAATGTTCATAGGAAAATGAGAAGTTTAAGACAAAAATACTTCAATTGCAGGCCATAAATGGGGAAATAGCTGGGACACGATCAGAGTCACATACACACATAAACACAAAAACAAAGTAATAAATACATATTAAGATTCCAATAAAAAGGAAGTATTATGACGAAACAAAAAAGGGCAAAAAGCTGCAAAAATGACTTTGGGGTGCGGCAAAATAACCACCAGACAGCTGGGGACGCATTTTTATTGTCACTGTGGTGTTAAGGACAGGGAACACAATAACACATGGAGACCATACACTCCCGGCAATGTTGCAGACCAACAAGACCACACGTACACAATGTGGTGTTACAGCAAACCGTTCATGTTTTCGGCTATTTTTATTATCATTCATTATCGTTTGCGAATAAAATAAATGTTTTTTTTTTTGTCTTTTGGTAATTAAAGTTTAAGCCGTTTGAAACACAAACACACACCCGCACTTATAGTGTTCTTAATTTTTGAATCGCTATTTCTCTACCTAAGAAGGTTCTCCATTCAACAGGCAGTTAGCCAGTCAGCCAGCCAGCGAGCAAGCTGTATTATTTGAATTCACGTTGTATTTTTGTTTTTATTTTTTGCGATATTATTTTCTTTAAAATCGAATTGAAGAAATTTGGGACCGTCTTGCTTGAGAATTCAACAGCTACTGACAGACAGTGACTTTATCCAGAACCAAAAGAGCCCAAACGAAATACCAATATACATGAGTGGAAGTAAACTTGCTGTGGAAGCAATGTACAAAAGAAAATAGTAGAAAAAGTGTTGAGTCAATGCTTGTTGTGTACTCCAGCCGTTAGTCAGCTAGCCAGCCAGTCAGCCAGCCATCCATCCAGCAAGCTAAACAACCAAAGCCAATGTGTGGCACGCACATACAAACACTGCTAATGTACGAGCTTTTTTTCTTCTCAGCACGCCCTCTAGCCCGCCACAGAAATGCCAAGGAATTCTTTAATGCGCCCGCGCAATGTAGGAAAACTGAGTGCTTTGCTTCAATACACAGCCGTCATCCGCTTAAATTTGCCATCTTCTCTTAGCCATTCGCGATCAAATGAAGAGAAATAAAAAGTACCTCAATCTTTATGCAATACAAATATTAAGGTGCTTCTGACTGCGAAATAAAAGGAAATAATATATTCCTTTTTATTTCCTCTTATTTCGCAGTCAGAAGCATATCACCATTTACATTTAGCATTTCGGTATTCCACGCACTTCAGACGATATTGAAATCGTAATACTTGGGATGCAGACAACAAAACTCTGTTCAAGCTTTTGTAGAAGTCTATAGGTGGTTTTAGGAAACATTGAACAGAATTGCAACATAAAAAAGTTGACAAAAACAACGAAAATACTTCCTTTATTTGAATTTTATAATTGAGTTAACTCGGTTATCACAGGTCATGGATTTCAAATATCATTTGAATAACTGATTATCAAAATAAATTTCACGAATTTTGCACTGAATACTAATTATCGGCGGTAAAAACGTTGCTCGTACATACGCATCTTTGTATGTGGTCATATTTTTCCATTATGACAATAATCAACATGTTTAATTTTACTAATAATTCTCTTATTTACATACAATGAAATCACTATTAACTGTTACAATTTATTTAAAATTATTAATACAAATAATCAGCTTGAGGAAGAATAGGGGCCCCTTGTGGCGAATGCAAATTAAAAATATAAACAATTATGTCGTAATACTTCAGATAATGGAGGCAGAGTATGTCATTTATATGTGTACGTATGATGACCAATTGAAAAACGCATGTTATATATGTACATACATACATATAAACAAGTACATGGTGTTTATGAATATACACAGACTTTCACTATCTTCGCCGTAGAGCCGGCAGGCATGGGTAAAGATAAGCTAAGGCAGTAAAGCAGTAAAGTTTGAGATTGATCATGAAAAACATCTTATCACAGACATTTCTATAGACGACCACCATTTGAATAGTTACAAATAAGATGATTATTAGAAGAGGCATAATACTTGTATATATCTGGAGTGGAATACTTACCAAACACCTAAAGTTCTTATACAGTGCAGCTCATGATCTAAATGATCCACCACCACCATGTTCGGCCTATGAAATGTTAATCATCAATACCAAACAATGTGTATCGCGCTGTCCCATCCGCTGTATGGATGGCGTTTGTTTTGAGGATGGCCAGTGTCCCTGTGCCAATGCGTATATGACATCATTTAATAATGGCCTAATATGTGCCCAACAATGCTTACCGGGCTGTGTGGAAGCCGGTGGTTATTGTGCCGCTCCAGATATATGTGTTTGCAAACAAAAAGGTTCCACATTTGATCCGGTAACAAGAAAATGTTGGAAGCATTCCATTTTTAGAGACAGATGTCGAGGGTAAAGCAAAATTAGATATATTGGATAGATGAGAGAGTGTTTATATGATTTATTTTTTCTTTGACTTGCAGGCGCTGTATGTATGGTCATTGCAATCATGAGGGTATTTGTACCTGTGCCCAGGGGTTCAAAACAACAAATAATATTTTTGGCCAGCTATGTGAACCTGTTTGTAAGCAGTAAGTAAAAATTAATTATTAGTATATATTATAACATTAAGTTTGTGGTTCAAGTTAATACTTAATACAGAATATTTATTATATAGTTATTTTTTGGGCGATTGATTAGATTAGGAGTATAAGTTTTTCATTTATTGAAGACTTTCACTTGTTAATAATAGTAATTTATTATTTAATTTATTATTTTTTTCAGAAAATGTGGACGTCGAGCTTACTGTTTTCTACCTAACATGTGCGCCTGTCGCAAAAAGCACGAGCACTATGGCCCAGATGGTTTATGTTATCCTGATCATGTTGATTATATATTTTAACATATGAATTTACATTGAAAATATTAATATTAGTATTATTATTAATTTAAAAACATAATATTAAAAAAGTTTAGTATATTTTATTTTATTTATTCAATTCATTCCATAATACTAAAGCCTTCAAGGCCAATAAGTAGTATTAACAATCATAACATTCCAAGTAGAACTTATAAATAAACAACTATATAAATATAAACTAATTACATATAATATGTTATAATATATGTGAATTTTTGAAACAAATAAATATTCCTTAGAAAGTCCAAGTGAAATTACGTGATATTTTGCAAAATATTGTAAATGTTACTGGAAAAGTAACCAGATCCAGCTTTTATAACAAATTTGAATTAATTTCATATTTTTGGTATGTCAACATATTCAAAAACGCATTTAAATTACACAAAACGACAATGTTGGATAAATCTTTACCCACAAATGCATAATAACAAAAATAATGCATATTATATGGAAATACCCATATACAAATAAACTTGTTATCATCCAGCTATAAATTTTAAGTTGTGTGATGCAGAGGCGCACATAATTTCTATACCTATATACAATCATTTCTGTATTTAGAATTCCGACGACTATTTATTTATATTTATCCAATTTATTATCATAAATATTTTTTTGTATTGCAAAATTTTTAGTAAACATATTTGAAATAATGACAAACATAAACAGAACGTTTAAGAGAAAAGTATTTGTGTTGAATTTCTCGTTTACCGGTCGGTTGTTCTCTTCTAATACAGAGTGTGTTATGAAAATATGTATGAAAACAAAATAAATGTTTAACACGGCATGGTAAGGGTGTAAAACAAGTGCCACACACAATTTTTTCAAAATCATTTTACTAAACATTCACTAGTGAGCGTTACCAAACTACTTAAACAATTCTCTATCTCTCTCTTTTATTGTATATACCACCCAGCATATTGTTATCGATTACATAGATGTATTCGGGTTTTAGTTATAAACATAATTTTTGGATTTATGCTACAAGCTAAATGTCAGGGAGAGAAATCATAACATGAAGAGAATTTGTAAACATTTCTCTTCTCATAACAGTATACATATATACCCCCCTATTATGAATATGTTAACAAAAAATACAACAAATACAAGTTAATAGTGTTGACTTTATAAAGCGCGTGCAAATCCTACTTACATACATATATCAATCAATCTTTCATTCAACCATTTTACATTACTCACATTCAATTTTGATTTTTTACAATTGTTTTCGATTTTGGTTTATTTCCATTTGTTGTTGGTTTCCAAACCGGTAAAAACATGCGATGTCTTTTTTATGACGCTCTGTGCCATGTTCTGAAAAAAAAAACTTTGAATATACTGTGGGTGTCAAAGAAAACTACGTGGACTTTATAAATGTTGAATTTGAATTGGTATCAAAATATGTAATATTCTCAAAGAGTAAAATATCCACTAAAAAAACTCCAAACATCAATAACCGAAAATGCGATATATTACAAAATTCGATTTTAAAAATGTGACACTTTCGACAATCGCATAACATGTACTGGATTTTTTAAAACTAATCAACAAGATAAATCGTTTTTCTTATCATTTTTCTTTTTTGGTTTTGAATTATTTCCATAAAAATAAAATTATCAAAAAAACTTAAATTAAAATTGGAATTTTTACATTTCTCGACATTCTCAAAGAGTGTCGTGATTATATAAAGGAATTCATCACTGTCGAGAAGGTCATATGACAGCAGATATCCTTGTTATGAAGTCAATGGAAAACTATTCAGTTTTGCTTTTTTTCTTCAATGAAGCCAGATCTACTTATCCAATAATAAAAATTTTTTAGAATATAAATTATTGTATTAACGTAAATAATATAATATAAAATTTTTCCACATGTCTCTTGTGTTATTTTCATATTGCATTTCTCCAATAATAACTAAAATAAAGAAATATTTGTCCTAACAGGCGGCAATCTTATTTTGTACGATCTTCTTTTTGACGTCTACTGTATTATTAAAGCATGCATATATACATACGACTTATTAAAATAAGCTGATGTACGTCTAAATAATTGTATAAAATGAAGTAGGTATGTGTGGCGCAATTAGGTTTCGGGACATTTGACAGATTGAATGATGGGAGCGCCAAAAACTTCCTTATAAAAGACAAAGGGATAATACTGATATAAACAGCTTCGTTATTAAGTTCCCCCCTAAAAAATTACGTTGTTCATATCATAAGGGCATATATTCTTTTGGAAATAAATAAAAACGAACGCAATAATATCAAAAAAAAAGAAGTGTGTTCTATTCTAGAAGAATATTTCTCTGATCAATTCTTTACATATACTCATGTCCGTGTGTTTGTATTTTTACCAGCATTTGAGTATGTGTGAGCATATATTTCTATAAAAATGCTTTTTCAACAATATCTAGTTTTGAAACGTTTAAAATATGAGACAATATCAAAGTAACTGCATATTTTGTTTTGGCTACAAAATATAGGCAAGCCCCTGTCAGCCAGATGCACCACAACACGTTGTGGTGTAAAAAGAAACTCGCCTTCGTTTGATATGGGAGTATCATCTCAATTCCAATCTTCTTTTAGTTAATTTGTCCATTGTAGCTATTGTTACTGGTGGCGGGTGCTGCTGTTACCTCTGTCACCACCACCTCGACCACCACTAGTCAGACCACATTTCTCTCAGGCCGTGTTTAATATGTTCTCTTTATCTTTTTCCACTGTCGTCGCCTCTCCTCAAAGCAACAACAAACAACCATACAGCGAAAATAAAAAAACCAAAACACACATTAGGAGGCATAGCCTTACCAAATTTGTATTCAGTTGAAGTCGAACTCTCCATAGGTACACATCTGGTTTTGTGGCAGAAAGGTGGTTTCAGCGCGTAAATTCCAATTCGATATCTATACGGAGGAACGGAGAACAAACAAGAATAATTAATTGCAAATTGTTTTTGAAAACAGAATTCGAAATTATCGTTTTGTAATTGTATCCACATTATTTTCCCTCTTCATTAAAGAAAACAGCAGCAAATCAAATCAAAATGTGCAACCTAAGGGTAAGTGTTTTTTGTGCATTTAATTCATTACATTTGTTGTTATTGTGGTGGGCAGCAGCATAGTATGTGTATTTATGCGAGTTAACTGTGTTGTTGTCCTTAAGGATATTGAGGTCATTGGTTGGTTAAAGATGCTGTTTGTAAACGAATACGACGACATCTTCCAATATCTCAAAATATCTGAAATACATTCGTATTAAATGTGTGGAATGACAAGACGATCTCCCATGGTTATGTAACATGTTGTATTATCTTTGTAGCAACAACATAAATTTAAGACATTTTAGTGAATAAGGATCATATAGTATTGTGTGTTTAATACCAGGTAGATATATACCTTTTAATGGAACTGACAAAAAGATTATTATTTTTTTTTTTTTTGTAAGGAATGAAAACTAAACTAAAAATACCATTTGATCCCCCGCCAAGTGGAAATAATCATTAGAAGGTGGTCGCTAACAAGAAACGTGTTTAAAAATAAAGAATCATAAAACCGATCAAATAATTTTTTTATTTACATAATTATCCAATTTAAGACCAAAAGAAAAGAAAGCCAGGGATATATATTAGATATTTTCTCAAGAAAGAAAAAGAAGACGTTTTCTTTTTTATTTTCCATTGAAAATGGTTTAAATATAAGGTAAATGCTTTTCAGGTTATGTCTGGAAACGTCTCTTATTATCACTGTCCAACAAATTAGTTAATATGTATTGAAAAAAACTATCTGCCCTAAGACTACCTTAAATAAACTGAGGCGTTGTTAACTTTTGATAAGCTAAACCAATTTGAAATGAAATGTTAATATGGGCGAACAGATTGGTAAATAGTTACCAAATAGATAATGTATAATGGATAGCGTGCCAAATAGTTCAGTTGTTGTTTTTTGCAATTCCAATTTTTAAAAATATTTTATTATTTTAAATTTCTAATACCTATTAAAATTTTTAATACCTTTTTATTTTAAACTTTTAATACATATTTATTAATAATGTATTAAACATTTTATTAAAAGATATGGATTAAATAAAATGGTGATAATGGCAAATAAAAAAATCCAAATAAAAACAAATTACTTCAAAAATTCTTGACCTATGTCGACAATATTCAAACCATTTATAATTCAAAAAATTTATATAATATTAAAAAATTTATATTATATAATATGGCTTGCGCACGAATACATACTTCTGATAGACCTGAGATTGTCTTTTTATGGTTTTTAGAAAATCAGTTTTATAGATTTTGGAAATTATTTCCATTTTTGCAATTTTCCCAAATACTAGTTAGGTATGATCCAAGTATAATGGTACCGCACGATTTTGGAGATTCTATGGTCCAGACTATTTTATTTATTATTATTTTTCCACATAATAATTTAATGCATATTTCTCTTCATGTTTGAAATATTATAGAAATTCAGAGGATTAATACCTCTTTCGAGATTTAGTAATTGTTTTAATGATTGTCGATTTGCTACTTAGTCAATTTTTTCATTTGTTTTTTATTTTATTTTTTTAACGATAATAAAATTGGTCTTTCATAAATTTACTTTTATCTTAAAAATACCAATTGTTTCTTTTGATTCCTATAATATTAGACGTAAAAAAAGAAATCTTGATAATGAATAATAGTTTTAAACATTACTGTAAAATACAACATTAACACCTAAAAATAAAAGTTCACAAAAATTTAGAATCCAAAAGTGTGCTAAACATTTTAAGGTCACTATTTATATTTCAATTAACACATCAAATTGATAATCTAAATCTATTTAAAGAAGACCACTGGAGATTGTTATATCAACATAAAAAATATAATACTTTCCAAATGACAATTATATGTGTAAATGTTTGTTTTCTTTTCACATAATCTTTTTTATAACATCAAATTTTGAGATAATAAGGTGTATAAGAATATAGGAGTCATTTAAATTCAATAGGAGAATAAAGGAGTCATTTGAGTTCAAATCGAAGTGAAATTAATATTTTAATGTTAACTATTAATGCAAATATGTTATATAATATGAAATAAATCATGCTTAAGCTACAACAAAGAGACGTCAATCAGATATAACCGCCTTGATGCGTTCAATTTACGTTGGCATTTAACACTTTACAAAATTGAAATATAGATCATTTTCCCTTCATTTCATTGTTATGCATTCGGAATGAATTTAACATGCAATCATTGAACTCCATATTTGTAATAAACAAAAAAACAACATGCAAGCAAAAATTAAATGACTTGTACGCTTTAAAGTAGATATGTATGTATAGATATTACATAGAATGGGAATTAATTTAGTTGTTTTTGTATTGCCCATATAGTAGGAATATTAACAGCAAACAGTTTTTTCGAGAATTTTCGAATGCTATTTTAAAATCTACAATTTCCAAATAGAATTCCGATAATTGTTTGTTTCATATATTCTATGCCTAATTAAATAATAATATTAATACTATATTGATTATCCTAACGAATGGAAGAAGTAGAGGTTCCTTAGAAGATATATCCATCTTTCATATGAATTATTAAAACTGATGTTTTCTCCTAATAGTAATAATAAATTTATATAACATATTAAAATCTAATCAACACGATAGATCAAAATTGCATTCTCAAACATAAACCAATTCGCTTAATTATTTCCCACCTGTCGTTCTTATGTTTATTTTATAAAATGACATAAAATACCCCCTTGGGTTTTTAGAATGTTATATCAAAATTTGTGTTTGTATTCATTATTAGTATAATTCCACACATATAGACAAAAATAAACAATAACTTTGCGATCGTATGTGTGTTGCGCAGTTTATCAATATATTTGAAAAAAAAACTGCAAAAACAACACAGTAATGCCAAAACTTCATTCAAATTTAAGTCTTATCAGTAGGGAGCAAATTTTTATTTTAAAGAACTTATCACGCGTGTGTGATAGGCAAGTGGAATTTTTTCCATTTTCCATTATTGTAGGCACGTAGAACACAGGTTTGTGTGTATGTTTCTTATGTACACACTTATGTATATATATATATATAACTTCTACTACATTGTTGTTGTACAAGAAACAAAAATTGTTAAATTGATTTAAAACATTTGAGAGATTAGAATCAGACGCCAACTACACACAGTGGGAAGATTGGGGCCAATATATATATATATATACTTTTAGATGAGACGTCATAGATATGACAAGGAAATGTGTCAAAAGTTGAGTGCCCTATTTCCCAAAATACATATGTTCTCAAATTATCTATAAATTATGGGCGAAAAACTATTTGATCATTGTATATTGAATATTCCTCATGGAAGACGAATAACAAACGACATTTACTAACAATTATCAGTTGTCTAACCTACTGGACTTACTGGAGAAACAGATGTAGCATATACGATCCAATCCGACCACTAGAATCTACTAAGTTTTACTATATTCTTCGATATAATAAAGGAAAAAATTGCATTGTATTAAAAAATTATAGGAACATAGCAATTATGTAATGTATATATTTAACCAAAAACATTTAAAAAATTAAACTAATTGAATTTAAAATAAGGCAATTATAAAAATACTAATATTATATTTTTATTTTTAATTGCAGAAAGCAACTTCAGCTCTACACAAACTGTTCGTTTATGGCGGTCTTAAATACGGTCAACCCAGTCACTCAATTTTAGCCAATGATGCCAATGGATTGGCCAAATTCTGGTGCAAGGCCACAACAACTGAAAAATATCCATTGGTCATTGCCACACGTTATAACATTCCATTTTTGCTAAACAAACCAGGATTGGGTTATTATGTAACTGGTGAAATCTATGAGGTTGATGACAAAATGCTAAAATCCCTGGATAACCTCGAAGACTGTCAAGATATTTATGTTAGAGAAATGCGTGATATGAACATTGGTGTTGGTGAAGGGTAAGTTTAAAAAAAAATCATACTTTTATTTGGAAGGTTACATCAATATTGTTGTTTTTGCGTTTTTTTAGCACTGTACCCTGTTTTGTTTATTTGCTCAATAAATACCCTGAAAAACTTTTGAGTCTACCCTTCCTCTCGAGCTATGAAAATGGACCTGCCCATCCCTATGTAATGCGCAACAAACGCCATCACAAACACCCCGCCAATGAAGATTTGTCCTACAACACCACAGCCGCTGCCTAAATGTGGACTGTTATCGTCTGTATCTTGTGATTCATTGAAGTGACATCTACAATCTTCCATAAGAGATCATTGTGTTATTCCGGATCTATTGGTTATATAGTTTTTAGCAGTACGCAAAACTTGCTCATAATTTTAGTCAATAAGGATATTTTTATTTTTCGAAATTTTGTAATTCGAAATGCAGTAGTCTTTTACATTTGTAAAAAATATATATACCGTACATAATTTGTAGTAACATGTATTTATGTATACATGTGTTGAATGCATTTTCCAAAAAATAATGGACCTAACGATAAATATAATTTTTATTTAAAACTGTTATTTGATTTCATGGGTGTTGAATGTGTAATTTGCTATATTAGGTTTTGGTTTTAATTGAATTTCACAAAGAATAAGATAATTTGTTTTTCATTTCTTGAATCAAATTTAGGTAAAATAATTATTACCCTATATGATTATTTTACCCAAATAATAGATTCGTTCGTTTACTCTACAATTTGTACTAATTATTACAAAATTTTGTTCTTACAAGGAAAATTTACTCAGTAATAATTTTCTTGTACTTCGTGGCCCAATAAACAGGTCGTGTAAAAGTACGTTTACATTGTACCGGATTTGGTTAACCCAGTGGGTTTAAATTGTCAATTCCTTTGAATATATGCCAAATAAATCCTCATAAAGTAGGTTAACCCGGTAAAAAGTTCTAATGTAAATGCCGTATAAGAAGTGAATATTATAGTCCATGTTGGTAGAAAATCTCCCAAACTATCAAATTTTTTGTTTACGTTTTCACACGATTATGTCAAATTTTGACATTTCGCTTGATATAATTTCGCCTATTACACGACCTGTTTATTGGGCCAAGATTTACTTTTTGCAATTTTTCTCTCTTGAGAACGAAAAATTCGTATTTATTCTCTGCAAATTCTTATTGAGTAAATCTTACTGGGAAAATAAAAGAACGAACCTAATGTCGGCTTCAAGTAACTAAAAACCCCCTTTCACTTAATATAAACCCGGCTTGAATAATCTTCAATAATATTGTCGATGAAATTTGGCTCTTTTGTGAATTCTTTCTTTTTCTTTCACCAAATTCTTTAGCATACAAAAAACAACTTATAAGATAAAACCTTTTAAAATTCGCCTTCCGAGCGGGAAAATACATGTCTTGATAATTTAACCAGGATAAATGCCGCAACTCTTGTATAAGGGTTACTTCACAAATCAATCATATTGCACTTGTCCAAACCAACATTGTTGTACTTGTCCAAAGGACGACTTTTTAATAACCAAAAAGGAAAATGTAGACCAGTACATTTTTGAATCACTGTGCAATGGCATTCTGAGTTAAATAGTTCAATTCACAATTCACTGGCAATGAGCTACTGCACTTGTTTTATTTTATGGTATGTTTACGGTTCATGTAATATTGAAATGTTGATGGCTTTGTATGAAAAGTCAATTTATAAAGGAATATCAAAGTCAAACTTGAATTTGTACGCCGTTCGCTTTTATTCTTTTACAATAAAAAACCAACTTAACATGCCAATCTTGAAGCCCTCTTATGGGTTTCCCCCGTTAGCACTTTTCTTCCATTATGAAAACGTGAACAACGTCCAAAATTTTTGACATATGATTTGAGAAATAACAACTGATTTTCGCTCTATGAATGGCCTTGCATTTCTTTTTATGATTTGTTTCAATTATGTAATATTTAAGCTGTAGTTACACGAAACATATGTGTCATATGTACTGTCAAATTTTACATATCTGAATACTCTGCATACAAAATGTTTGCGCACAATATGTTTTTACAAATATGCTGGCACTTTTCTCATCCATATGTAATTCCTTATGAGTGTCAAAATTAGCAGTGTACATTAGACTTTTGGGTTTTGCGTTCAAACCTACATCACTCATATTTTTTCTATTTTCATCCTTTTCATTGAATCTCAATTCAAATACTTCCTTATTTTTCGCATACGAAAATAGAGCGAGTCCTCTTCCAAACATATACCATATAGCCTTATAGTAAATTTAATAAATCCAGTAAATCTAAATTGACAATTTCATTGCATATATGTGAAATAAAACTGCATTTTCATTAGAACTTTTTACCGGCTTAACTTATTCTACGAGGATTTTTTTGACACGTATACAATGAAATTGACCATTGAAACCCACTGGCTTAACGAAATCCGGTACAATGTTAACGTACTTTAAATCCTGATACACCAGGTCAACCCGGCAACAAGTTCAAATGTACATTCTGTTTTATCTAAATTATTAAAATTGCTTTTTACAAATTTTTACTTGAATGCCATGGTACAATTATAAAAGGTAACAGCAAATCCCAGCTGATTTGATTCCAACGTAATACTAGTGTCAATATGAATTTGACAAATTATGCTTTTATAAATCACCCAACAGGAAAATTGGGAACGCATACAATTTGAAATTGTTCTTTATTAATGTGCTCCCGTATTCAATTTACTCAATCTGCCTGCTGGGAAAGTTTGAGGAAGCAAATCTTTCTTGAAGGAACAACTCGCTATTCCCAGCATTGTCATATGTGTTACACATATATATGGCAATGGCTCAATTAAAGGAAAGATGTGGAAGCGATAGAAATATAAATTTGATAGATTTTCATATGTTTTTCATTTTTATGTGATATAATTTGCATTTTTCAAAAGAAATGAAAATATAATTGTATTTTAAGCATTAGGTGTGTCTGGTTACTTTTCCAGTAACATTTATTCAGTAAGTTCTAGTTCAGAGAATAAGCCTTTCTTACTCTCTTTTGTGATAATACTGAAAAAAGTAAACAGACAACATTTAGTAAGATTTAGCAAATAAACAGCTGATTCAAGAAAACATTTGATTTGCGCCAAAATAAACAACAAACAAAGGACGAACACAATTATTTGTATTGCATTTAATATTAAACATAAAATGAATAATAAAATCAATAAATTGCCCTCTATCTGGAACTTGTCTAAAAATATATAAGGAATTAGTTTCTAATTTAATGAAACTTTGCATTACATACGAATTTTCTTCCATTTTCTGTAATTAACTTCAAATTGAACTTTGCAAATTAAAAAAAAAAAATGTTTTAAATAATGTGTGTGTTTGGTCAGAAAACAGCTGATCAGAAAATGGCTGAGTTGCAAAATCTTACTGAATAAAATTCTTTCAGTAAACTGTTGTTCAACTGTCAAACTTGTTCTCTCACTTGACTCACTTTTACTGGATTTTTGTGTAAACAGACAACATTTAGTAACATTTGGTAACAATTGTTACCAAATATCGAGTTAACAGAGCTATTAAAACATATTGAATGTAAACATAACCTAACTATGCGTAGATTTTTTATGTTGACATTTTACCCATCACTTATTTCCCAAAAACGGCTAGCGGCAACACTGTTCAAGAACCAGACAATTGTTTTGGCGCGAAATTGCTCAGAACGAGCAGATGTTCGTAAACTATTTGTGGCTTTGTTGAAGAAAGTTGTTGAAAACGATCAAACGAGCTGAGGTTTGCACAATAGAGGAGCGGCAGAGTGGAGTAAATTTGTACTGAACAAGCAGAGTAAAATTTGCTTATCTATTAATTTTAATTTAGCACATTGCTTTGTTGTTTATATCCACGAAAATGGTGCTAAAACAAACCGAAGCAGCCAATGCTCCCATTGTTAAATGGATTGGAGCTCACGATCCACTAGTTACGGTCGATCATTTGCAACACAAAAACGTTTATTTTTACGCCAAGTGTATTATCGGTCCCCTGACATTAAGTGTGGGAGACTTCGTTCTAGTGTCGAATGCTGATTCCGCCTACCCAGATACGGACGAAGGCTGTGACATAGCCAAAATTCTCTATCTGTACGAGCTGAGGGAACTAATGCCCGACAAGGATCCCTGTCGTGCCGTAGTTCAGTGGTATTCACGCCCGGAGTGTATTCCTCATAAGCATTTTGATGATGACACAATTTGCGTAGATTTTGCCACAGAAGTTATTGAGGAACACCGACCATACGACGCAGACATCTCACTGGAGACCATTTATCGTAAATGTAGTGTTATTTGTGGCTCCCCAGAAAATTCAGCCGCTGGCCTATTACAGAGTTTCAATTCAAAGCGCACCAATTGCCCAATGTTTGTGTGTCGCTATAAATTCATTAAAGTTAAGAATTCATATCGCCTCGAGCCACTACAATTCACTAATGAGGATGTAGCAACGGCTGGCGACCGTGGCCGGAGAAGATCAACAACTGCTGCTGTTACGGAATCGAAAGCATCGTCTGCCAAAAAACCTAGGCGTTCCTGTGCCACAAACAATGAGGGTAGGACACGACGTGCCTCTGTTAGTGCTACAAATGCTTTGGAATTTGTAGACCTTACTTATTTCAATGAGGAAAACAAAGTATCTCCCATTAAAATTATAGGTGGACGCAGTGTTGTTCGCCTTTCGGCCAAAAAGAAGCAATCAACAGGTGAAAAGACAAAAGGGGAAGATGAAATAAATGCCAATTACTTGCCAGCATCGCCATTGGCTGAGCAGAACATTAAAGTTACACCCAGATCACGAGCTGCCGCTGCAAAGCGAAATTTGAACCTGAGTTTGGATAATGGAGCTGATACTACCGCAGATTCAGATTGCCTAAACTATTCCATTGTAAAAGAAACACCAGACCGGAAAGAACCTCCCAATGAGATGAAGATAAAGTTGAGATTATCCGAAAGGTAATATCACAAGTGTATTTTTTGAGTTAACTGTAGTAATTAATCGATGGTTGGTGTTCTATTAGGAGACGTTCCACACGACTTTCATCAATGGAAGAAGATCCCCTTGCCATTCAGCCTGATTTGGAAGCTAAACCAGAGGAATCCCATCCCAAAACTCCTTCAAGAAAATCGAAGCTTGCTACAGAAGGTACACCTTCAACTAGAAAGAAAAATGAATCGGTAAAGAAGTCTCAAAATGCTGATGACATTTATCACACGCCCACTAAAAAGGCTAAAGAAACAAAAGAAACAGGGGAGGGCACTCCGTCGCAAAACCGCAGAAAAAGTATCTTAAAATCTGCCGCATCAAGATTAGGTATGACCATATTTGTAAACTCCTCATACAGCACGATGCTACTTTTTTTATTATATTCTAGCTGAAGGTACACCTAGGAGAAGCATACAACTGTCTAGTATTGTTGAACAAAGGGTCTTCAATGATGATGATATCATAAATACACCAAAACGTACCAAAGCTCGGAAAAGTATTGCACTACCTGTAGTGGATAGCGACAAAACTGCGGCAGATGCCGATGAAGAATACACCCCAAAGAAGACTCAACAGAAAACTCCCTCGAAAGGACGACGAAGCACAACAAAAGCCACCGAAGCCCCGGGAACACCCAAAACTCCATCACAAAAACTTAAAATGATACGTTCTGGAGAGATCAAACCCACTCTAGAAAAACGCGACTCTTTAGCTGGTTCTGAAAAAGGAAAAACTGACTTACAAATAGCTCGTGAGCGTCTACACGTCTCAGTAGTACCTAAAAGTTTGCCCTGTCGCGAGAAAGAATTTGAAAATATTTACACCTTTTTGGAAGGTAAAATTCAAGATCAATGTGGTGGTTGTATGTACGTGTCTGGTGTTCCCGGAACAGGAAAAACGGCCACCGTCACAGGTGTTATACGAATGCTACAAAAGAGAGTGGCCGAAGACGATTTACCGCCATTCGATTTTTTGGAAATAAATGGCATGCGTTTGACTGAACCTCGTCAAGCTTACGTTCACATATACCGTCAGTTAACTGGTAAAACAGTGTCGTGGGAACATGCCCATGCGTTGCTGGAAAAAAGATTCACCACACCTGCACCCCGCCGAGTTACAACAGTATTACTGGTTGATGAACTGGACATATTGTGTAATCGCAGACAAGATGTAGTCTACAATTTACTTGACTGGCCAACTAAGTCCGCAGCGCGCCTTGTCGTGGTAACTATTGCCAATACTATGGATCTGCCAGAACGTTTACTCATGGGAAAGGTGACATCCCGTTTGGGTTTGACGCGTTTAACTTTCCAGCCATATACTCACAAACAATTACAAGAGATTGTAACCGGTCGGTTACAGGGTTCTGAAGCATTTAAAGGCGATGCCGTTCAATTGGTTGCTAGGTAAATATAATCTCCATACTTGTCCAATGCAAATTCATGTTTTTACTAAAAAATATTTGCCATTTTTAGAAAAGTAGCAGCTGTATCGGGTGATGCTCGTAGAGCATTAGATATTTGCCGCAGAGCCACAGAAATTGCGGATGCAGCTGCAACTAAAGCTGCAGAAAAGGGTTCAACCGATACTCAGCAGTGCGTAAATATGTTACATGTACAGCAAGCCTTAAACGAAATGATTTCAAGTGCCAAAGTACAGGCCATAAAGAACTGCTCTCGACTGGAACAAATTTTCCTACAAGCTGTGGTGGCAGAGGTTACTCGTACCGGCGTCGAAGAAACCTCGTTTATGGGTGTCTATACACAAATTGAAACCATAGCAGCATTTATGGGTGCCACAACACCTGCACCGGGTCGCGCTTTGCGTATTTGCGCCAAACTGGGTTCGGAACGCTTGCTTATATGCGAACACTCCCGCAATGATGTTTTCCAAAAAATTCTACTCAACGTCAGCATGGATGACATACATTACGCATTGAAGGTTAACAATTCAAACTGATAATAATATTGGATTGGATTTTATCCCGACAATAATATGTTCAAATTGATGTTATACTTTCCCATGGACCAAATTCCAATGTTCATGCCAGTGCCTAATGTGTTGGCTGAAAACTTTTATTTACTCGAATTGTTTTACATCCCAACTATTCTATAATATTTATTTATTGAATTCATTTAATAGTTATATCACTTATTTTTTATACCTTGCGATTAAAGATTTTATTGGAATAACCTAAAGTACAAATTTGTTACAATAAAATTTAAATAAAATACTAAAATACGAAAGCATTCATAAAAGGCTTTTGGTGCAAATACTGAATAAATGAATAGGTGATAGCGAAAGCCCATCAATAATAGCCAGTAGACGGCCACAGGCATCACTGTGGTGGCCGTGAATAAACTTATCACTAGATACAAATCCTCCTCCGTGCTTTCAAGCAGTTGAGCATTTGAGACTTGCTCCTTTTCTTGGCGTAGGGGCAAGCTGCTCTTCTGGGTAACAAACATATGCCATACTAGGTAGAGGAATGCATTTATGGGGGCACAATATGTATTAAAGGTAATCATAGCACCCACTACAAAAGGATTGTAGGACGACAAACCAATATAACCAGGATTTATGTCAATTGTTGATAGGCTATTCGAATTTCCCTAAAAGTAACATGACGTTTTATTTAAAGCAGACACGCAAAACATCTCAAGGTCCGTACTCACCTGGAAGAAATAAAACATGTTTCCCAGGAATATGGTCATAACAGCCTTATACACTAGGACGTAACAACGATTGTACAATTTCCTATTGTACAGATGCAAGTTATCGCACAAATAATAACTGCTCTCCAGGCAAAGCAACAGGGCTGGCAGCAATACCACATTGTGAGGTTTGTGTAAGAGAGCCGATATTAATAAGCTTATGGTTAAATTTGAGCCCAATAGGTCAACTAAGTTGCTTTTAACGCCATACCCGTAGTGTTTCGGTTTCCAGAATATATTACGATAACGAACAAATGCGGTTACGCACACACTTAGCCAAAATACCAACAATACTACAGTAGCGCTAGATTTACTCCACTCTCGATATAGAAAAACGCAAACGAGTGCAATGCTACAGGTTACCATTTGCAATGGCGTGTTGTACTTTTTTAGTGACCAAAGTAGAAAAATTAAGGCTATAAAATAACCAAAGGTGTAGAAAATAAATACTTGAAAAAAGAAAATATATATATTTTACATACCACAAACAAAAGCTATTAGGAGATAATGTTGATTGTGTTCTCTGGACAAAATATCACCTGTAATAGGTTTTAAATTAGAATCAGATACATTTAACAACAAATGCAGTAGCAAGTTCATACCAATGTCCTCTAGATGACGCCATTTGTCACCAGTTTGATTCAGACGTCGACAAAAGACAATTGCTAACATAGCCACTATCACGTAGCGCATTTGCCACAGCTCTGAAGCTAAAATGACCAAGTTATTTTCTAATTTCCACATTTTTCGTATGCCGTAGTAAACATTTTGGGCTGTGAGATAAATCATTATTGTTGGTGTCAGATAGTACCACGTCTGATGTTCCTCCTCTATTAACGACGATGAGACCAATGAAAAGGTATGGAAAATGAAGAATGCGAACAGCATCCATGGAATGGTAAGCTTAAAGTAACATTTGCGATCATAGGACATGGGTATAAGTATTTGAACGACCAGCAGGCATATTTCAATGGCCAGGTAAATACTTATCGCTATAGGAACTGTTAGCACAGCCGAATATATGAAGTGTCTCGAATAGATAAACTCTAAGAAATGTGCAATGCAATTTATGGCAAGGCCAGCAACAATGCTTAAAAATAAACGACCAGACGAAAATTGTTGCCACTTTTTATTAAAGTTATCCTTTGTACCGAAGAGAACCTTGGTTATCAAGTGTACGGCAGTCTAAATGAAAATACATTAGTTTTAAAGTTTACCGTATAGAAACGTTTAAAATGAAGCACGTATGTAGTTTGAGTGCGCCGTGTTTCACTGTGCATTACTCACCGTCGTGGTCAATACCAATGAGATAAATATTAAATCGTTATCGTATTTAACTGAGCTATCCGATAGTAACTTGGAAATATTTTTAGATAGACGAATGTAATTCTTTTTTGCCTTTTCGTAGGACAAAAAACTAGTGAAATTACTTTCCAAAAAGTGTTTATGTTCCATTTCGGCTTCAGTTAACCAGAAATAGTAGTCCGAGTATCCTAAATCACCGAAGCGCGTAAGAGGAAAGTTCCAATGACATATCAATTACAATTAGATTTTTACTAAATACCTTGAGCTTTGATTTGACTTAGGCTATACTTCCTTCTAAACTTCTCTATGAGATGCAATGCGTTCTTGTAATAGTAATATAGTTGTTCTTCCTTGGAAAGGTCTTCTATGAATTCGGAAATTAAACAACCAACAGATGAAAAAGGTATATCTACACCTAAAAGGACGGCTAATGTTGGTGTCATATCAATTTGATTGTAATCAATTGTGCAGCTAATAATAATAAGAACAGATAACAATAGCAATTATTGTTTTGTGATCGTGTATCTTGTCTATCATACTTTCGTTTTGTACATTTATCGGAGAACAGCATGAGGGGAACATGTAATTCCTCTTTATCGCTACCTCCATGGCTACCACCATTTCGCATTCCATGATCGCCAGTTACCAGTAAAACGGTATTCTTAAATTCCTATAAAAAATATGTATATGTGTGAAATCCGCTTCCTTGATAAATGAAATGCAACTTACGGAACTAGTTGCTATGTATTTGATAACATCATCCATTTCATGTAGTTTTTCAAAGATTTTATTACTATGAGATCCTTCGACATGACCAATGTGATCTAATCCCAAGTAATGTAATATCATAAGATGCCAGTCCTTAAGAGAAAGTTCTTCTCTAACATTTGCTGTTATATTTTTATCACCCTGCAAAAATTAAATTCACTAAAAACGAGGTCCCTTGGAGGGGAGATTTTCAATCTTACCTCATAAAAGTCATTGACAAAAAATGAATCGATGTTCGGTTTTTGTCGTAAAAACAATTCCGGAAAAAGTTGTACCCATGTTCGGTCACCAGAAAAGACAATATTTTTGCCCTTAGCTCGTGTCCTATGTAAAATAGAATCAGCCAACTTCTCGGTATGACCCAGATTCAGCACTATATCAATAAAATTTGAAACTGTGCCAGTCGTTATACTTTTCAGGCGAGGCATGGTGACTGTTGGTACATTGACCTTAATATTAATATGATTGCAAGCACTTCCATAGGAGTAAGGCATGTTGGTTTGATTAGCAAAATCCCATCGCCAAGCATCAATCAGCATTAAAATCACCCGTTCGTGCTTAAATGAGGGCTCGGGCAGCCTGCGGACACAACCAAGTTAATACCAATGACAAGTGTTTACACACAACTTACGTCTTATCAAGGAGAGATAAGGTAGAGTTTCCATAATCATTTCCAACAGTCAAATTTCTGGAGACGGGAAAAAATCCAATAAGGAATAGTAGAGAACCACCGACGAATATTGTCAAAATATGGAAAAGGTAATTAAATGGATGATCCATTTATACTAACTACTACTACTACTGGGCAACTTTTGTTGTTTTCTAATGAAACGCCGGGTTGAGTTTTTTTACATCTATAAACCACCCCCTTCTTCTTCTTGATATAACAAAATACAAAAATGCCACTCATCTTGAATTAATAACATTACACAGATGATTTTAGATAATCAGTCCATTGCAGAGCAAAAAGTGATAAGTCTAGTTTTTAGATAGCATAGAGACCTTGGGACACCAATACTAAATATTTGTACAAAATCAAACATGATGTGTTATCAGAGTAACCGTTGTGCGACTAAAATGTGCAACCTTTTTAAACATATCTTATTATGTGAGCAACTTTTTAAAATTTTTGCGACTTATCTGTTACTGTAAGTTGTATTTTCGTTTTTATGTGAAAATTCAGACTAAATTGGATTCGTATACGTCGTTGTTCATAACACGCAGTTCTAGTTTTAATGGAACATTATTTTGCTGTGCGACTTATATAAGAAAATAACTTTTTGTGCAAATTTTTAAAAATTCCTAACGGTAAGAAGGTTTTTTTATAATTGGGTCAATCAACTCAACATTTATTTGATTGTTGCATTTTGGCAAAATTTTAGTTTTTTTATTTGCAAAAACCCAACCCCCTATTATTAAAATAATAAATGCTATAATTACTTTTATATATATGTATTATTACTATCCAGCTATGCGTACATTTCTAATCATAAATTATATATAAAATAGTCATTCACCAACAAATACTTTATGTTGGCTTCTTTATTATATTATGTGTTCGTTTCATGTGACCATTCAGCCCAACAAACTGATGAAATTTCGCATCACATAATTTACAGGCGAATTTCTTCACTTCCGAATGAATCTGTCGATGTCGTATTAACGAATGACAATTGGAGAAGCCCTTGCCGCAAGTCTCACAAATTTTATCTCTTATATTTAGATGCGATTTGATGTGATCGGTCAAGTCCCGTTTTTTCAGGAAGTCCTTTGGACACATGGTACATTTAAATGCTCGTATTTTCGTGTGTATGGCCGTGACATGGTAGCCAAGTTGAACTTTCAGTCTAAACGATTTGCCGCACAACTCGCAAATGTGCGGTCTTTCGGTCGAATGGATTGTGCTGTGTATTTTCAGTTCTGATGGAACGGCAAACTTTTTATCACAAAATTTACACGGATATGTCTTGCCAACATGTATCCTTTGCACATGACCGTGCAGGGCAAACTTCGACTCAAACCTTCTCTCACATTGATCGCAACCAAACGGCAAGTCCCCAACTTGATGGATTTTATATAGATGTGTCTGAAGGTTATGTCGCAGGTTGAAATTTTTCTTGCATACGTTGCAAACGAATCGATGGCGTGGACGTTCGTTGGGCATAAAACTTCGACACTTTTTATAATACCTCTCATCAGTTTTACTCAGTTTGGAATACTGGTTCTCTTTGCGCTGCTTCAGTTTGTAGTACCACGACTGCAATTGTTCGATGGCAGATGTTAGGGTATCCTCATTAAAATCAATATTGTGCTGGCTCTTTAGAATGCTGGAAAATTCTTCCAAAGCCTTTTGTCGACCATCGACATCACCATATGATGGATGATCGCCGTTATACAGAATAGGGAATGTGCCATATATGTCAATAAATCTCGAAGTATCTTCATTCCACTCCTTCAATTGCAATGGTTTCTGCAAAAGGATATTTTTATGGTAAAAATACATTCAACTTTCTTCAGCCTTTCGGTATTCAATTCTACTCACTCCTTTTTGAATAAATTGTTCTCCCGTAATGTTTTTCTTGTTTAAGAGCTCTTGCAGAAATTCGCATTTTTTGTAATAGCCCATTGAAACTTCCGGCAATTTCTTCTGGCTTTGAGATTCTAAATGGTATTTAATTATCGCACAATATTTATGAACACTATTAATTGCACTATTCAAAGCGGATGGTTTCATAAAAATGTTGAACTTTTGCATAGCAAACATAATTGCTCTCTCTGCCTCCTTGCGTGCTGCTGTATTTTCGAAATCTGGATTATTTACATCCCATAACACAGGTTGGCCTTTGTAAAAATCCAAAAAGTCATCCAGATAACGTTTTTTACGGAAAAATGTTGGAATAAACTGTATTGGGACACCAATTATCCATATTTAATTTACAAAAAGTGTGATATATTTTAAATACGGCATTACCTTATCGGTTACCACGGGTATTTCCTCATTTTCCGATTCGGATTCACCATCTTCATCCACATCAACTTCGTAGTTATCAACATCGTCCTCTGATTCGTTGTCTGGAACATAGTCGTCGTCCTTAACATCGCAGTCGAAATCGTCCATTGTATCAAGGATTTCATTTTCTTCGAGCACAGCCACTGGATCCACAACGGGCTCCCCCTGTTCAAAAAAAAAAAAAAAAACAATCAAATTGACTCACTCATAAAAGGAATTGTGTTTACCACCCCTACATCTGTAGCTGTTTCAATGGCAAATTTCGTTTCATTCGGCACTTCATCGACGAACTCCATTTCATGTTTGATTTGCAAGAGAGGCTTCTCATCTTCAATGTCTGTGTCCAGAACATCATCTTCTCGTTTGACCATAACAACCGAGGAAACTGTATCCTCCGTCAGCAGAACATGGTGAAGGCTGTCTTTTTGTTCATCGTCCTCCGTACACAGTTTTACAGGCTCGACACCATCTAATGTTTTGTGTTTCTTCTTTATGTGCTTCGTAAATTCGGTGTAGGCTTTTGATTTCTTCTCGCAAATTGTGCATTTCAAAATAAATCTCTTTTTTATTTCATCCAAATAAATAGTTCCGCAAATAATCATTTTGTTTACTGTGTTTATGCAAATACAAAATACTCAAAGATGCGTCCAAGGTAGATTTAATAAGGTAGCCGCATCAGCGATCCATTGCATCAACCAGCTGTTGTAGTTACTACGATGTAGTGCATTGACATGTCAAAAATATTTGGCAAAAATAAATTGATTTATTTGATTTTTTTTTTAATTTTCACTTAGAAAATATTAATTAAAAAGTATGACAACTGTTTTGACAGCGAAAAGTACCACCAACAGTTGTACTAGTTGTACTGATGCGCCTACCCTATTAAATCTGCATTGGATGCGTCGTTTTGTTCAAATGAACGATTCCATGAAATGAACGAACGGAATTGCTTTCCTTCCGTTTGTGTATCTAGTTGTACTATAACACCGCTATAACAGCACTAAAAACTTGAACAAATCGGGACCGCCCAAATTGCAAAGTTTATGATGGTAGAAGAAAATCCCTAGCCGGGGTTTAAATTGTAGACAAAATACGATCTCAATAAAATGTCAAATTTAACTGATTCATATCAAGATCTATGGCCCTCGCTCCATACAATAAATAAAAATCATATTTATTTTTATTTGACTTATATTTATTTATATTACTATATATATACTACATAAATATTGCATAACATTAATTGCCTAAAAGAAGGACACATTTAACCGGAAGCAAAAAACGACAACCTGAATGCTAACTCTACCATATTTGCAGGCATATCTGGTCTATGACAAATATAAACTTCTCGAGGTGGCGACAAAAACAAGCGTCCAATAACGGCAAATTTATACTTCTCCAGAGAAGTTTTATCAACCACTTGCACAGTCAGTCCATGTTCTTTTATTGGAATCATTAGGTCTCGTGTATTCTGAGTCCTCTGCCAGTCTCGTCTATGTCTGGTCGATCGCAATGTTTTGCGTATTGCATGAAAGCCCAAATGCATTTCCCGAGCAAAAGGCGCCGTATCCTTTGCAGACTTCAGGGGCGAGAATGATGTACAATTGGTGCCATCCACATAAATGTAATAGTAAATGTTATTAAGGCATCCCGATGATATATTTATGGGCACCACATTACTAATTTCCTTCCACAGGGATTCGGTGACCTGAGATTGTAATTCCGCATCTATAGCACAGCGTAATATATTTTCTTCCATGAAATTCTCCCAGTCCGAACCACTGTCGCTGTCATCTGCATTCGCAATGAGTCGTTTCTTGCTTGAATCATCCTCACTTGGTGTTAAACTGTGTACCGATGAACCACCCAAAGACGAACACAATTGCGTATCCTCTTCATAGTGGACACTTCGTTGCGCATGACTCGCACTGGCTGAAGAGGGCGATGATTTTCTTCGTATTAGTGTTAAATCGTTTCTCTTTCCTTCTTTGCTCGAGTCCAACAGTTTGCCATCCGCAAAAAGGTTTTGTACTTCCGGACGTTTGTTCGAAACTGCCCAGAACATTGCCAACGATTCAATACCACATTGCAAGAGATGATCAAGTGTCTCCTGGATTTCTTCGATATAGAACAAAGATGGAAGCACTTTAGAATTTATATCAAAATCGGGGGGACAAAATAGTTTCAAAATAACGGTTAATAACAAGTGTCCACGGCCACAAACTGCCAAGAAGTACCTATCACTCATATCCGGAAGTTTAACCTCTTCCCAAATATAAAGTTCCTTGGTGCCATGCTTAGCACTGAATTCGAACACACCACGACAACGCAGAAATGTCTCAACGTATTGTCGCATTTCCAGGGGCATTTGTGATGTCAGCATAAAACAATCGTAGTACAGCGTACTGCCGTAAATGAAGAACTCGCGATGTGTATTCAATGGCTCATCGTTCCAGTTGCGATAATCCATGGCTTCCATTTCACTTAGGGCGTCGAAAATGCGCAATTGCGCCTCTTTTGGAAGGGGTAAATGTCGTGATTCCTTAATAGCTTCTTCCAAAGGGAATCCTCCTCTGTGTCTATCCTTCTGACACATCAGACGAATACGTTGAATGTTGCAGAAATTGTGCATAAATTGAATAAATGTGGCATTTTTAAAACTATCCAAGCTCATTTGTGGCTGCATAAACGAAATGTATGTCAACAGTTCATCGGCACGCAGATTACCTTCGGGAATTGTTACCATAGAGGCAAGGTACGAAAACAATACAAGAAAGCCATTCAAATTGCGATAGAAAACAACATATTCCTCGTTATTGAAAGACAATTGCGATGCGAACGGCTTTGTCTTTAATTCCTCCGTTAGAACTGTACTGAGCGTGAGGAAGCTTCCACGTGCCTTGTACAGAAAATTATCGGGATTATCAGGGTAATAATAGAGCGACTTTTTATGTTCGTCATTTTGATAGCATTCCGGTGGCAAAATCAGAAGACCAAATGCCATCGAAGCTGTATTTTCCAAAGATTTTTGCAACTGTTCGAATTGCATGGAAAATTGCGAGTAATTTTCGATTTTGGAATATGTTGGCCCACTACCCTCAGTTTCCTTTCTTAGGTCTACAGAAGAAGCCAGAGAGTTTTGGCCTTGAAACTTAAGGCAAACCTTTGTAGGCTCGTCGAACTGCAACAATAAGTCATCAATATTGCTGGCTCTAATTTCAATGTTGTCCAACGATTTCAACCAATCTCCCCTGCCTATGGGAATGTGTTTTCCTTGTTGGAAGAATTCAGGCATATCATGAATGAAAGCATCCACCATTAAACATTCCGGCTTATCAACAAAGGGCACCACACTAAATCCCAATATAGACTCCACAGCTGTTGACCGACGACCAAAACGATATCGATCGGCAGCAGTAATCACTAATTCCAGGGTTTTGCAGCTATCCTCACTGGTGTTCACATTGCTAAATAAAATACTATCGTTTGTTGCTTTTGGTGGCGGCTTATCTTCTTCTTTGTTTGGCCTTCGACTGCCTTTTTTGCCACTTCTCGAAGGCAAATCTCTCTGGAATTCAACTTTACCTTCACCTGTTGCTTCCATTGTTGGTGCTGTTGTTTTACACATATCGATCGGTATGTATTCAATATAAAACAATGATCCATCTTCACACACGTATTGCTCCCAGTTGGCAAATTCACTGTCACTGTATGAATTGCTATAGGATTCATCTTCGGAATTACTGTCAGAATCCGCTTCGGTCGTCGAAGATCGAACAAAATCCGGATTATATCTTCGCATAATAAACAAAAAATGTTAAAGTGTGTATACAGAGCGCAGGCGCGTATACCTTACAGTCTTGTGCCGACTGGAAGTATTATTGTCGCCGACAGTATTCAATTGAATTATTCATTGAAAAGATCTAATGAGCTAGTTAAATAGGTCTATATTTTTCAATTGTAGATTTTTTGTGGAATCAAGCACATAGGACATTTGCTTATACTTGAAATTAATGTAATAAATAGTTTAGATCTCCCCCAAACAAAAGCTTCCAATTTTGTTTCAAAATAGAAAACAACGAATGTACAAAGAATTAGAATTCAAACATGAACGATTAAACTAGTTCAACATTCAAACCATAAGTGTGTACGTGCATTAAATATTCTGTAAGAATTTGTTAAAAATATTGGCTAAAGTCTGAGAATTCCCGCAAATGATACTATATTGTGCAATCAGGATATTTTTAAGAGAGACTTACTTTTAACAATCAAGAAGTTAAAATTAAATCAATCTCGCCTAACCTTTAAATTAATAAAATATATAGTTGAAGACTTAACAAATTTATTCGAATTGTTACATTCTGATGATATTATAAAAAAATAATGGTAATAATAGAGCGACTTTTTATGTTCGTCATTTTGATAGCATTCCGGTGGCAAAATCAGAAGACCAAATGCCATCGAAGCTGTATTTTCCAAAGATTTTTGCAACTGTTCGAATTGCATGGAAAATTGCGAGTAATTTTCGATTTTGGAATATGTTGGCCCACTACCCTCAGTTTCCTTTCTTAGGTCTACAGAAGAAGCCAGAGAGTTTTGGCCTTGAAACTTAAGGCAAACCTTTGTAGGCTCGTCGAACTGCAACAATAAGTCATCAATATTGCTGGCTCTAATTTCAATGTTGTCCAACGATTTCAACCAATCTCCCCTGCCTATGGGAATGTGTTTTCCTTGTTGGAAGAATTCAGGCATATCATGAATGAAAGCATCCACCATTAAACATTCCGGCTTATCAACAAAGGGCACCACACTAAATCCCAATATAGACTCCACAGCTGTTGACCGACGACCAAAACGATATCGATCGGCAGCAGTAATCACTAATTCCAGGGTTTTGCAGCTATCCTCACTGGTGTTCACATTGCTAAATAAAATACTATCGTTTGTTGCTTTTGGTGGCGGCTTATCTTCTTCTTTGTTTGGCCTTCGACTGCCTTTTTTGCCACTTCTCGAAGGCAAATCTCTCTGGAATTCAACTTTACCTTCACCTGTTGCTTCCATTGTTGGTGCTGTTGTTTTACACATATCGATCGGTATGTATTCAATATAAAACAATGATCCATCTTCACACACGTATTGCTCCCAGTTGGCAAATTCACTGTCACTGTATGAATTGCTATAGGATTCATCTTCGGAATTACTGTCAGAATCCGCTTCGGTCGTCGAAGATCGAACAAAATCCGGATTATATCTTCGCATAATAAACAAAAAATGTTAAAGTGTGTATACAGAGCGCAGGCGCGTATACCTTACAGTCTTGTGCCGACTGGAAGTATTATTGTCGCCGACAGTATTCAATTGAATTATTCATTGAAAAGATCTAATGAGCTAGTTAAATAGGTCTATATTTTTCAATTGTAGATTTTTTGTGGAATCAAGCACATAGGACATTTGCTTATACTTGAAATTAATGTAATAAATAGTTTAGATCTCCCCCAAACAAAAGCTTCCAATTTTGTTTCAAAATAGAAAACAACGAATGTACAAAGAATTAGAATTCAAACATGAACGATTAAACTAGTTCAACATTCAAACCATAAGTGTGTACGTGCATTAAATATTCTGTAAGAATTTGTTAAAAATATTGGCTAAAGTCTGAGAATTCCCGCAAATGATACTATATTGTGCAATCAGGATATTTTTAAGAGAGACTTACTTTTAACAATCAAGAAGTTAAAATTAAATCAATCTCGCCTAACCTTTAAATTAATAAAATATATAGTTGAAGACTTAACAAATTTATTCGAGTTGTTACATTCTGATGATATTGTAAAAAAATAATGGTAAAACAATGTTTCCAAAAAAACTTAACATATGCGAATGGTATTTTTGCCCATGACCACAATGACTCCTTCATCCTGTATTTCTTTGAGAGCATCTTCAAATTGTTCTCGTGTAATAAGCTGAAAATAAGACATCTAGATTAGTATATTTAGAAAAAAAAATATTTACAGAAACACTTACAATTTGCGACGATTCTTTGATTTCCTTAAAAAGTTTCTGATACGGAACTGTTGGTATTTTACCCTTCTTTTGAAGATTTTCTTTTATCGAAGCTACCAAATCAGCACGTTTCTTACGGGCCGCTGTAGAAAGGCCTGTTGTCAAGATACCCACATCTATTTTTCCTGACAATGGATCTGTGGCTGATTGTTTCAATGCTTCACGATGTAGACGCCATGCTTCCTCAACATCTTGTACTGTAACCTGTTGACTTAGTCGGACTTTAGCATGTGCCTCTGAAAGACGAATTAAACTTTCAAGCTGTCTTGGATAGGCAGAAATCTGACCACGACCGGCGCCAACTTTACGCATATCAACATAAGCCTGAATAAGACGTTGTTGAGCTTCCTCTGATAGTGTGGGCGAAATGTGTTCTCTGGCGTATGCTATGTAATCTCTTAAAACACTCATATCCTATAAATACGATAGTTATTTGTTGGACTAGAACAATAAATATTCAAAACATACAAACATAGTGTCCTCCTCTTCGTGGCGTGTAACATAGTACAGTGATACCAAATGGCCAGCTAAACGTCTATCAAAAACTTCATCCTGAGGATCTAATACCAAAAATATTAAATCGAAACGCGACAGTAGAGTGTGCGGCAAGTGTACATTGTCGATAATGTTTTTCTTCTTATTCCACTGGGATTCAGCTGGATTGGCAGCAGCCAATATAGATGTGCGGGCATTTAATTGACAAATAATACCAGCCTTGGCAATACTTAAAGTTTGCTGTTCCATGACTTCATGCAAAACACTACGGGTGGCATCGTTCATTTTATCAAATTCATCAATACAGCAGACTCCGTTATCGGCCAGAACCAAAGCTCCTCTGATGCCAAAGAAGAGTGAAACCGAAAATGTCAATATTACTTGAAGTAAGAAGAACATAAACTAAGGTGTCTTCAAACACCTTAGACATAGATGGGGTTACTTACGTTTGCAGTACTAATTGTCTTGTTTCCGGATCCTTTGTTACATACGCAGTCAAACCCACCGCAGATGAACCTCTACCGGATGTATACTGTGAACGCGGCACCAAATTGAAGACATACTGCAACAATTGAGACTTGGAGGTACCCGGATCACCACATAACAGCAAATGAATTTCAGATCTAAAGTTTTGTCTTCCCAATGTGGCATGTTTCTTCTTCGTACCACCAAACAATTGTAAAAGTATGCCCTTCTTGATGTCATCGTTTTCATAAATTGAAGGAGCGATTGCTCGAGACAACCTATCATAAATATCAGGCTTTTGAGACAATGCATGTAGTAGTTCAACACGTTCTGGGGGAAATATGTGATCTTTCCTGTAATTTGCAAATATAATTTACATGTATTTCAAGAAAGAAATATCAAATATGTGTTGGTTCTTACCCTTCTTCCTCTTCGTACAATCTTTTATTATCGACTTTTCGGAAGTGCACCACATCAATATGTGTCTTGTAAACACTTTTAACCGCCGATCCGGTTCTAGTGTTTTTCATTGGTGTTGCACGATAAATGCCTGTAACTGTTATACGGTCACCAGGTTGCACCTTATCGACCAAGTCATTATGTGCATAAAGCAACACATTATGTGGTGTCTGCCCAGCAGCCATATCGTCTGGAGACTCCTGAAGCTTGATCAATTGTTTATCGGTGAATTCAGAACGATTGTGAACCAAGCGGAAGCAGTGATTTGTATTACAGTTTGTGCACAAAGTAGGTTGTGCAATACGACCACGATCAACTTCCACAGTGGTTACAAAGTCACAAATAATACACTTAAAGAAGGCTTCTCTCATCTCGGGTATAACATTCGATGTTCTGATTACCATACCGCTGATACTGATAAGTTGATCCATATCTTCTGGATTCAAAGAACGCATATTACGTGTTTTATCAGCATTAAAAGGTCGAACTTGTATCTGATGTTCAAGTATAGCAGCTGGATAGCGCTCAAAAAACATTTCGTTTACTGCCATGTCAAAACTAGGAATAACTTCCTGGGGATAGCATATGAGCTGGCGATATAACGCCTCATCGAACGTTTTCAAATGAGCACAATTGAGATTTAGGTAAGGTTCTTCTAGGGTATGAATCTCTTCCAATTTTTGCAAATATAATGGTTGGTTGACATCGGTGTTCTCTGAGATTTCATCTTGTTCAGCCAATGGGTCAATGTACCGTAATAAGAACTGCTTGAACTTGGTCTTGCAATGGCTTACAACAACGTTGGTTCCCCACACAACCATTTGAGGTGCTGAAGATACCTCTGATGCCGGGTCAGTAGTTTCCGATTGTCGTTCCGGTATGGGTTCCAGCTGTAATAATTGATTTTATTGACTGTACATATTGAATGATCTACATGTGGACTTACCCCAGTACCGCCAATGGCAACTTGCCGCATCTTTTTATCAGTTCTTATATCTGGACGGGCTCTTAAAGGAGTACCACGAATGCCTGAGCGTGGTGTTCGAATCGAGCCCATTGAACTTGGTGTGCCATAATTCAATGGCGATGATAAATCAATTTCGCTCATATTTGCTCCCAAGCCACGGGCTGGGCTTGTTGCGGGTAAACTAATATTGCCCGGTGATGTTGGCGGCAAACTAATATTATCAGATGCCTGACCATGTCTAGGTCCCATTCGCATTGGCGTTTCTGCATCTGGAGCATTTATAGCTGCAATATCAAAATATTAAATTAATTAATTATTAAATTAATATTAATGGAACCAAATACTTACAACGCGTTGGGGTTTTTTGCCCCTTTGATGTTATAGCGCTATTTGGTGTTCTCGCTGGACTGGACATATTTAATAATTTTCTTTTCAGTCTTTGCACAAAAACAAACAAAAAATATCTTCACTCAACAACAGTCAACGATAAACTGCATGCAGGAAGGAATTGCATGCAAACAGCAAGCGAAGCCACCGGAGCCAACCGGGTATTTGGCGCGAAAACCAAACAAATGAAAAAACGTTCCACGTACTAACGAATGGGAAGAGAAGACAAAATGGCCGATAAAGAAGAGTTCAAAGTGGTATAAGGGAAAGTTTACGAATGAGGTGGGAGAGAGATGGAAACCGCGTTGTTATCGAATGAGGTTTATGCCATGTACAGACGAGCGTTGTTCGACCCTTAATTATGAAGTAATTAATTAGTTCCCCATACAAAATTGTCTGAGCGAACACCGACTTTTGTACGTTGTTCAATTCGAATGACTCTCTGAATAACCAAGACATTTTCCCCATCCCTAACAATTGAGAGTATTTATCGGAAATAAATTAATTTTGACAGTATGAATATATATAAAAAAAATTTTTTTTTGAATATATATTATAAAATTTTCAAAATTTTTCAGTAAAATTGAAAATGATGAATGAAAAGTAAAAAATTGTCTAGTTTTTATATATGCAGCAGCATGTAAATTTTGTTATCTACATAATGCGTACAAAACAAGTAACAAATTTGGGGAAACAGAAACCAAAAAATTCTCCAAATATTTATATGTGACATTTGAATTGAGAAAATATAAAAATGTATTAAAAACAACAAAATTTTCAGAAAAAATGGAAAACATGAATGAAATGTATATAGCTATGGGTTCTTACTATATTCAGGAGAAAGAGAATAATTTTTTCTATTTAAATTCATAGGTAATAAACACAAATATGTTGAGATTTCGGTATAAAAGGAGAAACACAAATTTGAAAAAGAAATTTCTGATGACATGAATTAAAAATATTGTTGTATGAACGGGTTAATTCATGTCTGAGAGCGAACTACGTTGTTCGAATGCTCGTCAGAACATGGTATTAGGCAAATTATGATTAGGGATAAGTAAATCGACTTTCGACTAATCGACTTTATGTGTTGAAATGTCTAATGCCATGTTCATATGGACATTTGAGCAACGTAGTTCGTTCTAAGAATTGGGTCTGTTCCCCTACTCCAAGAATCCACTAATTGTTACTATTTTTTCCGATATTATAAAGGTAAAAATCGTTATCGTAGTAAAATGTAGTAGATTCTTGCAGCACGGGAACAGACCAATTACGTACATGAATTAACTCGTTCATAAAACACTATTCTTAATGTATGTCTTCAGAGTTTAGTTTTTGAAACTTTGTTTCTTGTTTTACACCAAAATTTTAACTTATTTACGTGCATCACTTATGAATCAAAATGAAAAAAAACTCTCCTTCTCCTGACTATAGAGAGTTCATAGACATATGCTTTCCATTCTTTTCTGAAAATGTTGTTGTTTTTAATACATTTTTTATATATGTCACACATCAAAACACTTCAGTATATTTTTTTGTGTATCCCACATTTGTTTCTTGTTTTATATGCGAGTTAGAATGGAATAGAAAGAAGGATGTGTCCAAATAAGTAAAAAACTAAATTTACTTCCATTCAGTTTTACAATATTCATTCATTACTTTTATATTTTCTGAAAAAAAATTGTAAATATTAAGGGTCCCACACACTATACATCATGTCGATTAACCCCTTTGTGTATGTGTGAGATTGACTAGTGTGTGGCAAACTCTTCAATTATTATTCCAATTTTTTTTTTCAAAAAAATTGAAGTTTGAGTCGTAAATTCAGTTCTTTTTTATATCGTCACAATTTTATTATTGTATACACAAAATTATTTACTGTCAACTTTGAAAATGAATTAAATTCACCAGATTGAAAGGGTTTCATTTTCAAAATCAAAACTATTTTGATTTTCTTCATGCATTGTGTGTGTCACACATACATAAATAAACTTTCAAAAAATTACACATACTATGATAAATTTTGTACGGCATGATATATGGTGTATGGGACCCTTTAGAAACTTTTCCATGCTGTCAAAATAAATATTTTTTCGATAAATGCTCTCAATTGTTAGGAATGGGACGAATTTATTTGTTTTTCAGAGAATGATTCCAGTTGAACAATGTACAAAAATCGGTGTTCGCTCAGAATGTTCGCGTTGAGCGAAGTCGACTTGTGATCTTTGAGGAAATCGCAAAAGCGACTTTTCAAGATCGATTTTCGATTTTCTTCATTTATACTTGGTTTATTGTCAAAAAGAATAAATTTCCCAAAAATTACATATTCCAGAATTTTATTTCGTCTGATGACAAAAATCGAAAAGTCTAAAAGTCGAAATTTACTCCCGACTACGTATCCCTACGCGAAAATTGTGCAACGCACAGTTGCATTGCCTGAATAAAGCATCATGACGGCGTTAAGTGATAAACATAGGGAACTTCACATTGTATGATATATTGATTTATTTATTCGATAACGAATTTTCCTTTATGACATCGAATAGAATAGCAAAATCCAGTAGATTCTTCCAGTACGGGAACATACCAATTGTATACAATATATTACTGTATATTGTATAGTCTGGAACACAGCTATCATTGGACGTACTTGCTCAAATGTGAATTTATTTTGAGTGGCAACACAACAATTGCAAATTCTCTAGCAGTATGGCATTGTGTGCAGTAGTAGGTGACGTATAATGACGGCTGTCAGATTTTTCATTAGAAACTTGGTCTCGTATTAGTCGAAAGTTACATTTTTTGTTTAATTTTAAATTCCCCGTTAACAGAGTATTTAGCTCTGCGTTAATTTGGTCTCAAAATTCTGTCAGCGATCTACTGAAATCAAAGATCCAAATCCAATCGGCAAATACAAATAGCCCTTCCGAAATAAAATACGTGTAACAGTAAATTGTGTAAATTTTAGAATGTAACAGACAAATAAACTAAAACTACAACGAACATAACATTTTCATGATTTTGATTTATTGTTTGGAAAATCCATGTTGATGCCTGCCGGGAAGAAGTGGAAATTTCATATTTACTAGATCCGAAAAAAGAAATCTTCTCGAGAATAATGTCAAGTGAAGAACTTTATGCAAAGGTATTTATACGGATTCATCGTGTATTATCGTTGTTGTTATCATTAATGCATTTGGCTAAGTGTTGTTATTGTGGGGAAGGCTAGCCAATGATAAACCGTGCTGTGATTTGTTGTTGCGTGGAAAACAAACAGAATTTGCCACATTCACCTGTGCACAAGACAAGAGCTGGCTATCGATTGATTACGATTTCGAAATATATCTACACTGCAGTAGAGGTGTTACTGCTTTCTGTATTATTTATAGATATGCCTAAATAAATATTCAGTTGTGTTACTTATTTCGTTAATAGGAAAGCAGAGAAACTGTAACGACATTCCTAGGCCAACATCATCTTATGTCTACCGCAATAACCGTGTACGAGTACACCGGTGAAGGTGGTTGAGAAATATGAGCACTGATTTATGCTTATTGATAGATTATATTTCGTTTTGTCCATGTTCGTGTGTGATTGTTGGCAACCTTTGAAGATGGCATACATAGCTATGGAGTAATAAACATTTGCTATCTGCCTTCCACTTAAAAAATATAGATATAGTATATTTGACAATGTTTTCTTTATCAGTGGTGACGCATTCATTCCCTACGATATTTCTTCTAATAATGTTCGCTTCCAATGGCGATGATTAATTGTTCTTTTGTTTACTTTTTTGCAGGGATGTAAAGTTTGGCTACCCAACTCGGATACAGTATGGGAAAGTGCAGTATTAGAAGAGAATTACCAGAGGGGACAGACTAGCCTTAAAGTCCAACTCGAAAGTGGAAAACTTATTGACGTACCTGTAAAGGAGGATGGCAGCGATTTGCCCCCATTGCGGAATCCAGCTATTCTTATTGGACAAAATGATTTGACATCACTGTCGTATCTGCACGAGCCAGGAGTATTACACAATCTGCGGGTACGGTTTTGTGAACGACAGATTATATACACATATTGCGGTATTATTTTGGTGGCCATTAACCCGTATGCTGAACTGCCATTGTATGGATCAAATATTATACGCGCATACCGCGGTCGTTCCATGGGTGAATTGGAGCCTCACATATTTGCATTATCCGAAGAGGCATACACACGATTGGAACGGGAGAAATGCAACCTCAGTATTATAGTAAGCGGCGAATCTGGAGCCGGTAAGACAGTATCGGCAAAATATGCTATGCGTTACTTTGCCGCAGTAGGTGGATCTGAGTCGGAGACCCAGGTTGAACGCAAAGTATTGGCGTCGTCGCCCATTATGGAAGCTTTCGGCAACGCAAAGACAACACGGAATGACAATAGTTCACGTTTTGGAAAATTCACAAAATTACTATTTAAAAATAATATGGGTGTAATGCATTTAACTGGCGCGACAATGCATACATATCTATTGGAGAAATCTCGAGTAGTTTTTCAGGCCATGGGCGAGCGTAATTACCATATATTCTATCAATTGTGCTCAGCTAGGAATGAACATCCAGAATTGATCTTAGGTAAGTGCTGCCCATTAAATATCGAAGAAAGCATTACCTCATATTGTTCGATTGTGTTTTAGATCACCAGGACAAATTTGAGTATCTCAATATGGGACAATCGCCTGATATTGATAAAGTTTCTGACAAGGATCAATTCAAGGAAACCATACAGGCTATGGAAATTTTAGGGTTTGATTCCAGACAGGTTGGTTGCTGATTGATATATCTTTGGAACATATATTTATTGTTCATTCTTCATTTATAGATTTCAGATATTTTGAACATCTTGGCTGCCATTTTACATTTGGGAAATGTGAAATTTAGCCACAAAATGAAAAAGAATTCAGAAGAAATCGATCCCGACGGTTGCGAAATATATGTAAGATTTCTGCTTCTTGTACACAATATATGGAGATACTAAAATCAGATTTCTTTATAGCATGATGACTTGCATTTGCGGGTTCTGGGAGAATTACTGAAAATCAACTCAGATGAGTTGAGAAAATGGCTTAAAACTCGTCAAATTGAATCAGTCAATGAGTTAGTACTCATACCAATTAATATTGCCACAGCGGAAGCTGCTAGAGACGCGCTTGCCAAGCACATATATGCCAGACTATTTCAATATATTGTCAGTGTCATAAACAAAGGTTTGAACAATGATCGCAAACAGTCATGTTTCATTGGTGTGTTGGATATTTATGGCTTCGAGACTTTTGAGATTAATTCATTTGAACAATTCTGTATAAATTACGCCAACGAAAAGTTGCAACAACAATTCAATCAACACGTTTTCAAATTGGAACAGGAGGAGTACTTGAAAGAAGGTATCAGCTGGACCATGATCGATTTCTATGACAATCAACCGTGTATAGATTTGATAGAGTCCAAGTTGGGTGTATTAGATCTGTTGGATGAGGAATGCAGGGTAAGTGTGAAATGTCTATTTGGATCAGCGATCATGTTATCGAAATAAATCAATGTCTTATAAAGATGCCCAGGGGATCGGATGAGAGCTGGGCTCGTAAATTAATGGAAAAATGTGCAAAATACCCACATTTTGAAAAGCCTAGATTTGGAAATACAAGTAGGTTGGAGTTGCGTTCTAAGCCTAAATAAAATTAGCATTATAATGTATTTTCATTTATTGCAAGGCTTTTCTGTCAAGCACTTTTCCGACACGGTGGAGTATGACGTTATGGGATTCCTGGAGAAAAATCGTGACACGGTTTCAAAAGAACTGGTTAATGTCTTACGTTCATCAAAAATGTCCCTATGCAAGCAATTAATGGAAATGGAAGAAATAGATACGTTAAGCGCTGATGCGGCAAAAACACACACCTTAGGTGGCCGCGTTGTCATAAGTGCAGCACGAAAACAGGTATGAGAACAAATTACCAACACATAGGTATTTAATTATTTTTTAATATTTCGAAAAAATCTATAAATGTTTGTTTCTATTTTTCATTCGAAAATAGGGCGAGGTAGCCACTGAACCAAGACGAAGAGTTAGTGATTTTCTTTTGATTTTTTACTCTAAGTGGTAATAAGAAATTAGCTTCAATGTAGAATAAAAATTGCCAATTAACCCAAATAATGTGCAAAAGTGAACTGCAGAGTGTTAGAATGGTTTAGGGAGATTTACATGTGTTTTTATACGTTATGTTAGACTAATTGTCGATGGAAATTTAATAAACTAATGTTAATTATAACAACATAAACGGCAACTTAACACGAAACATAAATTCGATCTCATTTCCAACTCAAAAAACCTAAAATAACTAACAACTATTAATACTGCAGCATGCCTTCACAGCGCTTTGATGAATATCTGACTATTATAAGAATATATTATAATTTATTTAGAGTGAATCATAAATTGTAGTTCCTGATCTGGAAATATCCGATGAAGAAAATTTGTGACTAATAACTATTAATACTGCAGCATGTATTTAAAAAAGCTTACAATATCATTTATGGTTTCACATGTATCCAACCTATTAATTTCAATTTACACTGGATAATGTTGGCTGTTACTAACACTGGGGATTATGCCAATGGTTGTCTGTATCAAATATATAATGTATTACTGTATTCCTTCCTAGGTTACACCATCGAAACAACATCGTCGATCGGTGGGATCGCAATTTCGAGATAGTTTATCCTCGCTTATTGCAACCTTACATTCCACAACACCGCATTATGTACGCTGCATAAAAGTAAGTAAATAATTTGTAAATAAAATTCCAATTTCAATTACCTCACATACCCCAAATTCATTCTGCATTGCAGCCCAACGACGATAAGGTTGCCTTTAAATGGGATGCACCCAAAATCGTACAACAGTTGAGAGCTTGTGGTGTTTTGGAGACAGTTCGCATTTCTGCAGCCGGCTTTCCTTCTCGTTGGTCCTACATGGATTTTTATATGCGATATCAATTGCTGTGCCATCGATCTTTGATTAACAAAAACGACCTCAAACAGACGTGCCGGAATATAGTTCAAAAGTGGATAACAGATGAGGATAAGTATCGCTTTGGTAACACACAGATTTTCTTCAGAGCCGGCCAAGTGGCGTATTTGGAACAGATACGAGCTAATCTTCGGAAGAAATACATAATTACCATACAAAGTGTGATACGTCGCTTCATCTGTCGTCGCAGATATCTTCGATTGCGACGAACCGCATTGGGAATTCAACGTCATGCGCGTGGCTATTTGGCCAGAAAGAAGGCTCAAGCAATGCGCGAGGCCCGTGCTGCCATAGTCATATCGAAGTATGCCCGAGGTTGGCTATGCCGCAGACGTTATTTACGCTTGCGCAAATCTATTTGCGGCATTCAACAATATGCAAGAGGAATGTTGGCGAGACGTCGATTCCAAGAAGCCATGGACCACTATCGTGCAGTACAAATTCAGCGTTTCGTTCGAGGCTATTTGGCTCGACGAGCATACCACAAACGCAGAAGGCAGATTATAATTTGCCAGTCGGCAGTACGTAGGTTTTTGGCGAAACGTCAGTTTAAGGCTTTGAAAGCAGAGGCTAAAACAATATCGCATATTCAGAACCTGTACAAGGGCCTGGAAAATAAGATTATTTCCATGCAGCAGCGCATTGACGATTTGAATAAAGAGAATAGCCATCTCAAGCATAAGAACAGTGAGATATCTGTGCTGAAAATTAAATTGGAAACAAAGAAAAACCTGGAACATGATTTGAAGAGCTTGAAGCTTGTTGCCGCTGAGAGGGAAGAAAAGATTGTATCGCTGACCAAACAACTAGAGGTGGAGAGGGATGAAAAAATGCAACTGTTGGAGGAGAATGCTCGAAATCAAGAGGAGTGGACCAAACAGAAGTTGATTTTGTCAACAGAGAATGAGGAGCTTCGAAAGCAATTGGAAGAAATGGCAGAGAGATTGAAACTCACGGAATCGGGCTACCAACGAGAACGTGTTATTACAGACATTGATAACAACGAAATCCACGAAGTCTATCGCAAAATTATGAAAGAAAAAGAAATACTGGAGAATGAAAATTACCATTTGAAATTAGATTTACAAATGTTGCAAAAGCAATCTGGCGTGGTTGGGGACTATATTCCGGTTTCACATCATGTACGATCCATCAGCAATGCATCCAGCCATACGGAGGATGATGCCGGCTACAGCTCGACTAAACATCTTTTGGATCAAAAGAACAATCATTCCCTTAATGTGAATGACATTAGCCGAACATCTCCAGAGGCATTCCGACGAAATTTGGAAATGACTTCTACACCGAAGAGCGAGAATACAGTCATTCTGATAAAACTCCGTAACCTCCTGGAGGAAGAAAAGAAATACAATAAGGCTATAAAAAATCAGCTGGACAAGGCTATTGGTTTGCATAGACCAACGGAAGATTCGCTTCGCGTATCCGAATTGGAGGTTGAAAATGAGAAACTCCGCCATGACTACGAGTTGCTGCGCCAAAGTATACGCAATGGGGCAGAGATGCACGAGTTGGAAGCTCAGCATAACGCTCTGCAAGAGGAACTGAAACGTCGACGTGAAGAATGCATTCAGCTGAAATCTGTTCTGCAACAACAGACGCAGTCTTTGAAGTCATTCGGCAATGACAGTTTATCGCTAAGAAATTCGGATACGAATAGTCTGCAGGACAACGAACTTATGGATGCTTTCCAAGCACAAAAAATGGTCAACAGGCAATTAGAGTTGGAATTGAGGGCCTTGACGGAGGAAAACAACGCCCACTTTGCTGAGTTGACGCGTCAAATTGAAGATTTGCGCGAGGAAAATAATCAATTGCAAGAGGTGTTGCAAGGTGGCGTAGACGAAACTGTAGATGCCACAGATCCAAATGTGTTGCAGCAAACTAACCGTTATCTGAAACATGAACTAAAGAAATCTATGCTGCAGTATTCACAAGTTCAGGAAGAGTTGAATGCTTTCATCAAAAAGTTCGAAACATTAAAACACCGCAGTGACAAATTAACGCTCAGACTTCAAGAACATGGTATTTCGGAGCATGTATCGCCCAATAAGGAACCAGCTGCAACCAATACACTTCCCACCATTACAACAATGGCAAATTCTGAGGTTGCTGTGGGCAAACAAAAACTGAAGAATTATCAAGGTAACTATTATGGCCTAATTAAACATTTCATACACATTTACAAAATCTTTTTTTAGGATTGATGAAGTTCCGCAGCGAGGATATTGATAAGATTTTCCAACGTTTGGTTAGCGACATGACAGCCAGAGTGGCTATTGGTCTTTTGCCTGGTTTTCCAGCCTATGTCCTTTTTATGTGCATACGGTGGGTATTTGCATCGCTCTTCTTTGATTTCTTCTGCGTATAACAAAACAAATATGTATCGCCTCTTTTAGTTACACTGATCTCATAAATGCCGACGAGGACGTACGAACTCTACTCAGTAAATTTGTCAAACAAATTAAAAAAGTTCACCGCAATGCTCACGTAACGGAATATCGCATCCTGTGGTTGGTCAACTCAATAACGTAAGTGCGCTGAGAAATACTTGATGGCCGATTTATACCATACCAACTAATTAATATTGCCTTTCTCTTTGTTGTCCAACAGACTATTGAATCTTCTAAAACAGTACGGCGACGTAGAGGAGTATGTCAAGTTCAATACCGAAAAGCAAAACCAGCAACAATTGAAGAATTTCAATTTGTTTGAATATCGCCGTGTCATCTTGGAGATTATTATGAAACTGTATGAAGCTCTGGTGAGGCAAATCGAAGGATTGCTGGAGCCATACATTGTACCGGCTATTCTGGACAACGATGAGATACAGAGAGGTCGCACACAGACTGGTATGCTAGGCCGAAGTCAATCGAACAACAATTCTCCAGAGCATGTACAAATCGCGGCGTGGAAACAGTTGATACACCAGCTGGAACACTTCTACAAACAATTTACGCATTTTGGTCTGGACCGTTGCTATTCCGAACAGATCTTTAATCAGATAATGTATTTCATCTGTGCGGTGGCAATTAATGATTTGATGTTGAGAGGAGACGTGTGTATGTGGGAAACTGGTATGATAATACGTTACAACTTGGGTCACATTGAGGAGTGGGTGAGAGACAAGAAAATGGTAAGTGAAACGTCGGTGGTGTCCACTCTAAGAAGAATATGTTGTGAACATGATTGCTTGCTTTTCCAAACGTTTCTAGTCCAATGAGGTCCTAACTCCCTTGGCTCCACTGAAAGAAGTCTCACAATTGTTGCAATCTCGTAAAAGTGAAAGTGATGTTCAGAGTATTTGTGAACTTAGTGCGCACTTGAACACAGCTCAAGTACTAAAGGTAAGGACAATTAGCATTAGCAAATCGCAGAAATCCATTCACATTAATCTCCGGCGTTCTTTTCAGATAATGAAATCCTATAAATTGGATGACTATGAAAGTGAAATAACGAATAAGTTCCTTGAAAAATTAGCCGAGAAACTTAATGCTCGTTCTATGGTATGTACTTGTTTTTGCATTTGTGTAATACTCACTAAGCGGTTTGTTGTTTGTTCGCAGATTCAAAATGACGAATTTACCATGGATCAGAAATTCATTCATGCCTTCAAAGTGGTTTTCAAATACAGTGACATTAAATTGGAAGACATTGAAATTCCGAAACACTTGGGGCTAGATGATTTGCTGCAAAAAATCTAGAAATTATATTTTGGACCTGAATTACCAAGCAAGAAACGTAAACATTCCTAAAACCACCTATTAGTTCTGTTAGTATTTAGCTATATATACACATACATTTGTCCAACAGGATTTTATGTTATATTCTGTATTATTTTTATTATTATTATTTTTTTGTAATAACATTCCATAAACATACTTTGTATAGTGCTTCCGTGTAAAATGATAGATTTAATTGGCAAAATTAGATACCTTATGAGTGGAACTCAAAATTTGCATAAACCAATTGCCTTATTGCCTTTGTAAAAGAACGAAATGAAATGATGAAACGAAACGAAACAATGGATACCTGATTTAAATATGAAATATTCAAAGTACTAATACTGCTAACCCCTAGAAAATATCAGCTAATTTATTTATTTGTAGAATACTCCTAAGACTCTTATATTCCATAGAAATCTTGAAATTCCTATTGTAGCTTGCCTTGATCTTGTTTGTTTACACCACAGTAGTAGTATATTTGCCCTGTCATATCATGTCAATGCCAATCTGCATTTGTATAACTTGTGTTGTTTTATTCTTGTTAAGAGACCAACAAGCGAGTACTTAAAGATGATTCTGAGCAGAATATGATGTTATGTTACAAGTCAAATCAATGAAGAAGAGACTTTAAATGAAATTATTTAAATTTACACCATACTTACTTATTTATATATACATACAACATATATAGTAAATATATACATTATTCTATAAAGAAATTGGAACATGTGGCAATTCGAAGCAAAACAAACAATAAAAAATCTTTGAATATAATGAAATAAGCAACAGATTCGTAGTTTGCAGAGTTTTACGGGATCATATGGGTATAAAAGCTGGACCATCTACGGAGAGGCCCTTCTGATTTGAATGAAATCGGTTACATTCTTGTGGCCACCAATATTTCTATAAGGCACATTTTTGCCCGTAACAAACTGTATACACCCTCATATTAGCCATTAGGTTGAGGATATAAAAACATGGCCGATCAAGTTCAATACGCTATTCGATATTTGTTTACACTTAACAAAAAATTGTCGATTTCAAAATATCTTTGAACTTTCACATAACGTAAATTTTCTCTTATATAACATAACTTTCTATATGTTTTGTAAATATAGAATAAAACTGTAGAATTTCCTCGAACATTTGGTGCAAAATTTATGAAAATCGGTTAAGTAGTTTCCGAGTTATTTGCATTTGAATTCAATGATGTTCCGAAATATACTTACGGTTTGGTGCTGGGCGCCTATTACATAAAAATGAAAAACCACACAAAAATAGATTCTTTAAAAACGGCAATTTTTTCTTTCATTATGGATGCTGGTTTGTCAAAATAATGATAGCATACTTTTAGGCCAAACACGTAAATAACTTAGCGAACGCTTAAACCATTTTCATAAATTTTGCACCAAGGTTTAAAGATTGGATGAAATCGGTTACTCCCTGAAACGGATTTGTTCCGAAGAGACTGGGATCTAAACTAATATTTTGATGAGGCACATTTTTGCCGTAGCAAGGCATTGGCCACAAGGCTGTGGAGGATGTAGTAACATAAAAATAAAACAAAACCTTGTTCATACTGTAAAACATGTTTTTATTAAGTCTACTATAAGTTAATCGTCATTAACAACAGCCTTGGATAACTTATTCTTTGGTATGTCAACGGATGGTTTTCGTTCTAGTATCATACCAGTTGCAACTGTCGCGCCATTTTCTCGTATCGTAAATGCCTGACCAGGAGTCATAACCATTTTACGCAATAAAGTAATTCTTACATTGGCGTGATCGCCAGGCATTAGCATTCCACTGGAGGGTACTGCAAGAGGGTATTTGAGTATTACAGTGTCTCGAGGCAATTTCAAATAGATCTTAACTTACTCATATCGATGCGGGCAGGGACATTCCATGTTACGCTAAACAATTGTTGAATGTATTTAGAAAGCATTGGTTTTGTACGTCCGCCTTCGCTTCGTGACAATAAATACATGGATGCCAGGAAATGATTGGATATATCTTCAGAACCTTGTTGGGTAAGCAGCATACCACGCTCTACACTGGATATTTTGACACCTCGCAGTAGCACACCAACATTTTCCCCAGCAACAGCCTACAAATATTCCATTCGCCAATTCTTTAAATCACTTTTGAAAATGCGGTATTCGAAATGCAAAGACTTACTTTGGGAACACTCTTTCTAAATATTTGTATGTCACCCACAGAGGTTTTGATATTTTGATTAAAGCCCAGAAGATCACATTCGGCATTTTTAAGGACCGTACCCCGTTTAATGGTACCGACCACAACAGTTCCACGTCCTGGTACTGTAAAAGCATTATCGATGGGAATTTGGAATGGCGAATCCAGATCCCTCTTTGGAGTCTGTACATAAGCGTCGACATGCTGAAGTAGTTTCTCTATTGATGGAACACCAAATGGCGAAGGGTCATCACGCAAAGCCAGCAGTGCGGAACCACAAATAACCGGAGTGTTAATGCCATCGAATCCGAAGTCGGTCAACATTTCTCGCATTTCTATTTCCACCAGTTCAAGAACTTCTTGATCGACCAAATCTGCCTTGTTTATAAATACAATAATGCGCTGAATACCGACTTGTTTTGCCAACAACAAGTGTTCTCTAGTTTGTGGCATTTGGCCATCGGTGGCAGCAACAACCAAAATAGCACCATCCATTTGTGAAGCACCCGATATCATATTCTATCAATGAAGATCATAGACTTAAAAAGGTGAATGTTATTACAGTGTTTTATCGTGGCACATACCTTTATGTAATCTGCATGTCCCGGGCAATCAGTGTGGGCATATGTTCTAAGCGGTGTCTCATAACCAATATGACATGCATTAATGGTAATGCCTCTGGCTTTTTCCTCAGGAGCCCTGTCAATCTGATCATATGACACATATTCTGAAAGACCTTTCTTGGAGAGGACCCTTGTAATAGCAGCTGTGAGCGTCGTTTTGCCATGATCTACATGACCTATGGTACCAACATTACAGTGTGGTTTTGGTTCCTCTAATTTTGGGGCTTTGGCTGCTGTGCAATAGAGTCTGGAAGATACGGCGGATACTAATTTACCACATTCCGGAAGGGTTCTTTTGCATTGACTTAGAAAATGATAATTTACCGCAACATGCCTCCGAATCGGATGCAGCTCGTGACGCAACAGCTTACTTAAACTCCTCAAAAGTGGAGGCCTCATTTTGAAGCAATATCTGTTGAAGAAATACATATTTAATGCATTAATTAATCAATGGATAATAATATAGCATAAATAATAATACACCTAATTCTGTTTTTAGACGATAGAATGGTTCCCGAGAAATTCGTGTAAAAAAAGATACTGGCCATATCAGAAATTCATGCCATGCAGGGTTGTTACTCTAATTAAGGCAGGGATGTTTGAGCAAAAGCATTCCAGAATTTTCTTCAATAAATAAATAGTTCATGCAAAAAAAGCAATTTTGTTTTTTTGTATTCTTGTTATTTCAAATTATGTCGTGTAAAAATAGAAATATTTTTTCGTATTTACTCGTGTTATTTCAAATTCGTGTAAAAACAGAATTAGGTGTATAGCAATTGTAAATTAAAGGTTTTCAGGTCCACCCGTTCACCTAAAATCCAAAATGTACTATATTTAGTACCATTAGTACTTAGTACTTTTCATACCCATAGGTATGAATCTCCTAATCTACTACAATCTTACACCAACCATTATTCCAAATTTTAGGTTTCCAGCTCTCTCCGTTACCAAATAGAACACAACAATTCGAATTTTCAAAGCGGTCTCCATAGATCAATCATACACTTAAAAAAATTCAAAATTTCAGGATCCAGTCCTATCCGTTCACATAATCCTGTATGTACCACATTTAGTACACATAATTACCGACTTGTAGCGTATCCTCCTTAAATGTTATCTTTAACACTAAGATCCTTTTATATTTTAAGATAAAAGACTATCATTCAATGTTTTCAAACAAATCGGAATCTCCAGATGTCCGGGGAATCCACATTCTGGGAAATTTCAGTAAATTATTCAAATTATAATTGGAGCTATTATTGTGGAGCAATATTTATAACACTCACTTACATCACTCCTTCTAGTACCTCCCCATGGTCAACATTATGAAGTGAAGATGATGTGTAATGTAAATTCGTGAATTGAATTCTAACAAATTACTTAATACTTACTCCTTAACTCCTTTGGTATGGTATATGGTATTTATTTAATTTATTTTATTTAATTTATTATGGAATTCTTCAGTTGGTGTGCTTTCTTCATTTTGGTTACAATGCCGGCATATTAAAAATCGCCGGCGTTGTTGAATTGGACGAAATAGGTTTAAAACGAAACTGATAAAGCAGAATCAAAACAAACATACATGTACCTTAGTCTTTCTTAGGTCGAAAATTGAACGAATGGGGAATCAAAACAAAAACAGGTGTTTGTACGGCTTAACAACAATAATAACAGCTGCTTACACAAGACACACAGTTGCTGCCAGCAACTTGGTGGTATCGAAAATGGAAGGAAGATAGGGATCAAAACAAAAAGCTCGACAAGGACATAGAAACCGTAAAGACTTGACAAAATGCATTTTGGCAAAATAGTTTATGAAAAAATATCCAGGGGGAATCAAGGTTAACAGAGGCATGTTAATAATAAAAACGCCAATACGCGAAAATGTGTGAATTAAATGTAAATAAAATTAGAGGCCTGCACTCAAAATATGTATTTTCATTTTATAAGCTTAAGATATAGCAACAAAAATGTTTAATATTGTTCTCTCTGTTGTTATGATATCGTAACAACAGAGAAAAAGTAATCTGTTGGAAATCGCTTACGTATCAATTGTCCTATCTTTATACTTTTATGTCTTTGAGCTCGATAGCTTGAGGGTTTTAAAGATCGATACAAAAGTTACAATTCTGAAAGTTGAAACATCGAATACGTAAATTGATATGCACAATTAATATGTGTGTTAAGTGTTTTTTATTAGAGTATTTTGGTCCGCCTGCCGCATAACGAGTAAAAAGGCCACCTCCAAATCATATATTTTTGGTATTAGATACTATACCTTGTACAAAACAGGTGATATTTATGAACGGGTTGTATGAACGGTTTAATTCATATAAATGCCCATCAGAACATGGCATAATGTTGTCCGATAATATTGATAACCAAAACTATCAATCGATATTCAATTTTTAAAAAAGAATATCGATACTAGTGATACTGCCATCGATTTTTTTACAGCTCTAGCATACAATAACAAAGACGGACTCAAAAGCAGGCATTAGAATAGAAAATAATAAAGATGGAAAGCGTTGAAACAATAAACGAAATTGATATTCAAAACACAACGGCGGGCGACGATATGCTTCTGAAACCTCCCATGGCAAAAAGGGAACGCAAAGTTTCACCCAGCCTTACTTTAAATGATGTATTCCCGGATCCCATGTCTCCGTCTTCGTCGTCATCGGCTAGCAAAGATGAAACATTCGAACCCACAATTGAAATGATGGTGAACGACTTCGATGACGAACAGACGCTAAACGAAGAAGAAGCTCTAGGAGCACTGGAGGATGCCGAGGAGGAAATCAATACTCTAAAGCAAGAAAGTGAAATTCCTTTGGAAGAACTATTAGCTAAGTATCAGGCATTGCCGCCTATGGAGTATGAAGAGCCACTTCGGAAGAAATCCAAAAAATCCAGCAAGAAGAAACACAAAACGAAACAGAGATCACTGCCAACGGCTGTCTCAGCAGACGACGTTTGTGGTGGTGATGATGAAGATGGTGATAAGCAAAGGATAAGGATTGAGGAGGAAGTGGCGTCTAAATCAAACACGGACGTTGTGAAAAACAACGAGGACTATACAATCACTAGCGAAAGTAATGATGAAAAAACTTCGATCGAACAAGACAAACTACAGGAGGAGGAAGACGATGAAACGGTAGAAGACGACGAATGTAAAAATGTCGATGAAACTGATATACCGACAGTAAGAAGAACCCATTTATTGGATTTGTATCCGGAAGGTACATTTGGCAATGTGGCCGACGTAGAAAAAGGTATATTTTCATTTTCAAAAAAAAAATTGCAAATTGTTTTCTTTTTTATTGGTACATTTTACGGTAGACATTCCCTTGGAAACTCTTTACGGCGTGGAAGATGACGAGGAGGAGGAGGGTGTTGATGATGAAGAAGATGAGGAATACAAGAAGAAAGTAATGATAGGTCCTTCATACCAGGCCTTTATCCCTGGACTTTCTCAGTACGGGGATATTTTGCCATATGAAAATGAGGACTTGCTGATATGGGAACCTAGTCAGGTTACGGAACGAGAAGTAGAGGCATATTTACTTAAGATAAGAGATATCAATAGGAATCAAGGGGCGGAAGATGAAAATGCTGATTCCTTCGAGTCCGAAAATACTACAGCAGTAAAAGAGAATGGCGAAGCTCTGGAATCAACCCATGATAATATAGAGAACAATTCGTTATTGGCGAATGGTGAAAAGAAAACAAGTCCACAAGCAAGTTTGTCATTGGATGACGCTCCAGCTGTTGTTAAGGACAATGAACAGGTGAGAATCATATTTCTTCTATCCAAGAAATCATTCAATCATATTAAAATTCAAGGCCTTGCACCTGCTGGTCCAGTGTGGTTATGATTTTAAGGAAGCTCTACGGCGAAAACGTTTAAACGCTCTACCCATGACGGACAGCATGAGCCTGTGGTCTGAGGAGGAGTGTCAAAAATTTGAAGAGGGTATACAAAAGTATGGCAAAGATTTTCTAAAGATTCGTCAGAATCAGGTGAAATATTGTATATTACACTAGGACGGATTACATTAGACTGAGTCCAATTTTTTATTTTGTTTACACAGATTCGAACCAGAACCATGCGCGAGCTAGTACAATTTTACTATTTGTGGAAGAAGAGTGAAAGGAGGGATCACAATTTCGCAAATACCGATACCGTGGATCATATGGACATATACTTAAACGAAGATAATGAGTATGGTTCGAATCCTGCATCAGTAACAACCCCAGTTGGTTCACCGGTTAACAATGTAAATTCGGCAACAAATACACGGAGGAATTCACAGAAAAATGTATCCATAATGTCGTCGAACACCGCAGTTTCCACGACTACGACGACGGGTACCACCAGCAATGCTGCTGTAGTCACAAACACAGAAAAGTCTTCACATAAGCGACGTTCCAGCTGTAATGTGAATAATGAATCTATCACAACAGATAAAACCACGTCTACAATAGTGGTATCAACTTCCTCCGCGGCCATGACAAAATGATGACAATCCAAAACGAAGTTCAGACGTCCCCAAAAACGTTTAACGACTACTCGTCTACGCAACCAACAGCAGCAGAATTCAAATCAACGTCTTCAGAGAAGACTCAAACGTATCGTAGTGGTGCAGAGATGTTTTCGCAATAAGAAGAAATGTCGCAGTAATAAGTCTAGTATAGCAAACATTTGAATATTCCCAATGCAGGAGAGTGTTTCAAAAATATGGATTATTTTCATGTACGATAACAAAAACACATTTTTGTTATTTTTTACCAGTTTATAGAGGATGTGAGAAAGTAAAGATTATTATTTTTTATATCATTTATAATTATTATACATATTTTTGTGTATACATGAAGAAAATATTTTCTTATAAGAGTGTATAATAACTTTGTCACAGAAGCTGTGTGTTAATTTCTTACCAGAGTGTATAATAACTTTGTCACAGAATCTGTGTGTTAATTTCTTACCAGAAATCAATATATTTTCATTGTATGAAGCTTTGATGAATGAAATTATTTCATACTGTAGGTTTTTTCTTAAATAAATAATAAAAAGGTGTGTTCTAAAACAAAAATTATTTCATTAAATGTTCGCCCGCCCATGTGTATTCCATAGTGGTGAAATATGTACCATATTTAAAATAAATATGGTAGCCTCCATTCTGTGTTTTGTAGGTGAAAGAGTTGATATAAATCGGGACGTGCAAAAGGGTTAACATGGGTTGTACATTGATCTATATTATAAAGCAGCTAAGGGTCAATCACATTTCCTTTGGATAAAAAATAATACTAAGAACTGAAATCAAGCAAGTAGCCATTATCAGAAGTTCCTACACAATAAAAAACATTTCGAAGATAGTAAAGATGTGTTTAAATTGACTGAGGCAAGGATACAAACCTAAAATAAAATCGTAGAGCACAAGGATATTCTAACTGATTACCTTCAGTTTTCCCAAAAGTTTGCACCTTTGGGTTTGATTTACACTTTTAAAATCCACCAGCAAAATATTTTTTTTTTTCTAAGAACGTCTCTTAATGGCGATTAGCATCTGATAAATTGCTGGACCTGACCAAGGCATTTCCTTTGTAAAGCAACTTAACAAAAATATCGTACCGCATTTATATTTACTATTTTCACATATATTTAGCTGTAACATCAAATATCGTCGGAGGTAGGAAAGAAAGAAATAACAAAACACAGTAAACCAAATGCAAAACAAAAAACCAGTCGCTCTTACACACAACAAAACGTGTACTGATGACTATAAGCCAAACTTTAACGGAAGCGTATCCGGAAAACACAAGCACATTCGTCTCTCCCAGCTTACTCTTGCAAATAGAGCGCGAGCGGCGTGAACCATTCGTCGTTGTTATGAATGGCGAGTGATCATGATGAGGGCTTAGTTAAAGTTTTCTACAGATCTCTACATCAGTATCAGAGTGAATGTGCGGAGCATTGCTTGTTTGTTTGCTACGAAGGAAAACGCATCAGCTACAGCAGCACATCATCACCGATTTGTGAAGTGTTGGTTTACGGCAATATGCAACAACATCATCATACAACAACAGCAACAACAACAGGAAGCAAATACAGCAATTTTACCCATCATACTAATACTGCAAAATTACCCATAGATGTGGTGAAGAAATTAATAGCATCTGTATCTCAAAGACCAAATCTTTGGATACGCACAAACAATGGCCAAAAGAGATCGGATATCAATTTGCTGTGGCAACAAGTTAGCTCAGAAGTTCATCTTCCAGGTATGTATGCGAATAAATGTGTAATTTTTTGTTTGCGTGTATATGGTTGTATAAACATGTGTGTGTGTGTGAACACATAAATAACAAACAACCGTAACCGTGTTTGTACGTTTGTTCCGAAGCAGCGGATAGGGTAATACGTTTTGTTTAGAAATGTAACTCACCTGATTTGTCGTGGCACAAAACAAAGTACGCCTTGTTCAGAGTTGCAATTTCGACCGTTACTTTGAAATGATTTTGAATGACCATAATATTGATATCATTTAATAATTAATACACGAACAAGAAAAATGCTCTGAGTACGTTTGAATTAATATAAAATTAGAAATTATTTTACATTGACAACATTTTACATACATTCACATATATTTCGCGTAAATTTGAATAATACATTGTAAATATGTCTTTCTTTCTAGCTGACATTTGCCGCATAAAATGGGGACATTTAAGAGATAATTTTCGCAAAGTTTTCATACGCAACACATTGTCCTCAGAACCCCCCACAACGTGGCGTTTTTATAATGACATGCGATTTATGGAACCAGCCGTAGCAGAAAATGTCATGAGGCATCATCGTTTACGAGAGCAGTCATTTTACTGGCAAGAGCTACACAATGCCGGGCAACGTCAACATCGGATCAACACTTCCAATTCACAACCTGAATCACAATACGACAACACTTTACACAATCAATTTAATTTTTCGGAATTTGCTGCCATATTTCAAAATAATGCTTCATCCCCAGCAAATAAACGTATCAAATTGGAGCCTTCCGAATCTTCTGAAACGTCTATGCCAGGTTCATTAAGGTACCACAATGGCGATAAGAGTGATTACTATGAACAACGTATGTTTACAAATGGTCAGGGTGAAGAGGAAGATGATGATGGTGATGACGATGATGATGATGACCAGTTTGATGAAGATGCGGTTTCGGCGGAGGAAAATCTCCAGAGTCCTAACAATGACAGTAAGGAAATTAATGATAAGTCGGCTGTCGATGAACCGATTCTAAGCGACGGAAATCCAGTCAACAAAATAACAATTGCGAACTTTAAAATGCATCAAGAAATGGCTACGAATACAGAATCATCGTCATTGGAAACAGTTGAAGAAGATTCCGATCGCATGTTTCTATTAAGTTTATTGCCATACCTCAGAAAGGTTAATGAGCAAAGAAAACTGCACGTTAGACAAAAATTACAGGATGTTTTGATCAAGGAATTTGGGTAATGCCAACTACAACTACTAAATTATTTCAAGTTAATATTAAATTATTTTTTTTCATTAATCTTATCGCAAAAAGTATTAATTTAAATTACAAAAAATGTATATGAAACATACAAAATACACAATAAAAAGAACGCGTTATTTGAATAAACAATTTAAAATAGTTGGAATAATTAGCTTTTTATAAAGTTTGGCTGTGTACTTTGTATCCAGTAATATTTACACAGTAACCTCTGTTGAGAGAGTAAAAGAGATTATTTTTTTTTTTTTCAAAAGCATAATCATATGGAGTGTGCAAACGGGAATACAATTTTTAAAAAATTTTACACAAAATCTGTGTACGAAAACGTATTTTCTGTACTTTTCAATGGTACTGTATGGACAAAGCGTATAAATTGAGATTAAATATAACAATTATTGATTCGCAAAATCTACTATTTCATATATACGGTTATGTTTACTAATCCTTAAACAAAAGGATAGTTGTGGGAACCAGATTTTGCTCATGAACACCTGTAAACGAAATAAGTTCCAGGTAGCGAACCAATACCATAGGTAACAAAAAAATGCGTAGTGTATTTACATTTGTTTTCGAATAAGAACGAGTATTAAAATGACTGATATATCAATTCATTGTCGAATATCTGAGTAAAGAAACATTAAACGTTTTGTTTTTAAAAAATGTTTCCTATACTTTTTCCCATATTGGATTTCTATGGAAAGTTTACTGCCATTAAATCACACGATTTGTTGCAAAAAAGACTCTTGTAATAAATCCATACTCGCGCGAGTTGTGTGGCACCAAGTCGTATTCTTCAAAATATCGGTTATCTATGCTAAGGCGACCAGATTTTGGAAATGAGAATAGATGACATAAAAAAAATAAAAAATTGACTGGGATTCAACATTTTGTATATATTTTACAGAAAAATGTATGTACGAACCTGCATTCGAATCTTAAAATTTAATTTGTTTCTATGTAATTTATTTGACTATAAGAAAATATATAAACATTTTTAGAGCTCAGTACGAGTTTGAACAGTACAAGCACTGCAAGGCATTTTCTATATAGAGGACACACATTTTATAGATTTATATAACATATAAATTAAAGAAATAGAAGATTCTTGTTGGTTCATGGAACATGGAATTTGACTCAACATGTTAAAGTTGTTAGAACTTGTAATCCTTGGATGGATCTTATTGGAAATGTTTGCCGCCAATGTTTGTTTCTGTCCAATTAATTTAAATGTTGAGTATTTTATGATTAAATCAATTAAAATAACCATGAAATTGCAGCATTTTGTTAGTTTTTTAATAAAAATATGTTTTTTTTTAACGCCCGGATCTGAATATTTGAACCTGTGTGCTCCGAAATAATGAATTTAAATATTATAACGTATCGACGACTTCACACATGACAGACATTGTATTACTCCAATTTTATTTTGAGTATACTTTAAGGCATATGCCGAAAATGCTAGTTTTGAAAGAAGGAAGTAGTGAAATTGGTTTTTCACTCATTTACCGAAAGGAGAGTTATAATCAACCCTCATTAAGGACATATTACTACCCATGCACACAACCACCATCATCATTTCAACAAAAACACTGTCGAAGGAATACTCACCCCAATGACAACGCTCCAAACTTTAAGGGTTACTTGCAACAAAAACAAAATACATTTCAGTAGCCAACGTTTAGCAGTTAGTTTCCAAATGCAATCTAAGAATCGAAGAAGTGTTTGCTAAAAAAAACAAAAAAAAAAATAATTTACTAGTCGCAATACCATAATTATGAAATAAAAGAAAACAAGAAGAAATTTGTAAAAAGTGTTTTTCCGAAATTCAAAATCAAAAAGCAAATTTAAATATTAACAACAACAGTAAAATATAAATATTTTAACAAAACATAAATATATTGAGTCGTTCAATTCATGTGAACTTTTGAGGTAGTGTTGCCGCTGTTCGATAAAGAATTTTGAGTCATTGGGCACCACTTTTGTTCTTGGTTCCTCTTTGGACTCTCTTTCCATCGCTGCTCGGTTCGGCTCAGCCGGTCTGCGCTGTCGACTGTGCCGCAGCCTATAAGACAGACTATATTGAGTGAAGTGGATGTATTTGTGTATTTGGAAAAACAGTCTTACAACTGCAATCTGACTATACGGAATCGCAACATTGTCGGTGTGTTGGTTTGGATGATTGGATACGGATTCATGCGGTACATTTTGTGACTGGAGACTCTTCACAATCAGTCTGAAGAATCTATGTGACACTAAATTAAACCAAAAAAGAAAAAAAACGAAATCGAAAACAAAACTGAGTATTCCAAATGCACAGAAATCCAAAATTCCACGAAAATGATAAGAAATCTATGTTTAAGTAACTAAAACAAAAACCACAACAACCACAAAAAACTACTCCCCATGAATTGAAATGGAAGAAAAGTAACAAAAGCCAAGTCAAGAGAAGAACGTTTACAAAAAAATAAAAGAAGAAAACAACAACAAAATATTCATAGAAATTAATTTGTGATTAAAACAGTGTTAACAATTTTATATATTCGAAAATAAAACAAAAAGATAAAGTCTTCTAAAGACTTAAAATTTAGATTAAATTTAAAGAAACTAACAAAAAAGAAACTAACAAAACAAAACCAAAATAGAGGAAAAGTTATAAATAAAGAAAAAATCATTTAGATCAAGGCCATAATAGTAGCACCTATCAAACAACAAACACAACACTTACAGCGTATGCCTGGGCCACAAAGTGTAAGTAGAATTAACTCCAAACTACTGCTTCAGATCCCATGTACATACACACAAATATTCATAAACTATCAACCATCAAGTAGTATTTGTTTTAAATACTTTCATTTCAAACCGAGGAGAGTATCTTGCTTGTTTGTTGTTTATCTATTGGAAACGCACAGCGTACAAACTAAGAATAAAACTAAAAATACTGAAATATTAAATACAGTTTATGAGGAGTTGCTTAAAACAACAACAACATAATAAAAACAGTACTCAGTTGATTGTTAAGATTTTCACTTTTTTGTTTTGGGGCCTCCAATGAAAAAAAAACATGTCAATGAAAATATTGATTTTTCAAGTATGAATTAAAATAAAACAATATCAAGGCTTGAAGGGCTGCATTTTTTGTTTTTTCTTTCGTATTTTTCTCGTTATTGTCATATTATTTCTATAGGTAGTTTTGTCGGTTGAACATCCCCTAAAAATCCATCTGCTAATACTACTCTACACATACACATGCGTATCGACATACAATATTTTTTGAATAAATATCCTCGAATAATAACATGAATAAGAAGAACAGAAGGAGGAGGAAGAATAAGAACAAGTTTGTTTGCCACAACCATTCATACATACAAATTAGACAGACGTGAGACAGAAAAGAAAAAAAAACAGTAAAAGGACTTTATGAATGTATGTACGTTCATATGTATGTGTGTGTATTTGTATTAATTTTCGTTTCTTCATATTCTTTGGTTGATCGTCTGCTTTTGTCATCAACGCCGTTGTCGCCGTTGTTGTTGCCGCTGTCGTTCAGTTAAAAAAAAAACTTCTTGTTGTTTTTGTTGGTAATTTCTAGATGAAATGCACACGCACAAGATACTCAGATACAAATTGTATTTTGTTTTTGTTGTTATTATTTCGTCAATGTTGTATTTGTAGATACACAAACACACTTTTACGCATATGCTTCACATAGATACATTATGCTTTCTCTCTCTCTCACACTCCCATTTACTTGCTCTTATTTAATTGTTATCGGTCTTTTACTCTTAGTGTTGCCATCTTTGACGAGTTAATCACCCGTCAGCCCCAAAATGGGGAAACGGAGAGAAAAATTTTGTAAATAACTAGAAAAATGGCAATTAAGTATTACCCAAATAAATGTAATTTAATTTATAAGACAAACTAAGAAATAAAACTGACGCAAAAAAATGTGAGAGAAAAACTTTTAAGAGTCGCATAGTCACTGAGGTTGTTAATAGCATTTCATTTTGACATTGCCGCTTACAATTTGTATTTATCCAAATTAATGTCATAAAATCATAAAGATGAAACGTAATGTGTAAACTTTTCTGGAAAATAAACAATTTGTATCATGGACTTAAACCACTTTCAAAATAAACGACTCATTTTATAATCTCGAAAATCTATGGAATATGATTCATATCCCTGATCTTTGATTTACTGTACAATTTAAACACCATATTATCGCTTTATAATGTATTTAACCCTTTATGGTCCAATGTAGCCTACAGGCAACAAAATGTTGTTCTATGATTACGGAAAAAATTCGGGGCTCAAAGGGTTAATATTGACGACCAACTAATTTTATACACTCCGGTATAAGTAGGCTGAATTTAATTTGGTATTTTATAGTACGTTTACATTGTACCGGAACCAGTGGGTTTAAAGTGTAAATTCCATTTAATTCCGATAAAAAGTTATAATTTAAATTAACATTTAGGCTCCTATTGAGTAGCAAATCTTCTGAATAAAAATAATCAATATTGGTCCAGTTCTATAGATTAACCGCATATATCAGTACATCCCAAATTTCGGTAATATGGACAGTTTGGGGACGTTTTTAACCAAATTTGCTATAAAGAGGGAGACACATACGAGGATTCCAGGGATTGTATTGATTCATGTTTTTATTTTTATAATAACGGGATTTAAGGATTCTTCCTCAACTCACATCTTCGTATAAATTAGAATAAAATATCGTAATATTCTGAAACTTACCATTGGTGCTGAGATCTGGTAGTCGCGCGATAATGGCCAATGTATATTTTAGTTAATGCGTTTTTCGGGAATCCTATTGCATTTTTATATTCAATTTAACGCCGGAAATGCTTTTTGCATTCATTCGTATATGTAGAGTATATCTATATTAATAGAGGGCTGACCGACCACTAGATAGTTTTGCTTATCTTGTCATATTGAATGGTAATATACATTTTTAAATATGCAAATATATCCTGAATCGCCATTATTCAGGAACTGGAATTGTTAGTAAAATTTATATATCTATATTAATAGAGGGCGCTGACCACTAGATAGTTTTGCTTATCTTGTCATATTGAATCGTAATATAAATTTTTAAATATGCAAATATATCCTGAATCGCCATTATCCAGGAACTGGAATTGTTAGTAAAATTTATATATTAACAATTTTTTTAATAAATCGCAAAATTTCATATTCCTCTTCCATTGTAACCTTAGAGTTGAGATTCCACGATCACTCTGTGCCCAGTTTTAGCAGCGTTTAAACTGCTGTTACCATGTCCAAGGAAAAATGTCTGTTATTACACTCAACTCCTGTAGAACAAGTAGACATAGCATTGAATTACAATGGTGTAAAATTGATGGTAAGGAAGGAGCAAATTCAAATACAGACACACGCACACACTTACATCCATTTACAAAAATTACAGACATTGTGCGTGTTATTCTCCAAGTTTGAGTAGCATAAGAGGGTGAGTTTTTTGTTTTGTTTTAGGTGTGTGTTCGTTGTTCAAGTGCAAAATCAACATAAAACATTTGGGGATGTTTTTTTCCGTTATGGTATGAGTGTAGTTGCTCGGTGTGTGTGTGTGTGTTTAAGGGTATTTTTTTTATTTGTGTTCCTAAAGAAATTACCACAATTGCAATATATTCCCGCTTCTAGAAGAAATCAAAAAGGTAATCTGTCCTTGTTTGGGTTTCTTACTCCTTTTCTGGTTGGTATCACACAACGTTCGCACACAGACACACATACAGACTTACCCATATTTAGTAGCTGCTACGCACTTTCATAATAACTTGAATCAGACTTGCAGGACTAAATAATGCGTATGTTTTTTTCGTCTGGGTGTGTGTGTGTGCGTGCAATTGTGTCCTTCTGTCGTCTGGTATTTTGTTTTTGTGCGTGCGGGTAGGTATGATTTTTCCAGTTGTTGGTTTTTTGTTTGGGGATTTTTTGGGTATACACAAAAGTTGTTTTTCTTTTGGATGGTGGAGGGTAGCTGAGGGGAGGAAGCGGCCACAATGTAAAAGTTAATAATAATAATGGAAATAACAAATAATACAAAGAATTAGCAATGATTACAGATATTACCGAGGGTGGTAGAAAAGGATTTCCTTTATAAGAAGTCCAAATTTGTGGTAGAAGATCTAATGATGGATTCACTGAAATGTGTCTAATATGTAATGCACGTCTGGACCATTAAATAAAGAAATATTGTTTTGATTTTAGACAAATGACTAGTCATTTTATTCTGACTGATCAAAACTAAAAAACAAACAGTTTATAAAAAAAGCTTTTATTTTAGGGCCGTACCATGGCATAATTACATATATGTACAAGGTAGTCTCATGCAGTCATATATTTTTTTAATTAATTTGCCTTTGACAGTATTCAGCTTTCAAAATTCAAATGAAAATATCTTCCTACGAAAATTACGCATATAATTTGTTCAGTGGCAAACATTGCTAAATAATTTATATTTATAAATATTTTGAAGTTCCCCGCCTCTAAAACGTATAAATATATGTTGTAACAACCATGGTTAAATCTTGAGAGCAATGTTCAGCTTTAGAAAATATACTTTGTTTAATCGACTTAAAATTTGCCAGTCGACATACATAAAATATTATGGAATTTATTTTTTATTTTATTTGGAATTGATATATGAATTCCAAATTAAAAAGAGTTGCTATCATAAAATTCTCAAATGAGACTACCTTCTGTAATTATGCAATGGGACCGTACCTAAATTCAGTGCGTACTCAAAAATACCCACTTTCTCACCGTTAAAGGGTTTTTTGAACGTCCGTATTACCCAAATACTCAAGGACCTTATTTAGGTACGACACTTATATAAAAATTATGAATATATATTTTTTAATTTTTAAAACTGAAAGCCCCATCAAAGTAAACCCTAAACCAAATGTTTATATATTCTCACAGTAACACTAATTTGTAGCGGTAATTGGGACCGAAGAAATGTGACGCGATTGGTAAAATGCTACAAGGCAAGAAGGATTCTAAATCGGCACTTCAAAAGTCCAAAATGTTAATTCACAATGTAGCTCTGGGCGATGATAAAATTTTAATGATAACAAAGCAAACGAGATTCTTGCAGGTTCTGGAACAGAGCATCTATGTATATTTTAATACGGAATAACAAGAAATTTCGTTTGCATTAATTCGAAATATTTGTCGGAAACCGCATAAAGAAAATATAGCTTCCAAAATAGGACATTTCGTCATATAACGATACAGCCCTACTTTTGGTATTTTCAAGACTTTAGTTGCATTTTTAACCGAATACTTTGCAAGTTGGCATTCCGGATCGTAAAAAGGCACATTCAAGCAATATTTTCGATAAAGGTCCATGTTTTAATAATGCAAGCATACAAAGGTCCCGCCCATTATAGGTAATTTAATGGTCCTAGAAACATTTTCTAAACGAAGTGGATTTGGATTATTGGGGGTTGAAAACCATTTTCAATACGTTTTCATGTTTTGATATATAATCCATTTTTAAGTGTTTTAATAGTCATAGGCGCATTGTGGTCTGCCGAAGTGATTGTAATTTGTTTATTCCGGGTTCTTTGTAATCATTAGCATTAGCCTTATAGAACTTCTACTGACGTCGATAGTCAATAGATGTTGATGCGGATATTAAAACCTATGAAAATGATTTGACATATCCCCCACATATTTTGACATATCCATCGATTTTAGGTATATTCTATACCCACCCCTTGATGGTGGGGTTTCGAATTTTTTTCAATGATTTATTGGATACAGCGATGAGATTACTCTTGTTTGAGGGAAGCAAATAAATGGCATTCAATTTTATTTTTACCGATGAAATTTTGAACTTGAAATTTTACTTTTTACAAAGTGAAAATTGGTAAAACTTTTCTAAGTCTTTTTGTAATGTTATTGCTTGTAATCCATACATATGTATCATCTTGAAAATGAAATGAAAATGAATTCACAGTAAATTTATGTTTGCAACAGCGAATTTTTTCATTATGTAATTGAAATTGTGTACGTTGCTGATATGTATATTATCCAATAATACAATGTAGGTTAAGTTGGGTTGAAATTGACGAACACCACATCACGAATGGTTAATATCAACTCTGTGCGAGTGTGTTCAATATGTCGTTAACTAAAACTGGTGCCATCTGTATTTCGTTTTTGTTTTGTGGACATGTAATCCGTTTTATGATTTGCCACTTTAATCACTTCTTCAAATTCAATGTACTTAGAAAACATATAAAATATTTTACCTGATTCTTTTCAGAATTATTGTAAAATTCTCAGGTAAAATTTTACCATAATTATTTTTATGCGATGTGCAATAAAACATTGGTATTTTGTGCGAAGTTGTTCGATCCAATAAATACTGAGTATGTTGTTATTACCAAAAATTGGGAAGGGAATTACCGGAAATTATTTGAATTTGGCGAAATGCAATTTTAATGTTAGGAATTTAGTTGGGATTGTCTAATGTGCCAATATATTATTCGGGAAATAAATTGTTTCGTGTAGAAAAAATTCAAATAAGGAGGAACTTTTATATAGGATTTATCCAAAATATTTGTCTAGTTTCCACAGGTTGTATGACATATTATATTCGCTCTTTCTATTAACTATAGTAATATATCTCAACTAATATATGTATATTTGCAATTTAAACACCCCCAAATAGGATGTTTGTCGAAAAAATCATATCAGATCAGACCGACAATACGATATTTATTGATATTCAAATATTCTATAAAAACGTTGCCCTTAGGATCTAAGGTTTGTTCCTCAAAGACAAGAAATCAATATTTGGAATTTATTGCGTCCTTTTTCACTTTTGCCCGATCCTTGCTCTGAAACTCTTGTAGATTATCGTATTCGTCTGAAATGCGTGTATTTAACACAAATATATTGAGTAACTTCGGGTAATGTGGACTATGCGTCTAATGTGGACCACCCCCCATATCTAAGAAAATGCTTGAAATATGTAATACCGCCTTGGTAAATGTTTCCCTAATTAATGAAAACAAACAAATAATTACAATGTTGAAAAATGAGTAGTAGAAAATGTAGCTCTGATTGTAAAAGTGTGATTTGGATTTTTTTAGCACAACAGTCGAACGTTTTTCCAAAATAGTCGAACACTTTGTTTTTCTCAATTATAAAGTATTGTTTGCTTTAACAAAAATATACGTTTAGCTGTAATTACAATCGGTGATTTTTAATTTTTATTCATTTTTGAAGCCGATAATTATTTTTAAATAAAAATATTCAATGTCGGGTAATGTGGACCACTGTAAAAATTGGGACCTTTTAATGAGTACGAGTTCGAAACATGGACGCATTTAATATGCGAGGAGGTATTCTGTCCTCGGAAAACTCGAAATGCGAAATTACAGTTGCTTCGGTTGGATAATGAAGCAATGACCTACAAAATACCGCAAATGGGGCGGTGCCCTTAAATGGGGGCTATTCCAAAACATAAACCCATATATTTTTGCAGTCATTGTTACTCAAGAGTGCAATAAATTGAAACTTAACACAACCAATCCAAAACCTTCCTTTAACTTACAGATCCTCATTACCCACACATACTGGTCCACATTACCCGCCAAGTTATTTTTATTCGCAGTTTAGAGTTTTTTGAAATATAATGCAATAACATTTTTATTGACAAATATATATAATGTTTGACCTGGAATATCTTTAGTCAGCAAATCTACTATGTTGTGAAAACAATATGTTTTTATTTTTTACCGTTGTTACGCCCACAATATCAAAAAATTAAAATGGAGGTCCACATTATCCGAAGTTACTCTATCATTTTACAAAAGACGATAATATTTGCGAAATAATGATTCGGATACCAAAAACTCCAGTCTTGTGGTATTTAGGTTATGATTGAAGAAAATAAGGTCGCAAAAGCACTCGAGGACTCATAAATAACTTGCAATGGGCCTCAACCAAAGATATAAAGTCTTTTCTTCAATTCTTCAGCCAAAATATCGGATGAAAAATTTATCCTTCACAATATGTTTGCTGGGCTATCATCCCAAAAAGGAGTTTTACTAGAACTTTAACTAACAAGCGGTCAGATGTCACTAAACCTTAAATTTAAATTTGCTGATCAAGAATGAATGAATGATGTATCAGAAGTAAATATTCAAGGTTTATTTAAATATGTAAACACTTATGAGATTCCAGTTGAAGATTTTTAAATGGATGGAGAACAACCGAATAATTACAATAAGTTGTTACCCTAAATATAACGTTTCCATTCTATTCTAAAACAGTATACCTTTAATTCTATCATATAAAATTATTCTGGAAAAACTCAAATGAATTTATCTACAAATTCTATAAATCTTAGAGACACCCTAAGTTATTAAGAGAACGTTGATGATTTCTTCAAATCCATTTTTTCAATTTAGATTACCTTTTCGCTTTCTCTTCCAAGGCAATATCTTATATAGCGATATTTTATTAATTTAATCCCTGTTTAAAAGATCGATCAATGATTTCAATTCCCCAGGGACATTTAAAACAAAAATACATTTCATTCGCCTTTAGGTGATATTTTTAGGCAGCTCTCCCCTCGTTTCCGTTGTTAAGGGATGATTATATTTTGTATTGTAAGCAGTAGGCATTGCTGTAAATCAATCGATAAGCAAATATTCTTTATTTTCGCCGTTATTAAACATAAATTTCTAAATTTAAATCTTTACCGATGTCTGGAGTCATTTTAGACAAAGAAACATAAAATTCAAGAAAAAAAACTAGGGTGACAAAAATGTAACAACTGGTAGGTAATAATTTCCGCCCCAATTCTCCCTCGTGCTATGACATAGTAGATAGAACAGGGGATACATTTCCATTATTTACCAAGGTAATGACTTTCTACACTTTATTAACAATAGAGGTTTAATTTTAGAAAACCAAAAACTGAAAGGAACCATCAATTTCTTGCTCTTAGGCAGTAATTAAACTGAGCTGAGTCTTAATTGACAGCTTGTCGAGACAGACAAATGTAACACTTCCTATCTATCTTCCTAGCTATCTATCTACGGGATAGGTGAAAATAATAAACATCTGTTATTAATTTTTGGGGGGTTGAAAAATGAAATGAGGCGCCGCTCCCCATTCCATCATTGTGTGGATCATCATCACCAGCCGTAAAGTGGAAAAGCACGTTCCATAAAACTCGAGTCTAGTTTTAAATCGATGATTTATCGATGGCAGATGCTTTCCTACATTTTCCTTTCTTTTCAACTCCGAAGAAAGGAGCCGAAATAACCAAATGACAAAGTATAGACCGACAATTGTTGCTATTTCATTGGAAATACTAAAGTGAAATCCTCAGGATATCCTTAATTCCACTACACGATTCCAATGACGTCTTAGCAACAACAACAACATCTTCACAATGTCATTTAGACTGTCTCCATTTCTTTGAACTCTATCAATTAGTTACAGTTTTGTTGTTCGTTTTTTTCGGTTCGCCTCTAAATCTTTACGAAAATGTTTTGAAATCGTTGACCTGCTACTAGCTGCTGCAGTTGTTGTTTTTTTTTTGTTGATCCACAGAGAATATCCTGTTGTTAGGCTATAATATGACGCACATCTGCTCCTTTTGTAAATCAAGAATAGGAAAATGCAAGGAAGAAAATTGTGCAGCATTTGATGGGTTTTTCATGTATTTTAGGGAAAGCGTAGCGACACACATACACCAACACAAACAGATACAAAATAAAGGGAAGAAAGGAAAGATCACTTCTCTTACCTATGCACCTTTATGATGCATACCACACACACACTTACCCTAAGCACCTACTCTACACTCAGGACCAAGATGCTACCCTCACACTCGCACACACACACTCAGCCACATAAATTGGTTTCTTTGTCTAGTTGCGCCCTACCTAAGTTCGAATCTGAGAAACATTTGAGAGGTAGATCCTATTTTTAGAATTTCTAAGCTGCCTTCCGTTCACTACTTAAGGCGTTGCATTTTCCGTATTTGGCATCAGTTGCAATCAGTCTCATCTGGCGTCATCATCTCTTCAGAGTTTATCACAACACCACAACAATTCGATTGTTCAAGGCGTGCGTTCTAAACGCTTCCTGAAGAAAAACACCAACTAAGCAAAATCTCGTTACGAGTTTAAAAAGTTTAACTTAAACGTTTCAAAAACACCCAGCGATCACAACCGACGACTACTACTCCTCAAACAACAAGATACTCCTTGGGATATTTTGTAGTGTTCACAGAGAAAGAAAACAAAAAATTAATTTCAAAAAATTTGTCATTTGTTTCTTTATCGGCTCTCCGCGCACTCCTTCGTTCAACACCAAGTGTATAGTAATATTTTGCGGCTTCATTTTGTCCGTCAATAGTGCCGTGAAATTATTCAAACGTCTAGCGATTATTTTATGATGGAACTGTTGTCTAACAACTCCCTACCAACTCAAATGGCCTCGGCTACCAGCAATTCGTCAGCAACGAACGGAAATCAAAACGGCCAAGCAACCACGGCCGAACGTTTATTAGCCGGTATCTTGGACTCGTTTCCAGCTTGGGATTTAAACGCTGGTTTAATGGGCAGCAATCCACGCAATGAGTAAGTATTCCGCACACACACACAGCTCTCTATCGGAAGGAGCAGTTACTAACCACCGTATTTTGTTTGCTTACAGTTCACCACCACGCAATGACTTCTTCTTCAACAATCTCTTGAGTTCCTTGGAGGCACCAGCTGAGTTCAGCTTGGGTGTGGCTCCCATCGGTACCGCACCCATGAGGGCTCCTCCAAAACTGTCACCCGAATCCTCGAACAATTCCAGCATCAGCTGCAGTTGGTGTGAAGTAAATGCCTCCATACGCTGTCTGGAGTGCAACGAGTTCATGTGCAACGACTGTCTGAGGGAACATCGCAAATCGCCATTATCTTCTAATCACTCCATAATATCTTTACCCACGCCAATTGGTACCTCGCCCACAGGCGGCATGTCCACCAGTGTACCGATTGTACCCAGTCCCAACTATTTGTGCGACCAGCACAATGAATTGTTGCGCTATGTCTGCGAATACTGCAAGAAGCTCGTCTGTCAGTGCTGCACTCTGCACGAACACAAGGAGCACTGCTACTCATCCATTCAGAATTTCGTCGACGAGTCAAGGGAAAAGATTGAGTCCGCCTTGGAAAGCAGCCGTATGGGCACCAAATGCATTAAGAGCAGCATTGACAAAGCCCTGGCCTTTATCCGCCATGTTGAGCGCAATTGTGCCGAGCTGAGCGATAACATCCGCAAGGGTTTCCGCCAATTCCTCATCGCATTAGAAGATCGTGAACGTTTCCTCTTGGATTTCGTTGAGAAACTGCGCCAGCGTCGCCTAGCCATGTTGCACGACCAAATGGCCGGATTGAAATCAGCTTTGGCCGGCTTAGCTGAGACTTCGGAAATGTTGCACAAAGTTGCCGAGAATGGAGCTCGTATGGATCAAGTCGACATTGCCATGAAGGTGACCAACGGCCAACGTCAACTGGAACAATTTGCCGCCATCTACAAGGATCTTCAGCCTAAGCAAGAAGTATTTGCCTTCTCAGCCCCCGATTACACATTGCTGCAGGATATTCGCAATCAGGGTGGCATTGTCTTGGTTGATGAAAAGAATATGCCCCTTATGACAATTAGTGGCGGTACAGTAGTGGGTGGTACGGGTGCTGTTGACTCTGTAGGCACTGTACTGTCCATGCCTGGTAACGGCATGCCAAATGGCGCTGTGGTTCCAGCAAATATGAGACGTCCACTGTTGCGCGACAATTCATTCCGTAATCCATCGCCAGTTATGCAAGTTCGAGGTGGTAGTGCATGCAGTATGCCCAACCCCGGTCTCGATTGGGAACTCAGTGTTATGCGTAGCTCTCCAGGTTTACATTTCGGCGCTCCACGTTCTACACCCGCAATTCCTGGCACCACAGAACCAGTTAAGGCACGTAATTCCAATGCATTGTCGCTGTCCTTTGCCACCGAGGGTCACGAAGATGGTCAAGTCAGTCGTCCATGGGGTTTGTGTGTTGACAAAATGGGCCACATTCTCGTCTCCGACAGACGCAATAACCGCGTACAGGTCTTCAACCCGGATGGCTCTCTCAAATTCAAATTCGGTCGTAAAGGCGTTGGCAACGGTGAATTCGACTTGCCCGCTGGTATTTGCGTCGATATTGACAATCGTATCATTGTCGTCGACAAGGATAATCATCGTGTACAGATCTTCACTTCGACTGGTGCTTTCCTATTGAAATTCGGCAGCTATGGCAAGGAATACGGACAATTCCAATATCCCTGGGATGTGGCTGTTAACTCAAGACGTCAAATTGTGGTAACCGATTCTCGTAACCATCGCGTCCAACAATTCGATTCTGAAGGTAGATTTATTCGGCAAATTGTATTTGATAATCATGGTTCCAATAAGGGCATAGCCTCACCACGTGGCGTGTGCTACACACCCACGGGTAATATAATAGTATCCGATTTTGACAATCATTGCTTGTACTTGATTGACCCTGACATTAATGATGTAAGTATGACGTAAATTCAATCAGGCTTCTTGGTTGCAGTTTTCTGATTGCCATATACCCTCTCTTTTTTTGCAGATATTATCAGCCAAGGGTCATGAAGGTTCCGGTTTCCAGGAATTTAATCGCCCTTCAGGCATATGCTGTGACGATGATGGTCGTATTATTGTAGCCGATTCCAAGAATCAACGTATTGTTGTATATAGTCCAACTTTGGATTATCTATGGGATGTAAGTATATCTTGAAAGCTCTCTTGGTTCTTTGTAGCCGTATTGATAATTAATTCTTGTTTTTTTATGCTTCTATATTTATAGATTGAAATTAGACCTTCATTGAATCCCCTGATGCCACCCACACTTGATGAAAAGGATCGTACATGCGATGTAGCCCTGATGCCCGATGGCCGCATTGTATTCCTAATTGAATTATCGCCAGACTCAAAGGAGGGATCAAATCCCTACAAACGCTTCGTGCATGTCTTCTAACGATCGACATATCCGTCTAGGGGATGGATATCAGGTACTACAGCAACATTAGCCACAACTAGTTCTACAACAGAATCCAGCTATACAATGGAAAGAAATACCGCCACCACCTGCTCCAATACCGCATTCATAATTATGGGTAATGCCATTGCAAATAATTGTGAAGTAATAGACAACTCATCGATCTTTTTAAAAAAATGATTATAAAAGCAAGAAACAAAACAAAAAGCATAGCAAAACAAATTGACAAAAAACTAAAGCAAACATTTTTAGTATTTAAGTTACAACGATTACCTCGTTAAAAGATATAGTATATATTATTTAGGGATCAGTTAATAGTATGTATCATACATTCAACCTATGAAGAATAAGGCGACGAAGACACTCCATTGAAACAAAAATACAAGATACAAATAACTATAAAGCCACCACCATTACCACTACCACCAAAATCCATAATTTCACATGTTAGCCCACCTTTAAGCCATATTGGACAAAGGTATGGTATTATGTGTTTTTGTTTTTTCATTATATGTTTATTTTTTGCATCTACATTCATTATGTTTTTACAAATTTTATATACCCCATGCATTCATATATACACACACACCCCCATATATATACAAGCTAAATTCATTATTTTTATATATTTTTTTATTTTTAAATTGTTTATTCTCTATTAATCCAAGATTAATTTCTTTTTTTCAAATAGACTGATTTATTGTATAAAAAGTGAAAAAAGTTAAAAACTCAATTTCTAACAGACTTTTATATAACCTAGAAAAGGAAAAAACCTAAAAAAATAAAGTTCAACAGATAAAAAATTCAAAACATCACATTTAAGTCAAGCTTAAAAAAGCTAAAAAAATAAACTACATTAATTAAGAATAATAATAACAACAACAAGAGAACATATTTACAATTACAAACTAAAAACAAAAGTAAAACAATTTAGTCGAATAGGCCGATATTACACAGAGTGAAAAATATTTAGATATGACTTATGTTTATTAAACAACAAAATACATACACTCACACATACATATATTTTTAAACACATGTTTTAGGTTTAACAATTGAGACTGAGCTCAAGGAAATTCATTGTTTTCATTTACATTTATGTTAGACATTTTCAACTTTTTTTTTTGTTTTTTAAGAAAAAACTTATTTTTGTATTTTTTTTAGTAAGACTGATTACCAAAGTGACTAAATAACACCGACTTAAAAATGACACAAAAAACAACAATTTCAAAACCCCAACTATTCAAAACAAAATACAAGCAGCTAGCAACCTAAAAAACAACAACAACCATTAAAAAACAAAAACCGAAAAACAAAAAAGTAAGAACCTAAACTAGAAATTGAAAGTAAAGCCTTTCAAAAAAAATTAAATTAAAAAAATAAATAAATTTATTAAATGTGTTCATTAGTATTATACATCTATATATATGAAATATAATAAAATAACAAATACAATTAAACTTAGTTAAATTAAAAACCCCAAAAAAAACAAAACAATACAAAATTTAAGAGCAATACTTCAAAAAAAATCTATGATTTTAGTCAAATGTCAAAATCTTAAACAACAACTATGAAGGGAGTGCGCAAACGAGCATCTTAACTAGAAAACGGAAGGGTATCGAAAAGTTTAGTAAGGGATAGCAAAATATTTAGAATGAGAGTGAGATTACGGGGTGTATCATTGATTGTGTGTCAGACAGACAAACAAACAGATAACATTAACACTCTTCAAACTAAACAGAGTTTTTGAAACCAGGATTTATATTTAAATATAGGCCTTGGCATATTTTAGCTTAGATTTTTACATGAAAAACAAAACAAAAAACTGTATTACAAGTAAAAAATAAACGGTTCCTGGTCTCATCTATTGAACAAAAACAAAAGTATATATAAATATATACATACATGTCTATTTCATGTAATTAGCTAAATTATGGATTACTCAAAACTAATCCATTAAAATCAATATTATTACTATTATTATTTTACAACATCATACATATTTTATCTAAATTAAAAAAAAAAACAAACAATTAAACATGAAAGTTGACTCTATTTTATAGCTAGTTCAATCCATGGAGTTAAATTAGAAAGAAAGAAAGAAAGAAAGAAAAAAGTGAAATGCTAATAAAGCATTTTTATACACACCTTATATTAGTCTAATAAAACAAACAAGAACAACAACACCTAAATAAATAACATTTAAAAAAAAGGAAAAAGAAAAATAAGTTAATAACAACAAACCACCAAACATTTTTGGGTAAAACTTCAAATAAAAAAAAATAATAAATAAAATCAACTTTATATATAAATATTAAATGAAATCCAATATAAACAATAAACAACTAGATGAAAAATTTACGTATATTATTAAAAATATATATATTATTGTATTTTGTAATTTAAGTCCTTCCACATAACGAAGCAAGTTGCATTTAATGCGCCAACCAATCATTCATTAAAAACTCTGCGAGAGCGAATGTTGGTGTTGAATTTATAAAGGAGAAAAAAAAAACAAACACAAAAATAAGTAACAATATTAAAAACAAAAATATATATATTCTATATATTATTGAAAATAAGCAAAAGATAAAACAAATGATATAAATATTTTTATATGGAGAAAATATTTGTACGTAAAACTGAATTACATACATATTTTTTATGATCATCATAACAATACACAAAAGCAAAAACAAAAACCAAACGAACATAACAATTTTTATTATTTTATTTTAAACTACATTTGTTTCTATTTTTAATTAACAACAAAAAATAATACCATGTAACATATAACTAAATATGTTTAAACCCAACAAATAATGAAATGTTTTAGTTATGCCACAACTATTATTTTTCCAAATTAAATGAAATATGTTTTAAATTAACCTGTCTAAAGTAAATTGCTTAAAATATAATGCAAGACATTTCAGTTGCAGTTATAGACATTTATAACTGAGGCTGATATGTCCAGAATTATTTTTTTAACAGAAGCATGTATTTTTTGGAAATTCTACATTTCATAAAAATATATATTTGCGCCAAAATGTATTTCAAACTTGAATAAGGTGTGAAGAGGCACACAACATCGGTTTTCGCCTATTTGAAATTTTACATACATAAATCAGATGCTAACTCTACTTAAGTTCCCAAAAAATTCGAATCCGACAATAGATTCTTAGAGGAATATGCGTCCTTTCGTTTTTTTTAGTTTAATTTTGAATGTTTGGAGATAAGCGCTATAAGAGAATTACAGTAAATTTTGTTTTATTATTAATTTTTTATAATAATTTGTTTAGATATATGGTTAATTATATAATTCGTTTGTTACATGGTATTATTATTGTTCAACAATTATATATTATACATGCTCAGGTATAAATTATATATACAACAATTATATTTTATTCATTTTTCTACTCATAAAGTGGAATAACGCTATTCAATTCATTTAAATTATATATATTTTCCTTATGTTTGTGTTTATTTTTATTTTTTTGCCATATATTTTATTTTTGTTTTTCATATTAAAACATATATTATTACAATTTTAGTTCATAATTTTGTTTGCCAAAGGCTATAAATCAAAAATAAATTTTAAAAAAATTATATTTTATTATTATAATTAAATTTAAAGGAAAACAAAAAAACTGATAATATTATTGCTATTATTTGTTTGTTTTTTTGTTTCTTAGATAAATACATACGGAAACTCAAGAGGAGCTTGTTTTTTACTAAATGCCATAAAAATGCTCATCCCCCACCAGCCCAAAACACAAAAATCCCTTCTAAAGTTTATAAACAAACAAAAAAGAAATTGAAAATTGCGCATAAAACTTAACTTCATTATTTTTCTCTATGTAGATATAAGTTTAAAACACAAAATATATACACAAAAAATAACAATACATATATACATATATTTAAAACAAAGTCATCAATGGCGTTGAAATATTAAATATTGCAGTGATGAGAAGTGAACATAACCCAAATCTAATCAATGGATCTTAAAATAAATTTTTAACTGAATACCTTAATGAAATTCTTCATACATTATGTATATCAAAATACAATTTTGAATAAAAAATTAAAAAAAGAAAATCTAAAAAAAAAAAAAAATACATACATACATACAAAACATAGCGTAGTTATTTAAGTTTAAAACCCCCCTCATATTATACATACATATATACAACTTAAAGAAATTATTTTAATTTTTTCCATTATTATAATTATATTAAATATAATATAAAACAATCATTCACTAAAACATTCATATTATAGTTAAATTCTAGCAAAAAAGAAAAAAAAAACAAATTAAAGTAAATACCAACAGCAACAACAACAAATAATTAATCATAAACATTTTTGAGTACAAAACTTTAAAGTACAAATTAACAATTTAAGTTGAAAAACAAGCAAAGCAAAAAAACGAAAACTATTTCAAAAATCCCACAAACAACATACAAACAAACATTCTTATAAACAAAACACTCCGATAAACACAAATAACAATTACACACATTATCGATTTTTTGGGCTTTTTTGTTGTTAACATCTTAAAATAAATCTAATTGAATTGAGAGTTTTTTCCAATAAACAAATAATATAATCTTAGTAAAATTCTAAACTACTTAAAGACTATATTAAAAAAAAAAAAAACAAAATTATACACATAATTTATATACATTGAAAAAAAAATACTATGACAACAACCAACCCTTAATCAGGTGTTAAAAATCTTATTAGAGGTTCTTATTGAAAATAAAGTAAACTCAAAAAACTTAAGCTTAATTAAATTAAATTGTAAGGAAACTTAATGAAAACCCAGCCCCCTAAAAACCAACAACAACAACATTTACATATGTATATTTATGCAAACTATAAATCTCTTAGAATGATAAATTGTGCTAAACCAACTATGTAATACATAACAATTTTATATAAACATATATTATACATATAGTATATAACTATGTACATTGTACATGCGATCACCATCATCATCTATTCATTCAAATGCAAGTCATCTTGTTTATT